TTCTCTGGAAGGATCTAAACCACATAATCTTTTTTCTAACAGGATAAAAAATGTTGAGAATCTTATTAAGAATGTGAGGAAAGTTTGGCAAGAGAGGTGAGATAAGTTTAAAGGGACATACATCTTCAGAATGCAGAATTCTGGTAGAGTTGAATCGGTCTGCCCATTTCTTGTGATCCGCAACATCATCCCTGAACAATGAAGAAGCTTTATCATTGTAAGAGAGAAAACAATGGAGTTTCTACTTTTGGTGGTTATCAAAACTACCTGTGTGTCAAGAACATGTAGCGAACACCACCCATCTTCTCAATCTTTCCAGCAAGTTTCTCTACATACCTGGGACTGCAGCAAACACCAAAAACTTGGAATATCAGTTGTGTCAAAGTTAATTTACATAACCAAGTCTATCAAGAAAATCATTGCATCTACAATGTAATAAGCTTCAGAACAACAAAGAGAATATATCTATACCTATCAACAAGTATATTTCCCTCATGATGAAGGATCAAGTAGGAAGTTGCTCCATATGATTTCTTGGAATGAAACCCACAATGAAAAACTCCCTGAGCGTAACACAAATCTCAATTTATCAGCCTCGGTGAAAGTAGGAACCCAAACAGAAGACAAGATAAAAGAAAGCTCAAGGAATGAGAAACTACAGGGAGTGTGTCTTTGTCCAATGCAAGTGGAAAGGTTTCTTGAGCTTCCACTATGTCAGTAGGTGGAGTTTCAGTGCGAATAGATCCCGTAGGACAGGATAACAAGGCCTGAAATAAACAAGAAACCATGAGTAATCAGAAAAAGGAAATTGTCATCATAGGGAAATTTTCAGTCTATAACATTATAGCAGACATTTCCATTATAGCAGTACAGTCTATATATATCTTTACAATTTGAAAAGTAAAACAAAATGAGGAACCTTTGCACCTACAGCTACCCACAAAAGGTATCAAACAGAGGATAAAAGATTCAAAACAATCCTCAATGACTCTCATAAAGAAAAGGAAAACAGAGGTTGCTATGGCACCTGAAGAACATTAAGCCTTTGTTCCTTACAGGTTGGTTGTTTAATAACCGCAGACATGTTGTCCACTCTGGTGAATACTTCCTGCACAGATCAAACAAACAAGGCTGTTAATGAATTTGTTCATCTCTCGTAGCTGCTTTGGCCCGCCAAAGAACAACTATAGCATCACATTTAACGGCCATTTCGAAAAATCTAACAAAAATCCAGAGTTATATTATATCCTTCTTCGAGATTGAGACTAAGACATGGACTTCCCAATACCCAAAATGAAACATCCCCAATCTAATTAAATCACGACAAAACCATGGAGCTGTTGATCAGTTTCATATAACCTAAAAGACAGGAGCTTTAAAGATTTCGAAGAAGAAAATCATACCGGAACCATCCAACGACATGTATCACAATCGATACAAGTATTGTCTGCAAAATTCGATTCAGAGCGTTATTGGCCTCTCTTTGTTTCAATTAGCAAAAAATAAATAAACAGGCTTTTATTTACCGACAAAGAGATCGCCTTCAACGTTCTGAGTGCGTCGTCTCGGGTTCTCATGGCTTTTCACTTGAGCTGCTTTGATAGATCCAAATGTTCTCCTTCCCGTTAAGGCCGTCGAAACAGAGGTTGGAGTTTTCGATGAGAAGATCGGTTCCTGTGAACGGAAGTGATACGAGAGTGAAGAAATCGCAGCTGAAGCCATGACTAGTGAAGATTCTCGTTTCTTCTCTCTCTCTTTGAATTGATCTTCTTAAAGGTGAGTGTAGTCAGATGAAGAGTCGTAGACGCAACGCTTACTTCATCTTCAACACTAGACTAGTAGTATGAAATATTCAATATTTAAATCTAATTTTGACTTGAGCGACGACCCGGTTCATTAGCTGCTGAGATTTCGGTTATTATCCTTGAACCACCGGTCTGAGACAGATTTTCCGAATCAATTCCGGTTGAACACGTGTAAGCTTGTTTCTCATTCGTGCCAGGTCCTCTCCATTGTATGTATCTGTGTGTAAAATCATCTCTCCCTCTCTCTCTATCTCTCAATTCTCTCTCAATCAGCGTTTTTTCTAATCAATCCCGTTTCCTTGGATCAGATTCGAATCTGAATCACAAATCTCCGAGATCTACTTTCCTTCCGGCGTCAGTGTTTTTTTTTTTTTTGTTTCCCCCGACGGTGAGTGATGTTTCACGTGGAAGAAGGAAGCAGTGCAGACGGCGGGTCTGAGATGGATGATGAGATAACCGGAGATGATTCTACGACGTCATTGTCGCGCTGGGTTAAGAACGATTACGACGATTTCGACGATGAGTACGACGACGAGGTGTACGACGAGCATCAGCACGCGGAAATGGATTCCGACGACGAGGACGACAATGTGGAGCAGCGTTTGATTCGAACTAGCCCCGCCGTTGACTCCTTCGACGTCGACGCACTTGAAATCCCCGGAACTCAGAAAAACGAAATCGAGGTCAGCATATTTTGAAAAAAATTAGTTCTTCTTCATTCCGATCTGATTCTCAAAGCTTGCTTAATCAAGTAATTAGCTCTTTGATGGTTTTTTTGATTTATGCAAGTGTTTGATTAAGTTGAAGAAGCTTGGTTATCTGATTTTTGCAGGACTCTAGCATAGGAAGGAAGCTCATACTTGCTTTGCAGACTCTAGGGGTTGTATTTGGCGATATTGGAACGAGTCCATTGTACACTTTCAGTGTAATGTTCAACAGATCTCCGATTAACGACAAGGAAGATATAATCGGAGCCTTGTCATTGGTTATATACACGTTGATACTGTTCCCTCTTGTAAAGTATGTACATTTTGTTCTTTGGGCCAATGACGATGGTGAAGGTACTTACTTTTTTCCTCTATCTGGTGGTAAATTGGAATTTTTGTTTTTGTTAAGGTGAAAGGATTAAGTTTTGGGAAATGAACTGCAGGTGGTACTTTTGCGTTGTATTCGTTGATCTGTAGAAACGCAAATGTTAGCCTTATCCCGAATCAACTTCCGTCAGATGCTCGCATATCGGGATTCGGTTTGAAGGTTCCGTCTCCGGAACTTGAAAGATCCTTGAAAATAAAAGAAAAACTTGAGGGGTCAATGATCTTGAAAAAGCTTCTTCTGGTTTTAGTTCTTGCCGGCACTGCTATGGTGCTTGCTGATTCCGTTGTTACGCCTGCAATGTCAGGTATATATCAATTTGCTGGCAGATGATGGTTTGACCTTTTCCTGTGGTCGATGTGTATGAAGTGAAAATGTAATATGCCTCTAACTATAACCTCTTTTTTTGACGTAGTAATGTCTGCTGTTCGTGGTTTGAAGATTGGAGTTGGTGCTATAGAACAAGGTAACTCGTAACTGTAGCTGACGTTCATCAGCCTGATTATGGACATGATTAATGACTGCCTTTTGGGAATAATATCTAACTGTGACTTCATTTGCAGATCAGGTGGTCATGATATCAGTCAGCTTTCTTGTGATCTTGTTCAGTGTGCAGAAATATGGAGCCAGCAAACTGGGACTCACTTTGGGTCCTGCTTTGCTTATATGGTTTTTTAGTCTTGCGGGCATTGGGATCTACAACCTCGTTAAATATGACAGCAGCGTTTTTAGGGCGTTCAATCCAGCGTATATCTATTTCTTTTTCAAGAGAAACTCTGTTAATGCTTGGTATGCGCTTGGGGGTTGCGTTCTATGTGCAACTGGTAAATTTATACTCTGCGATAGAGATTTTGAAGATCTTAATGATATTAAATTGACCTTTTGAGTTTTGACTAAACATCATTGCTCATTTCTATACTTGCGGATCTTTGTCTCAGGATCGGAGGCCATGTTTGCAGATCTTAGCTTCTTTTCTGTTCACTCTGTCCAGGTAGTTTAAGGAGATAAATACTCATTTCTTGCTTCTTTTCTTGCGATAGTCGTCTTTCTTAGTCATCTGAACTTATTCAGTGGTATTGTTTATCTGCAGCTTACATTTACACTTCTGGTGTTACCTTGCCTCTTGTTGGGTTATTTGGGCCAAGCAGCATACCTTTCTGAGAATATCAGCCATGCTGGGGATGCTTTCTTTGCGTCAGTTCCAAGTAAGATCCACTAGCTTCCACAGTACGTCAAGATCAACAAGGGTATTCCTTCATTGCTGGCTTGATTTTGCCGCTCGTTTCACGTCTCTAATTCTTTATTAATCTTTGTTTTTTCAGGTTTTTTGTTCTGGCCAGTCTTTCTCATTTCTAATATCGCTGCTCTAATTGCCAGTCGTTCAATGACGACAGCCACATTTACATGCATCAAACAGTCAATAGCACTGGGCTGTTTCCCACGTCTTAAAATCATTCACACCTCGAAGAAATTCATTGGACAGATTTATATACCGGTTCTAAACTGGTTCCTTTTGGTGGTGTGCCTGATCGTTGTCTGCTCTATCTCAAACATCTTCATGATTGGAAACGCATATGGTAATACTTCCTTCTCCTAGCATCTAGTTTGGGCAACTTAGGAAAAAATTTCAGTCAATCCTAAACACACCCCTTGCCTCTGGTTTTGGATTTTTGTATCTTCAGGCATCGCAGAACTGGGAATTATGATGACTACGACGATTTTGGTGACCCTTATCATGCTCCTTATCTGGCAGACGAACATCATAGTCGTGAGCTTGTTTGCAATTGTTTCCTTGGGAGTCGAACTGGTTTTCTTCTCATCAGTTATATCAAGTGTGGCTGACGGAAGTTGGATCATCCTGGTCTTTGCTACCATCATGTTTTTTATAATGTTCGTTTGGAACTACGGGAGTAAACTCAAGTATGAAACGGAAGTCCAGAAGAAGCTACCAATGGACCTACTTCGGGAACTGGGCAGTAATCTAGGGACAATTAGAGCACCTGGTATTGGTCTGCTTTACAATGAGCTAGCAAAAGGAGTTCCAGCAATATTTGGTCATTTTCTAACCACCCTTCCTGCAATCCATTCCATGGTTATCTTCGTGTGTATAAAATATGTCCCTGTTCCAAGCGTGCCTCAGACTGAGAGGTTTCTTTTCAGACGTGTCTGCCCAAGAAGCTATCATCTATTCCGCTGTGTTGCCAGGTAAACAAAGCTAACCGCTTTTCATTTAGTTTATAATGATGTACCTTTTGATAACATTATAGATTTGATACATTTCACGTGTTTAAATCAGGTATGGATACAAAGATGTGCGGAAGGAAAGTCACCAGGCCTTTGAGCAAATCTTGATTGAGAGCCTAGAGAAATTTATACGGAAGGAAGCACAAGAGCGTTCGCTTGAGAGTGACGGAGACCATAATAATACGGATTCAGAGGACGACACGACTCTGTCCAGAGTTTTGATAGCACCCAATGGAAGTGTGTATTCACTTGGACTGCCGCTCTTAGCTGAGCACGAGACAGACAAGCGACCCTGGGAGAAAAGAAGAGCCAGCACGGATTTTGTTGCAGGTCCTTCGAATGAAACACCAGCGCTGGATGCAGAGCAGAGTTTAGAAAAAGAATTGTCGTTTATACACAAAGCGAAAGAGTCAGGGGTCGTGTATCTACTGGGACATGGGGATATAAGAGCGACAAAGGATTCTTGGTTTCTGAAGAAGCTGGTGATAAATTACATGTATGCTTTCTTGAGGAAGAACTGCAGGAGAGGGATAACAAACCTAAGCGTTCCGCATTCGCATCTGATGCAAGTTGGAATGACTTATATGGTTTGATCTGCAAGCTGGTGGATCAGACGAACATTTTCAAGGTGCCGTCCAAGTTCCTAGAACACGAATACACAACCAGTTCAGGAGAAAGAGATTGTTTTTTATTCATTGTTTCACAAGTGTGATTGGTTATAGGAGAGAAAAAGGTGAATTTTTTTGTTTTATTTTTGAGGGTTGATATATAAAATTATGTGCTTGTTATTTTATTGATTGATTTGTATTTTGTCTCGTTCCACACTTTGTATTGAGATTGTAGCCTGAAGGTCTTGCTGTGTCGCAATGAGTTTTGTTTTGAGTGAATAAGTCTATGAGAGACTATGACTCTATGAGAGACTCAGAGCAGAAGGAGGCTCTCATGAAGGTTCAGTAAAGTTTATATAATTTATTTATAAAGAATTTACAGAGTCTCAAAGGCCCAATGTAGAGTTATTGAATGTGTTCTTCTGTGTATGAGTCACAAGCTAAAAGCAAATGTTTGAAACATTACAAAGAGATGAATAATCGATGATTCTCCAAGTCATCATTACCCTGACAGACCCTGTCATTAATACCCTTGCCTGACTGAGAGTTTGACAAGTAGTCAATAAGGTTGAAGTAAACAGCCGGAAAAAGAGATCTATCTCTGCAAAACAATACCGTGCCTCAATGCCCGGGTTTAAGAGCTTTCCTTTAATCTTGTGTTTTCATGTGGTCGCTTTGTTCCCTCTTTTGGTTCCCATTTGACATTATTGTCTTTTCGGTTCGAGAAGAATCTGTACCTCAGAAGTAAAGAATTAGTCATGACACCAAGAGAACTCACACCCATGAGAGCCCCCGCCATTGATGGAGTCAACATGGTTCCAGTCAATGGCAGCAACACTCCAGCCGCAATTGGGATCCCTACCTATATATCATTAACACAAGTTACATTACTAACTCCTTAGATACTCTCAAAGTAAGAATAGCAAAACATGAAAATGCAGAACAAAACTTACAATGTTGTATCCGAATGCCCACCAAAGATTTTGCTTTACAGTCTTCATGGTTTGTCGGCTTAGCTCCAATGCATCGAGCAACTGCGTATACATATCATGTAAATTACTAACCACATTTACACAGCTGAATTACATGAAAAAAAAAGTACACAGCTGTTGTGGGATTAATATGACAAACCTGTGATAACCGATTGCCCATCAAGACAATGGGAGACACCTCACTGGCCGCTCCTGCACCACCACCCATGGCTACACCAACATCAGATGATGCCAGAGCAGCAGCATCGTTTATTCCATCACCCACCATTGCTACTATATTCTTATTTTTCTGAAGTTCATTGATAAAATTCTTTTTCTCTGCTGGTTTAACTCCTGATATAACCTGTATAATAACAAATAAAGGTCATATAACTCTGTTTTGGCACTTCATTATCATCAATTCCTATTTAATTATTTCTTTTGTTCTGCATGAGTATGGCAACAGCTCAACCACTGCCATGATTTCAAATGTTTGGAAAGAACGTACCCTTTCTTGAGGAATTCCAACAACAGAGGCGACATAGTTTGCAGCACTCTTCTTGTCACCAGAGAGCATGTATACATTAATTCCCTGTCGAGTCAAATTCTCAACAACTTGAGCAGCATCTTCCCTTATTTTATCTTCAAAACGGATGACTGCAGCAAGTGTATTATCCACCCCAATATACACAACAGACTGGTTGTTAAATTCATGATCTTCAGATCCATGCATTGAGCTCCCATCGGCTCCATGTCTGCATTGGTCAAGAGTGAATTAAAAGGAGAATTTTTTTTTTGTCTTTTTAAAGTCTACAATCTTGTAACTAGAAGACTGAGGATGAACAGATTATACCTCTGAACCCACTCTAAGGTCCCAACCGAAATCCTCTTGTTGTTGACAATAGCAACGGCACCAGACCCTGGTTCCTCAGTAAATGTTCCATCCTCTGCCTGAAGTGACAAAAGTTCATTAATTTCCATCAATCTAATGAAATAATTATCATAAGCAGTCCTACCTTCATAGTTTGACAGTTATGAGCCCGAGCTGCTTTAACAATCGCTTTCCCAACAGGGTGAGTCGTGTTCGATTCAACAGCAGCTGCGAACATCAAAACCTCATCTTCTGACCAAGTATCATTCAAATTTTGTCTGCGTAAGAACATTAGGGATCAGATGTTTATCACAAAAACTCAGACCCGTAAGGTCTCTTATATAAAGCCTAACATAGCTAACGATACATAATGGAAAGTATGTAAGAATCAATATCCTCTTGAAGAATATTGTACATAGATCATTGAATATTTTGAAATAGCAAAGAGCCTAACCTTGGATCTCCGGGAATCATAACTTGAGTCACAACAGGGTGTCCCTTTGTCAGTGTCCCAGTTTTGTCAAAGACAACAGTATCAACGGTGGAAAACTTTTCAAGAATATCACCACCACGAAGAAGTAATCCTCTTCTTGCTCCTAATGATGTACCAACCTAAAGAATATACCAAGTTCGTCAACATCTTACTTTGTCTGATTCATAACAGCAAAAGCTGTACTCAGTAAAAAAAATTACCAGCATTGCAGTTGGCGTAGCCAACCCGAGGGCACATGGACAAGCCACAACCTAAATCCAAATCAATGTCTGTGAGACAGCATGATGATAACTAAAAGATGGAAAAGGTTAATCCTAACTGTTACAGCAAAATGTTACCAGAACGCTGCAAGATAGTTGGAGGGCCAAAGACATTGGGCTCCCGTTATGCAAGGTAGAAGGAAGAATATGTGCACCAAATAGATTCCAGAATGTAAATGTAGCTGCAGAGAGTGCCATCACTCCATACGTGAAGCGCCCTGCGACCTGTTATTGCAACAATAATCAAAGGTTAGTCCCTAGTTAACATTATTGCAACAATCAAATGTCACAGGAAAGAATGGAGAGACCTTGTCAACCAACTGCTGTACGGGTGCTTCTCTACTTTGGGCCTCTTCAACCATGCGAACAATGTCCCCAACAGCAGTTTCACCCCCTGATCTATGCACTTCCACAGTAAGAGTTCCATTCAGATTTATAGATCCTGCTGCGACTTGACTCTGTCCCACAAGAATTTTTAACAACAAAACTTGAGTTACATGTACATAACTTAGCACCATGAGCATAATATTTATCCAAAGTTAATGATATGTACTAAAGGAGACAACCAAAAGAGTCGACATGATAATATTCAGGCTACATTATATATAGATAGGGGTTGAGTAGAAAGTTACCCCTGCTTCTTTTGTCACTGGCAATGGTTCACCTGTGAAACTTGACTCGTCAATGGTGCTTCTACCTGACTTGACAACACCATCTGCTGGAACTCGATCCTGCGTGAAGTAGGCAACCATTTCCCATGTGTCAACAACAAGGATACACGAAAGACATCAAAGTAAGATGTTCATCCTCCTAACAGACTGATACTTTGCATTAGCAGGAAAATATGGCGTGCAATAAAATACAGGAAACAACAACATACTATGCATGAGAATGAAAATTCTCTCTTCTTACTCCTGGTAGTATGACGACTAGATCACCGACAGAGAGACTGTTACAAGGAACCTCAACAGTTGAATTCTGTAGGTCGCCGCCATCAAGCAGAAGGCGAGCTTTTGAAGGCAAAACACTCAGAAGACCAGTCATATCACTGGTGGCTTTGATTTTAGCTCTCTGTTCAAGATTCCTTCCCAGCAATACAAAAGCTATTAACATAACTGGTTCCTCAAAAAATGTCTTCCACCCCTGGATTTCAAAACAGTTTTATAATATCAGCCACCAGACCGCAGGGAGCAATACAGAATTGAACAAAATATTTTATTAATGTTTACCAATTTTGGAACCAGAGCTGCCACTGAGCTAACACTAAATGATGACATAGCCCCAAGACCAACAAGCGTGTTCATGTTCGGAGAACCTTTTAAAAGGCTTTTGAAACCATCAAGTACTAGCTTACGCCCAGGACCAAGCAACGTAAGCAAACATAAAGACACATGGAACCCCGTTGAATGGATGGCATGGATCCATGGAGCGTTCACACCAAGAAAGTGAGTTAAATGGCCAACTAGGCATACAGCACATAGAGCCCATGAAACAGCAAGCTCGCGTCCTGTAAAACAGTCAAGAGATTATATAAATATTAGCAAATAAAACTTCAATCTCCAATAGCAACATATCGATTTCAAGCAACCATTCATACCACTCTCTTTTAAGCGAGCCTGCTTGTCTTTTGTCTTTGTTTCAAAAACTTTGAAGAAATTCTCTGTCACCAAATCTGGAACAACGAAAGATACTTAGTACTCAGACCAAGAACGATAACTGTAAAATACCCTGACTCAGGATAACAGGGGCATCCAGAATCTTTCTGCAACTGATAAGCAAAAAACCACTAAGACTTCCCATGTAAAGAACAAACCATAGCAAAAGAAACTGAGAACAGTACAAGATAACAAAGAGAAAAAGATAAGCACATTAACACATGTTCATCAATGTAAAACATAAAGATAAATACATGGCCTTAAGATTTTTTCAATATATCACAAAGGACTGACAACATATACTCATAATCGGAACCACAAATTTATGTTTACAATCCCTTCCCCAACTAGCAGCTGCTCTCAATCATCTGTTAAAGGAGAAGTAGTCAGTTAGTAGACGTAAAACCAAAAAGCACAATATACTCAGATCGGCAATTAACACGAGAAGAACATACCATACCGGTAATGATTGCTGCAGGGGAAATCTCTAGTACTTTCAAGGTGCAATCTCTCCAGCAATATCTTCAGGAACTTCCCCTACCCCATCAGTATCCACCGGATACGCAAAAAGATGATGAGATTTGTGATTTTCATTTCCAATCAATTAGCATTATTGAAACACTAAAATCTAAGGCACCATATTTCCAAACAAAATCAATCAGAGTTTGGGGAAAAGACATCAACCAGACAAACAACCCTATAAGCTATCAAACATACTGAATCAACCATTCAAATGAGTATTAACAGAAGCTGCACCGTCTCACCTCGAGGAGTAGACTGAAAGCCGCAATTGGTGAGATGATTTGCAAGCGTCTCGCCTAAAGTCTTTTGCCAATCAGGTACACTTTTAGCTTCCGCTACAGGCCACACTATTGCTGTCTCCGTCGTGAGATTAACACTAGCAGAAGCAACTTGAGGCTATACATCAAAGAAAAGTTTTTTAAAAATCAAAACTTTTGGACAACCTTAACACATGACACCAGTTTGGTCTTAGCTTACTTGGCTTTCCAGTATTTTCTTCACACTTGCAGAACAACCTCCACATGTCATCCCCTTCAATTGAGCAGAGCATCGAAATCGGTAAAATAACAGAATTGGAGTGAATTGGAAACCATCAAGAATTGAAACAGAGAGAGAGAGAGAGAGAACGTACTCCAACATCGAGAATAATGATATCTGACGACGGAAGAGAGACACTATCACCTGCTCCAACACCTAATTTAGACTTGGAATCACCACTATCCGATCTTCCGCCGCCGCCTCCGCCACCTCCACCGTTGTACCCGCCGAATCCTGCACCGCCGCCGCCGCCACTGGAGATACTCCTGAAGGAAGGAGATGAGCTGGACAAGCACTGCAAACGGTGTCGGATTACAGGCAGAACAGCAGCTCCCAAGCTTCTCAACGCGGACGACGTAATTGGGCTGGCGTGAAATCCAACAAGACGGCGCGCGACAGGGGAGGAGCGAGCTAGCAACAGAGGATGGAGGTGCCTTGAGCCAGAAAAGTGGCGGTTAAGAGCTTTAGAGATAGTGAGGAGAGGCAACGAAGGACCACCGGTTCTGGCCATCGCTGTCGCCGTGGCGGAGAATGTAGACTCCATGGAAGTGGCTCCACACAGTAATCTCAATCTCTCAAAGTCTCGTTATCTTTTTCTTATTCTCCGGCTCAGGCCTGTGTTTGTTTTAGTTCAAGTGTTCTCTCTAAACGAAACGAGAGGTGGTTAGGTGTGAAACTCAATCGCTTTACCAGTTTTCCAATTTGGTTTGTCAAAGGTTTAAACTTTATGAGTTTCGTCAAAATTTTACAACTAAAGTGACGGACTTTTCGTTGTAATTTAGTCAAACTGTTACAAATATTGAATTTTTCTTTGCAAGCCTGACGTAAGAGATGATTAAACTGATTTACCGGTCTATTTAGTTACGTTACTTACCATATATAATATCAACAAGTAAAAACGTAAAAGACAAGCAGAACCAAACACAAAAAAAAAAACCAAATGTTTTACTTTACCAAGTACACAATCACTGAAACGTAACAAAGAGCCTCTCTATACACATCATGATCTTATCCTCTAGAGTCCAAGAGATGACAGAAGACTCCCGGAACCGAGCCTTCTCTTTCGCAGACGCTCTGCAATGATGAAGGCAAGCTCCAGAGACTGAGAAGCATTGAGCCTCGGGTCGCAGTGAGTGTGGTAGCGTGAGCTTAGATCGTTGTAAGTGATGGTGCGTGACCCTCCAACGCATTCCGTCACGTTTTGACCCGTCATCTCTAGATGCACCCCACCAGGAAAGCTCCCTTCTTGATCATGCACGTCGAAGAACGCTCTCAACTCCGCCTGATATAATTCAATGAGCAAAATACACATGAATCATCATCATATGCAAGATTATATACATATTTAGGGTGAGGATGATGAAGTAAGAAGGAATTTTTAGTACCCTTATTGCATCGAAAGAACGAGTCTTTAACCCACTTGGAGCCATGATAGTGTTTCCGTGCATTGGATCACTAACCCAAGTCACAATCTGACCGGCTCCACGTACTGCTCTGATCAAATGAGGAAGCTTGACCCGCATATTCTCAGCTCCCATTCTCACTATCACCGTAATCCTTCCAGGCTTGTTCTGAGGGTTTAGTATCTCTATCAGCTTAACCAGTTCACTAGGGACCATTTTATCACTCACCTGAGTCAAAAACCACATCAGTTTTCTCCAAAGATGAGGAAGCTAAACAGTAAGCACAATCATATTTTGGTCACGTACCTTGATACCAAGTGGGTTAGCGATTCCCCTCAAAAACTCAACATGAGCGCCATCGAGCTGGCGAGTTCGCTCCCCAACCCAAACCATGTGAGCAGAGCAGTCATAGTAAAGTCCAGAAGTTGAATCCTCTCTTGTGAGTGCTTGCTCGTAAGGCAGTAGCAAGCACTCGTGTGATGTCCAAAACTCAGTCGTAGTCATGATCGGGTGTGCATTGGTAAGTCCAGCTGCACTCATGAACCCTAAAGCCTCATCAACTCTATTCGCCAATTCACGGTACCTGTTTACTCACAACAACAAGACATAAGAAACATCGTCTCGTCTGCAATATCAACCAAAAATCAGAGAGGCATAAAAGTGTTAATGGAGCTCAAACCTGTCCCCTTGTTCACTATGCTGGCTGAAATCAAGATTCCACTGACTAACTCTCTGCATTGCAGCATAACCTCCAGTTGCAAAGGCTCTCAAGAGATTCAACGTAGCAACAGATTGCGTATACGCTCTAACCATCCGATGAGGATCAGGAATCCTCGATTTCTCATCAAAAGCATCACCGTTTATGTTATCTCCTCTGTAACTCGGCAGCTTCACGCCATCTTTCTCCTCAAATGGGTCCGATCTCGGCTTCGCAAACTGACCCGCCATTCTTCCAACCTGAAAAACTCAAAACCCCACAAAGAAAAACATAAACTTTCCAATCACCAAATCAGTAACACGAAGAAGTTTGGATTTTGAGTTAAAAAAAACTCGACCTTTATAACAGGCATCTGACCACCGAACATGAGAACAACACCCATCTGGAGAAGAATCCTAAAGGTATCCCTAATGTTATTAGCGTTGAATTCCTTGAAACTCTCGGCGCAATCACCGCCTTGGAGCATAAAGGCCTTACCCATGGCGGCTTGTCCTAGCTTCTCCTCCAGCTTCCTTGCCTCTCCGGCGAAGACTATAGGAGGGAAAGAGGAAAGCGTCTGTAAAACCGATTCGAGATCCTTCTGATCTGGGTATTCCGGCAACTGCAGAGCTTTCATCGATTTCCAACTGTCCACGCTCCATTTGGCCGGAGCGGAGGCTGATTGGGCTGATTTTTTGGGGTCGGTCGAATGGACGGCGTAGACGGGGGAGAAAGAGATCGGACGGTGGGGAGATTGGCGGTAGGGTAGAAAGGATTTGGTCGGGAGAGGAGAAGAGATGTTTAGAGTCACCATCGCTGCTTGACGACTGGTTCGCTACAAGATAGAGAAGAAGAGCCAAATTAAATAAAGGAGAGATTTTTATAAGAAACTTAGAAAAGTAAACACATTTTTGAATAAATAGTAGCCACATATATACGCCAAGCTAAAACATCTGATTGAAACAGAGGGTCACCACACTGATTATCTTCTTCGTCGTCTCTGAATCATCTGTGACTGTTACAGACTTGAGCTTCAATGTTAGTGTTATGGCCGATCATTTGATCCTTTCTCTTCAACCTCCTACGTTTCTGATCTTCCCTTCTTCTCTTCACCGTCGATTGGGTTTGTCTCGGAAATTTCCCGGTGGAACTAGATTCTCAGTTCCCGAGCTCCGATTGTCGTCTCAACTACAGTTGGCTAATTCCACTTCACCATCACAGTCTTCTTCCTCTTCCTCTTCTCCTCCTTTTCCACACCCGGATTCTGCTCCGGAGAAGTTCGATCTCGTGTCCAGCACTCGTAAGCCGTGGTTTCTCCTCCTCTTCTTCTTTACTCTTTCTTATCAAAATCAGTTCACAGCTCTGTATCTAAATCTAAAGCTCTGATTTTTGAAGCTTAATTACTGAGACTATCACCAATTTATGTGGAATTCGAGTGTCAAACATAAAACTTTCCTTTTAGTTTCAAAATGTCTGATGGTTTACATACTTGATTCAGTTTGAAATTTTGTTTGGATCTGCAGAGCTTAAGGATGGAAGCCATGTCTTCCGGTTTGGGGATGCAAATGAAATTGAGAGATATCTTGAGACTGAAGAAAAAGCAAGATGCTTAGAGGTGGAGAAGCAGCAACATGCTAAGATAGCAGAAAAAGCCAGTGAAGTTTCGAGGAAACAAGGGTTGAAAGATGGACATGCATCGGATATTGAATCAGGAGATTCTTCTGAGGAAGAGGAAAGAGCTCCTCCTCCTGCCAATCTCAGCAATGTCATCAAGATTAAGGATCGTAAAAGAGTTCGTTCTCCTACTAAGAAAAAGAAAGAACTTTTGCGGAGCGAAGATAAAGCTGAAGCCAAAGTTGATAGTGTGTCCAATCCAAGCTCCGCAGTTAGTGTAGCTGAAGCCATTCCTACTAGCTCTACTGAAGAAAAGGTCGTTGTTTCTAAGAAATCTGAGCCGATCAATGAGAATGTAGAGCCTCTTTCTTCTGAAGTCATGGAGGAAGTCTCTGTAAACGAGATAAAAGACTGTGAGACAAATGGTTATCAACAACTCACTGAGGATCGTGTGGAGGTTCAAGCAAGACCGATACCATCTACTCCACAAGAGGGCTCACAGTCAGAGCTGTATGATCTCAAGGAAGTTTTGCATGTATCTACCATTGAACCTGATGACAATGTGGATGTGAGAGAAGAACCGATGAAAACTTTTGAAGCTGAAGAAAATCTTGTCGTTGTACCAACAGCTACAGCTGCTGTATCTCCTGATGAACTTGTTTCAACTTCAGAAGCAACACATAGCAGCATTGGTGAGATCGCTGAAACGCCTGAGGTGGTGAGTCCTAACTCTAAATTGTTAAGCAGTTTAAACAGTTTTAGAAAGAAAGATACATCAGAGAGTGTTGTTTAACAGATTAGTTATCATTGATGAAGGCAAATGACAGAGGTAATGTGGCTTCAACCACAGAAGATGAAATAACTGTGAATGACACAAAAGCTGATAATGGTAGCTTATCTAAAACTGTCAGTGACACAAAAGTTGAAGATATCCAACTTCCTGCACCTGAAACGGTCGGTGTTGAACCCATTGAAGTGGTTTCAGTCAGGTTAGTAAGTAATATATTTTACTCATCTTTATGAATGGTTAAAAAAACTGTGCTATGGTCTTACATAGATACAAGTTACAAGTTACATGCGTGCTTGTTTTGATGTGGTTGTATGTTTGACATCTAAACAGGGAAGAACTTGTGTCCAAAGCATTTTACTTGGACTCTGGTGTTGCTTCACTCCAAAGCCCTGTTAAGGTAGCTGTGAGTCTTTCTATCTGCAGTTCACTTATTTTCGACAGGTTGCAAGTAGTTGCTTTGTATTTGTGTTATGTGGTTAGTAATTTAGAAATAATGATGTCCAGGCATTGGCAGGTCGGGAAGATGCTTATTTTGTCTCTAACCATAACTGGCTAGGTGTTGCAGATGGAGTCTCTCAGTGGTCATTCCAAGGTACGTTTAAGTTTTCTTTGCATTGTTTTTGCAGAAACTCACTCACTTGAATTTCGTTCTTATTCGAATATATGTTTTGATTTGTCCTTCAGGAGTCATCAGGGGAACATATGCTCAAGAACTCATGAGCAACTGTCAAAATATTATATCTGCTGAAACTGATAAGATAGCTGAGCCAGTTCAAGTTCTCCATAAAAGTGTCACAGAGACCAAGTCCCCTGGATCATCCACAGCCTTGATTGCTCATCTCCACCATAATGTGAGACTTGGTCCTTTGTGTAATAATAAAGGAGCCTGGAGTTAGAGTCAGTCTGTGATCATGTAAATTTTACTTTGTAGGAACTCCACATTGCCAATATCGGAGATTCGGGATTCATGGTTATTAGGAACGGGAGATTATTGCAGAAGTCGTCTCCAATGTTTCATCATTTCTGCTTTCCCTTGCAAATTAGGCAAGGCAATGATGATGTCCTAAAACTTGCAGAGGTACGGAAATGCCAATCATTTTCCGAAGTAGCAGACACTCTTAAACGGTTCATCTAAAACAGAATAATGTATATGCGGTCTTGTTTACACAATCTGCAGGTTTACCATGTGAATCTGGAAGAGGGCGATGTTGTGATCACAGCGACTGATGGACTTTTTGACAACTTATATGAGAAAGAAATCGTTTCAATAGTTTGCAAGTCACTGGAACAGAGTTTGGAACCTCAGGTGCTCAATGTCTTCAATTCTTTTTTATTTGTTTAAATTGGTTGATCAACTAGTTTCAGGCTTTTGTCTTGAATGTGTCATTTTAAGCCTATCTATTCTTACATCAGTGTGTGTTGAAATTTGTAGCAGAAAGTAGCAGAGCTGTTGGCTGCAAAGGCACAAGAAGTGGGACGATCTGAGACAGAGAGGACGCCATTTGCAGACGCAGCTGAAGAAGAAGGATATGATGGTTACAAAGGTGGTAAACTTGATGCTGTTACTATCATCGTCTCACTTGTCAAAACTCTCTCTATCTAAAATTAAATATTCATCTTCCTCAACGACTGTAAATAAAGAGAGACACACCACGTTTTTAATACAATGGGCCTTAAAAAGGCTCAAGTGTTTATAACTGTTGCTCCCATAACTCAACGAAGATTCTTCTTTCGTTAAACCCTTCTTCTCCAACATTTCCCAGGATCAGAGGAGGAAGTAAAAATGAGGTTTTTCCAGGGAAATTCCTCTTTGACCTTAAACCCTATTAAGAGCAAACTAGCAACGAAGATTCTTCCTTCGTTGATCCATCTGATTCTCGTCAAACCCTTCTCTCAATCCACATCCATCCCCACCAAGCAGGACCGAGTTCGTGACCATGGCTACGACAATTACATGGAAGTCGAGAAGAAAATCCGCAAAGTCGTCAAATTCCACAGCCTCATCCTCTCTCAGCCAAACAACACCATCGCAGTCTCTCTCCTCGACACGCTCGCTCGCCGTCTAGGTCTCGGTTTCAAGCAGCACGAGCCAGGCGCCTTCATCCTCAAATTCCCACATGTCTTCGAGGTCTACGAGCACCCTGTCCAGCGAATCCTCTACTGCCGATTAACCCGAAAGGCTCTGGATCAAATCCGCCACGAGCACGAAGCCGTCCTCGCCCAGATACCCGACGCCGTGACCCGGATCCGGAAACTCGTCATGATGTCGAATACGGGTCGGATCCGTCTCGAGCACATCCGGATCGCTCGCGCGGAGTTCGGGCTCCCGGAGGATTTCGAGTACTCGGTGATTCTCAAACACCCAGAGCTCTTCAAGCTCATCGACGCCGAAGAGACTCGAGATAAGTACATCGAGATTGTGGAAAAGGAGCCGAATTTATCGGTTTGCGCGATTGAGAGAGTTAGGGAGATTGAGTATAGAACGAAAGGAATCGACGCGGAGGATGTTCGATTCTCGTTCGTCGTGAATTTTCCTCCGGGTTTTAAGATCGGAAAGTATTTCCGAATCGCGGTTTGGAAATGGCAGAGACTTCCTTACTGGTCACCGTACGAGGATATCTCCGGATACGATTTGAGATCGTTGGAAGCGCAGAAGAGATTGGAGAAGAGAGCTGTTGCTTGCATACACGAATTGCTTTCTCTGACTGTGGAGAAGAAGATAACGCTTGAGAGGATCGCTCATTTCAGGAACGTTATGAATCTGCCGAAGAGACTGAAAGAGTTTCTTCTGCAGCATCAGGGGATTTTCTACATATCGACACGTGGGAATCACGGGAAGCTTCACACGGTGTTTCTGAGAGAGGGTTATAAGAGAGGGGAATTGGTGGAGCCGAATGATGTGTATTTAGCTAGGAGGAGATTAGCTGAGCTTGTGTTGATGAGCCCTAGAAAGGCTAAGGTTGATGCAGAGTTGGTTAGTTACAGAAATGGATTGGATGACGAAGATGATGATGAAATCGAATAGAGTTTTTTGTTTTGTAGAATGTTTTATTCAAGTTCTATGGTTTAAGCCAAGCTAGAAAAACAGAGTCTTTCTTTGACTATGTAAAAACAGAGTCAACAATCACTGTTCTGTGTCAATTTGAATTGAAGAGAGATGATGTCAACAAGGTTTGCTTACTTGAGCTGCAAGATATACTTTGGGCTATACTCTTTCTCATCAGCAATATTCTTAACTCGATTCATGATTTTCTCAGATACTAAGAAAGAATGTTTTTTTTTTCCTTTAGTCCCATGGTTTAAGCCAAGAATATTTTACTTGTCTACTTAAGGCAAACCCCAAAAATAAGGTATTTCTTTGCATATACAAAAAACCAGTATAAACGAAAAGACAAATTCTTGTAATAAAAATATCTTCTTCCAAGTCTTAAATGTCTACGACTTTGTCATTTTCTTCTACCTTCATCATCACCACCATCACGTGATTGGCTAATACAAATAATACTGTTTTATTTTTATTAATAATTATGTCACCACAAACCGTGAAGATGGAGAAAATGAATGTCCGACTTATGATCTCGTTGATGGTGATGTCTCTGGTTCTGGGTTTTTCGTCGGCAGTTGATTTCAGATGGAGGAGAACGGCGGGATTTTCTGATAGATTCACCAGAGCTGTCTCTTCAGTTGTGTTCCCAGTTCATGGAAACGTTTATCCACTTGGGTACATATCTATTTTCCGACCAAACTTGACAAAATTATTGCTTACGGTCTCTCATTTCAGAATTCTGTTTTCTTTCTTCTTTGGTTTGGAACAGGTATTATAATGTGACCATCAACATAGGACAACCACCAAGACCTTATTATCTTGATCTTGACACTGGTAGTGATCTCACTTGGCTCCAATGTGATGCTCCTTGTGTTCGTTGCTTGGAGGTATAATAACAATGATAATTTTTTCAATTTTTTGGATCCAATGTCATAGTTTCATCTTTGCTAATTCGAGAATCTACTTTTGGTTTTCAGGCACCTCACCCACTATATCAGCCAAGCAACGATCTAATTCCTTGCAATGATCCATTGTGCAAGGCGCTACATTCGAATGGTAACCATAGATGTGAGACTCCAGAGCAATGTGACTATGAGGTTGAGTATGCTGATGGAGGATCTTCTCTCGGTGTTCTTGTTAGAGATGTCTTCTCTTTGAACTATACACAAGGTCTCCGTCTCACTCCTCGTCTTGCTCTCGGGTATATACATTTTTCAATCTAATTCAAGAAATTCTAGTTCTTAGCAAAGTAGACTTCATTGGAGTTGCTTTTGTGTGTGTAACAGATGCGGATACGATCAAATCCCAGGGGCATCGAGTCATCATCCCCTAGATGGAGTGTTGGGGCTTGGTAGGGGAAAAGTAAGCATTTTGTCACAGCTTCATAGCCAAGGTTATGTCAAGAATGTTATCGGTCATTGCTTAAGCAGTCTTGGTGATGGAGTTCTGTTTTTTGGAGACGATCTTTATGAATCTTCAAGGGTCTCTTGGACACCTATGTCCCGTGAAAACACGTAATTTATTCACCTTTCTCTCTGTTAACCTGATCACTCACTCTGTTTACTCTCTTCTTGATCTTGATTTTGCAACATTTCCTCTCAGAAAACACTACTCTCCTGCGATGGGAGGGGAGCTTCTATTCGGAGGAAGAACAACGGGATTGAAGAATCTAATCACAGTATTTGACAGTGGCAGCTCTTACACATATTTCAACTCCAAAGCGTACCAGGCAGTAACGTACTTGGTAAGGAAACTTGTGAAATAAGAAGATAAAGAGAGAGACCATTTACTTAACAATCAAGTCTATTTTGTGATTTGGTAGCTTAAAAAAGAGCTAAGCGGAAAGCTAAAAGAAGCACGGGACGATCACACGTTGCCTCTATGTTGGCAAGGACGAAGACCGTTCATGAGCATTGAAGAAGTCAAGAAGTATTTCAAGCCTCTTGCTTTAAGCTTCAAAACCGGTTGGAGATCCAAAACTCAGTTTGATATACCTCCAGAAGCTTATCTCATCATCTCTGTAAGCAATATTTATCTCAAGTTTTTTAGTGTTTTTCTTTTGAGGGGTACAATGCTAAAAGGAAAATGGTTGTTGCAGATGAAAGGGAATGTATGTTTAGGAATCTTGAATGGCACAGAAATTGGTCTCCAGAACTTAAACCTCATTGGCGGTACAGTCTTCTTTATGAATATTACATCTATCTTCGTTTCTGGATTATACATGATATTAATTCCCTTGTTCTCTGTTTTTATTTGACAGATATATCGATGCAAGACCAAATGATAATCTATGACAATGAGAAACAATCCATTGGGTGGATTCCAGCTGATTGTGATGAACTTGCTTCACTCAAAGCTGCTCATGTCTATGAATATTGAGAAAATGTTAAACAGTTTATATAATCGTTGGTAAACAAACTGAGATACAGTTATAGTAGATAAATTCATTGTAATGCAGCTTATATATACAGAAGACATCTTTGCCAAACTGAGATGTATACTATTAGAGAACTTTTCTTACTGGAATCTCAAATTTAAAATTTAACAAAAACTTATATCTTGGAGTAAATTTGTTTACTAGTGAAGTGGCAAAATCACAACTTTACGGTCTCAAAACTTCAACAGATATTATCTCCGGCCGGCGAATTTCACTTGCTCTCACTCACTCTCTCCCACCAAAGTCACAACTTTTCTCTTCCATTCTCTATCTCTCGAGCTTTCATGGCTTTCTTATACTCCTTAACTTCGCCGTCACCGAATTCGACTCTCTCCTATTCCAATATCCATCAATTTCAGAACCCGTCTTCTTCGTTTCCGGTCTCCTTATCCGTCTCTTCCCCGAACAACACCCGCCATCTCCGTCTGCTCATCACCTCCGCGTTGAATCCACAGACGGGACAGCCGACGAAGAAAGCCTCGACCGGTGGTGGCAGTAACAGCACGAATAAGAAACGGAAGAAAAAGGGGAAAAGCGCGAGTCCTCCTATTAAGGAGGATTGGGAATTGAGAGATGCTGCTGATGCTCTTGCAGCTCTTGACGAAGACGATGATGACGAAGATGCTTCTTTAGCGACATTTAACTCTCCTCCTACGATACCCAAACCACCAGCTGGGTTCGTGATAGATGAAACCGGTAGGGTTCTTATGGCCTCTAAGAAGCGAATCGCCACTGTGGTTAGTCAATTTATTCCTCCAGCTTCACTTTGGGTTATGGACATGATAAGATTTTGGTGTTGAGCTAAAAAAAGTTTTTGTTGTGAGTGATTACAGGTTGATCCAACAAACAATAGCCCTTTGGATTGTGTGATAAGAAGAGTGTTTACAAGTAGTAAAGGAGAGGATTGTATGCTTCTTTGCCCTGTGGATACGTGAGTGACTGTCTCTTGTTTATCATTTGAGAAACGTCTTCTTTCCTGCTTGATTGATTCTATTCTTTGCTTCAGGCCAGTTCAGATTCTGAAGAGCACAAATATAGATGGATGGTCAGCGGTGAGTTTCTCTCTTTCATGAATCTACGCCACAAATTTGATTTGTTGCTTCAGAAAAGAGAGAGCTTTTGGATGCTTTTAACACCTTGGTTTTACTTATCTGGATGATTCTGCCTTTTAGGTTAGTGATGAAGAGGTTGAATCTCTTCTTCCTGCTGCTGCTTATGCTCTTGCAAAGATCCATATGCATCTAGTACACAGCGGGTATGATTTTGCCCTGTTTCAAAATTAAAGAAAGCAGGATTTTTTTCTAATATCGTATGTTTCTCTATTTCTGATGCCATCTGATGTGTTAATCTCTGTAAATCAGATTCTGTTACACTGCAAGGGGAGGCTTTTGCTACACTGAGGATAATGTCTTTGATTTTCGCACAGGCAACAATCTTTTTCTTCTGATATTTACACATTCCTCAGCATCTGCTCTATATGAGTACACTAAATGATTTTGGTGGATATATGATATTATGCTTAGGATTGAACTTCAGCTGAACTATAATGTTAGATATTAGAATGAACAATAGGAAGAATATCATGGTCTTGTGAACTTGCACCTTTAGTAAAATGCATGTGGTTATCTGTAGTATTCTCTCATGTTTAGTTCTCTCGCTCTACTTCATTCTAACTGTCAGGTGTTTGTACGGGTCTGCTCATATATATATAGTTCAAAACTCGTGTCCTACTTTTCTCGTATCATTAAATGTGTAGAACATCAACTATTTGCAGATGATGGCCAAGATGTTGAAGGCTTGCCAACTGAAGGGGTTGAGATTACGTGTTTCCATCTGGTATACCATTGCTTTTGGCATTTTGTCTATTGATATGTTTGAGGTGCCTTTTACAATATTCCGAACATTTTTTGGGAGTTGTTGAGTAATTGTGAAATATATGGGTTTGATTCAGGATGGATCACACTATATGGTCTACACGCCTTCAGATCCACTTCTCTTTGTTGCTGCCAAGGTACGGTTTGTTATTTTCGACTCTTTATTGTGAAAGTTATGCCAAGCTGTAGCAACATGGAGTTTTGTGGTGTTGCTTTTAGAGTGATTAACATGACAACTTGATCAATGCAGGATCCGAATGGGCTGCTGCAAATTGCTGATGATGTAAGTGAACCTCTATTTCTGGACCCTTTTTGTTCCTGTGCAAATTGGTTGAGACCCTTCCTGAAGGTTAATAGAAGAGTGTTTAGCAAAAGCTGCACCACTAGACGTTAACAAGCTGTGAACTCAAGAAATTAAAAATGAGACTTTAAAGTTATAATAGTGATGTTTATAGTAGAAGTAGAGAGTGAAAGAAAAACAGCAATTTTTTGTGATGGTCAATATGGGAGTAAGCTAACACTTTGATGTGAATGGGTTGCAGGAGCTATTAGATGATCCAGCAGTGATCAGCGCCATAGACGAGGAAACTGAATTCAATGCCTTAGTGGTACGTAGAGAACATCAGTCAACAAACTTTTAAATTAGAGGCATGAATGTTTGTTAAAGTGTGATGTTGAATGTGGTAAGTGATGATGTTTGTGCAGGAGGAAGAGGCGGCTCTTCTGGAATCACTGCTTGGGGATAGGATATAAAATTTTCATAGGGACTTACTTTTAGCTTTCTTATTTGTGTTCCATAATTAGCTTTCTTGTTTATGTTTCGTAATTGCAATAACATGTGATTTAAAGTTCTCATTTATCATTTTCCTTTTATAAAATGCTCATTTTCCCCTCTGCATTTCCTCTGTGCACTCATATCCTTCGAATTCGAGTTTGTATCTATTTTGAAAAAAAATCTGGATCGTAGATTCATTTGATAACATTAAAATCATAAATTCGGTATTGTAAAATGGAAGAATTATTTTCATGATTTGTTATCACATCTACTCATCTGTGCTTTGGTGGGAGTTTGACCGTAAAAAGCCTATCCTTTGAAGAAAAAAATCTATCAGTTATTAAAAAGTTTTCTTTTTTATTTCTCTTCTGGATTCCTCTCTAACAAGCTCTGAGCTCGAGGTACAATCATGTCAATGGCGCTAACCGTTGGGCCTCTGTCTGTTCCTCGTAATTCTCTACTTCCTTCTCTTCATTGCTTTCTCTATCGGCTGGTTTTGTCTGGGCTTATGTGAATTTATCATATGAACAACTTTGTCTGTTCCTCTGTTTTTCGTTTCTAATACGAAATTGGGCGTTTAAGGGTTTCAACTAAAGGAGTGATTGAGCTGCCCATGTTCATGTTCTTAGTGATTTCTTTCTTTTTTTTTTTTTTTGAACGTCTAGTGATTTCTTTCTTTATATTGAAGATTCTTACGAAAATTTAATTGCTTTAGGAAGTGGTGGAATTTCTGGGACTAGGAGAAGCATATGCAAGAAGAATCATCACTGGTTTGGTTTCAATTTGCGATACGGATCGGTTTTAGGGAGAGGACGTCTTGTGCAACCCAACAATATTTGCTGCTCATTTAGCACAGACAAGGATCCTCTCTCACCATCTATCCAGCAATTAACCGATGCTCGTATCATTTATAGTGTATCTCCAGCATTGGGTCATAACAAGGTGTGTTTTTTTCACTTCCTACATTTGGTTGTTTCTGTTCCTCTCAAAAATTTCTTGCACATTCTTTAAAGTCATCTTTTTTCCTCATAGGAATCACATCCGGAATGCAGCGCAAGAGTTCCTGCCATTGTTACCGCTCTTGAGAAGAATGAGCTCACTCCTAAGGCATGATACGATCCCATCTCTATCGCTTTTCTAGTGACATGTATATATCCCTCCATTGTTACATTTCTTTTGTTGCCTTTGTGTATTTCAGTTCCGTGGCTCACAGATTCTTGAACTTGCAAATTTCAAGACTGCGACTATAGAAGACATTGCAAGTGTTCACGAAAAGGCTTATGTCTTTGGCCTAGAGAAGGTTATTTCCTTTCTTCATGTCATGTTATTAGCATCCATTATGCAACTTTCTATGCCATATCCAAAATGATTAGCAAAGTAAGTAGGTTTCAAGATGAGAAAGAATTCGAGCGTGAGGTTTGTTTTGACCATTACAATGGCTTTCTTCTTGGTTTAGGCAATGGAGGAAGCTTCAGATTCAGGACTAATTTTCATCGAAGGTTCTGGACCAACATATGCCACTTCAACTGTAAGTCCTTTGCGCTCAACGGTTTACATCTCTTAAAGGAACCATTTTTCCTGCACTAAATCACTTACCTCTGTGGCAGACATTCCAAGACTCACTTATCGCAGCAGGAGCTGGAATGGCTTTAGTTGATTCAGTGGTGATGTCTCCTCTCACCATGTTAGTCTACATTACTGCTACAGTTTCATTACGTTGGAAATGGTTAACAAATTTCTTAGCAACTTGATTGATTGATTCGTTTCAGGTCGCAGCATCAAGAAACACCCTTGACCCTCCAACTGGCTTTGCATTGATAAGACCTCCAGGACACCACGCCGTGCCTAAAGGTCCAATGGGTTTCTGCGTTTTCGGCAATGTGGCAATCGCAGCTCGTCATGCTCAACGAGCACACGGCCTGAAGCGTGTCTTCATTATTGACTTCGATGTTCACCACGGGAATGGCACTAATGATGCATTTACAGAGGATCCTGATATATTCTTCTTGTCAACTCATCAGGTAAGCCTTTGCATGACATGTTTTAAGATCATTGATTGAAACACAAAACTATGGTTTAGATTTCAAAAAACGCAGGATGGAAGCTACCCTGGAACAGGGAAAATGAGTGACACAGGCAAAGGAAAAGGAGAAGGTACCACTCTAAATCTACCTTTACCTGGAGGATCAGGTGATGTTGCAATGAGAACAGCTTTTGAAGAAATCATTGTTCCATGTGTTCAACGGTTCAAGCCTGATCTTATTCTTGTTTCTGCTGGGTGAGTGAGACAAGTTTTAGTGTGTTTATCTTTGAAATGTATCATCATTTTGTGTTGACAAACTCCTCTGTGCTTAGGTATGATGCTCATGTACTGGATCCACTAGCAAACCTACAGTTCACGACAGGGACATACTACTCATTGGCGAAAGATATAAAGCGGTTAGCGAAAGAAGTATGCGGAGGGCGTTGTGTTTTCTTCTTGGAAGGAGGATATAATCTTGATTCCTTATCGTCATCTGTGGCAGACTCGTTTAGAGCACTTCTTGGGGAAGAAAGCTTGGCTTCAGAGTTTGATAACCCTGCTTACTTGTATGATGAGCCCATGAGAAAAGTGCGAGCAGCAATTGACACAGCCAAAAGCATTCATTGCTTGTAATTAAGGAGGATGATTTGCTTGAGAGGCTCTGCATGTTAAACTGTCTACGTAATAAGTGTGTTTTCTTAAAGCTAGCAATAAAAACAATTAAATTGTATTTTCTCTTATGTGTAAGTGTATGAAATTTAATTTGATATCAATAGTATTAGACATAGTACAAAAGCTAAACTTTATTTTAACTGGATTCATACAGATATTTAGGGGAACAAATATCAGAAAAGAAAAATCATGAACACATGTGCTTGTGACAAATAAAAATCAAGGTGGAGCTATTTGATATTTCTATAGAAATGAGTCAAAAAACGGATCACCATCAAACCTAAAATGTCTGCAAATAATAATATTAACAAACTTCCACGTAGGTTATACATTCCAAGAAAATATCTCACTACACCGACCAACGTCATTGCGAAATACTATATTAAGAATAAAAATCGTGGGACGAAGAAGAACTATCCCGTTTACGTTATCATAATCAAATATCAAGAGTCATTCATGCAAATCGAAATTGCATTTGAGTTTTGACGGCTAAACCGACACGTACACAGTCACAACCATCCTTTGCGCGGCACGTGTCCAAATCCACCGCCTTGACCAGTCCCACCACAGCCACGTTGCGTGATTCAGCGTCTTATCTCTCACTTACGTCCCCACATTGTGACTTACTATATATAAACATATTCAGTCTCTTATTCTTTTGTATATACCAAACAAAAAAGATTTTGAGAGATACTTAAAAACTGTTTATGTTCTGTTTTGAAGCTAAATTTGAGATGGAAGTCAGCAAGAGAATGGAGATGTTGGAGAGGAAGTCGTCCATAGATACAGAGCCTATGACATTACATTTCGATCAGATAGAAAACGCTCGAGAAGAAGCAATATGTGTGATAAAAACCAAGACATTTCAAGAAGCTATGGATATTTTTACTAAGGTATTGATTGTTTTACTGGATTGATTTTGTTGGGTTTCTTCAATATATTGTCTTTCTTTCTAACGCTAGTTAATAAAACAAAACAGGAGACGCAAGACAGTTTAAAGGCTCGTGAGGAGAATAGAGAAAAATATGCAAACAAGAAGAATGATGATGATGATGAAGAGGAAAGATTAGTCTTTCTTAGTCCTCATGGTTGGGACATTGCGTCAGCTCCTTTTTAATTAGTAAACCTTTTTTTTTTATCTCCTTACCAATTTTCGTCCGCTTTTTGGATCGTTGTTGTAGATATCTGAATACATGGCATGTTTAGAAGTTGAATACAATGTTCATCTATTATACGTAGACTCGTTTTTCCGGAATTGAAAGTCCATGAATGTTAGATTTGTTGCTAAGGTTTTTCGTAGAAGCATGGTATTTTTTTTTACCATTAGTGAAACATGTTTTATAAGAATATGGAATGTGAAGTTTAAATTAATGTGCAAAATCCATGGAAGAAAACATATATGAAACAATTATTCGAGTTTAGATGAGTCGACGACAAGAGAGAAGAAGATTCAAAAACAAGATAGTGAAGCCTTTTTGATACAGTCACAAATTGTAACGTCCCGGCTTCTTGGTTTGGAGATCTTGGAAGCAAGAAGCATACTTATTTGTTATAATCAAGGAAAATTTCAAAAATATTTTAGTTGAAGAAGTTCAGAAAAATATATAAACTGAAGATGGTAAAAATTAGTATCGGATAAAAAATCAGAACTAAAATCAGTATAGGTATAGGTATAGTAAATCCTGACAGAAACAAAAAGAAATTAAACGGATTATAATCGCAAATTTCCAAAAAAAAATTCGAGTTTCAATTAATTTTTAAAGAGGCAAATTAGAAATCAAACCGTATGGTCCGTATCGAACCAAACCGAGTGATTTTCAATCGAAAACCGGATTAGACAAAAGCGAGAGAATGTATGTACTGTGTCTTTGGTGTACTTTGTAAATCGATTCGACGAATCTTTCTGTTGAGGAGGAAGAAGAAGAAGGAAGCTGCGACTTCAAGTCTTTACTCAGCGAATTCGTGCAAAAATGAATGGGCACTGTTTATTTCCAGCTTCACCTCCTCGCCTCTTCCTCCCTCTTCGCTCTGTATCGAGTGTTTCTCCTTCTGGTAATCACAGAATCGGAGTCTCCGGTGATGTCGCCGTTGAGTGTCATAATCTCTGTTTCTCCGTCAGTACAAGACCGGGGATATCTGTCCCTATTCTCCGGGATTGCTCCTTTCGGATTCCTTCTGGACAATTGTGGATGATTCTTGGTCCCAATGGCTGTGGCAAATCTACCCTCTTGAAGGTCTTTCTCCTCTCTCCCTCTCTCTCTTCCTTGGGAATTGCATTTGCAGAGTAAAGACAATTAACTTCTCATTGCAAGTTTTTGCAATAGCCTTTTCAGTTAATGAAGCTTACATTACATTAGCATCCTTAAAGTCATGTATAGTATGAATCAGAGAAAGGTCAAATCTTTGGATGCTGTTTGTAAGAAATGTCTCCATAAACTGATTTGGAACTCTGCAGATTTTAGCAGGTGTAGTGAATCCAACCAGCGGCAATGTCTTTGTGGAAAAGCCCAAGAATTTCGTATTTCAAAATCCGGATCATCAGGTTACTCTTCTTTCTCTTACAATGTTGTTTTATACTGTAAAGGATCATACTTTTATTGTCATCTTCGTTTTCCTTATTGTGAAGTGTTTCTGTGTGATTTGTTGCATAATCTTAAACGTTCTTCTTCATCGCAGGTAGTGATGCCTACTGTAGAAGCTGATGTAGCATTTGGTCTAGGCAAATATCATGACATGAATCAGGAAGAAGTTAAGTCTAGAGTGATCAAAGCTTTGGATGCAGTCGGTATGCGAGATTATATGCAGGTCGGCTTTGTGTAAACTAAGTAATCAAAGATTGTTTATGTGCTCTCCTAGTTCCATTTACTAAAACGTTATATTCTGTTACTTGTTTCCAGAGGCCGATTCAAACTCTTAGTGGTGGTCAGAAACAAAGAGTCGCCATAGCTGGTGCTTTAGCCGAAGCTTGCAAAGTGCTGCTGCTGGATGAGCTCACAACCTTCCTAGATGAGTCTGACCAGGTAAGGGTTTGATTCGTTCTAACAAAAGGCTAATGAAACACAAGTAGTATTCACGAGACAATCTTTCTGTAATCACAATATTTGTTTGATTAGTTCTAAAAAATATTGTTTTTGTGCGGTTTTGGGATTGCAGTTAGGTGTGATCAAGGCAGTGAAAGAGTTGATAAATGGAAAGAAAGGAGGAGATGTGACAGCGTTATGGGTGACACATAGGTTAGAGGAGCTCAAGTATGCGGATGGAGCTGTGTATATGGAGAACGGTAGAGTGGTCAGGCATGGTGATGCATCCACCATCTTTGACTTTATTAAGCTCAAACAAGCCTCTTACCTTGATCAAATCGGTTTTTAACTTCCTCTGTAAAGGATTTTGTCTTCTTTCTCAATCGAAAAAGTTGCTGCATATAGATAGAGGCAATGAAAAATCGAGATTCATAAAGAGAGTTTCATTTCTATGTATGTGACATAATGTTATGATGAATACGCAGAAAGTCTAAATTCTGTGTGCCACCTATTTTGACAATACCAACAAAATTTCAGTTTCTTAAAATCATTCATTTCCTTATTTAGTTTCTTAATAAACAAAATGTAATAAATCTTGAGAAAAGGTAAAAGTAGTAAAGTAAAAATGTTTGTTCAACGGTGAAGAACAGAGGCAGATTGGATTCGTTCAATGGTGAAAAAATGTTTGTTCACTTTTATGTAAATATCAGAAAGCTGGAGCCCTTACTTTGTGAATGAACATATAAAAAGTCACCTACCTAAATAATGGAGATAGATGCCTTGTGATACTGATAACTATAGTGTAACAGAAATACACTTTTCTGATTACAAAGTCCAGATCTTAATTTGGCTTATAGGTCCAAAATTAGAATACTGACAATGGTTATAGGTATCAAAAAAGAAAAATTAAATCCTCAGATTTAGTAAGTTAGATTCAGACTCGAATCCGATAGTATTTTTACAACACTACCCGAGATGCTGAACTATCCAGTGTAACAGAAATATTGAATGATCCTTGGTTGTTTTTAACTTTTAAAGGTCTGTCACTTATGTCATATACAGCAAGTCAGCAACTAATGGCGATGGACTTGTGATTTGTCTTTCGTTTCTATTATCAATATCTACGAAAATATGAATTAATTTCCTCTATTAGAATGATCGTCAATGCAAGTTAGTTGCGAACAAATCTGCATTTTTTAAAACGATTAATCTAACCTCGTAAGAAGCTTCGAGCTCATATATGATATATATAGCGACGTCAGTCTATAAATATAAGAGAGTCTAGATTAAATTATCTACAAATAGATGTATAGAGAACGTACATATAAGTATTTGTTGAGGTGAGTGTTATAATTGTATTATATAAAAGGAGAGGGTGTCTTGTAAAAAGAATAAAAGTGACTTATCATCTATAACCCTAGAGAAGAGAAGAGAATCAAGACCAACCCTCTCTTTTATATTCTTTTTATTTTCCTTCGTCTTAATTTTCATCCTTTTTATCATTTCACCTTAGACTAATCTATCTTATTTCCTCTTTCTTCAACAAGTGATCTGTTTGATATAGGTGGAGATAGAGATAGCATCCATGGAAATGTCTAGAGGAAGCAATAGTTTTGACAATAAGAAAACTAGTTGCCAAAGAGGTCACTGGAGACCTGTAGAAGACGACAATCTCCGGCAACTCGTGGAGCAATACGGTCCCAAAAACTGGAATTTCATTGCTCAACATCTCTATGGAAGATCAGGTAATATATTCATCATATCTTGATCTCTTGTCATATATGTATATCGATAAACCTTTTTCTTGTATTAGATCTCTGGGTTTTATAAACATATAACTGATGAATGATATTGATTCATAGGGAAAAGTTGTAGATTGAGATGGTACAATCAACTTGATCCAAACATCACCAAGAAACCTTTCACCGAGGAAGAAGAAGAAAGACTTCTTAAAGCTCATCGAATCCAAGGGAATCGTTGGGCCTCCATAGCCCGACTCTTCCCTGGGAGGACCGATAACGCTGTCAAGAACCATTTCCATGTCATCACAGCTAGACGCAAACGTGAAAGCTTCTCTTCCACGGCCACTTCTACGTTCAGCCAAAGTTGGCATAATATTTTGAGCCCTAGTTCTAGCCTTACAAGGGTTAACAGATCCCAGTTTGGGCTATGGAGGTATCAAAAGGACAATAGTCACGGTCTCTGGCCTTACACTTTTGTTTCTTCACCTAGAAATGATCAGTTTGGATCTTCATCGATCTCGAATGTACGCCAGGAAATTTATCTTGAGAGGAGAAAGTCAAAAGAGTTGGTGGATCATCAGAATTACGCATTTGACGCAGCTACACCAGATCATAAGAAGAACTCAGGTGAAGATGGACCATCCACGGGAGATGATGGTGGCAAGAAAAATGTTACTTTCATTGATTTTCTTGGAGTCGGATTAGTTTCTTAGGTTATACTATCACAACTCAGTTATTTTAAAGATATCTATCATTAGGGTTAGGCATCGTTTTCAGCCTTTTTGCTTCCTTAAACTCTCATATGGATCTTCTATCAATTACAACTCTCGTTTTCTATCCATTGATCAGATCTATATATGTGTGAGTATCACATGTACGTACTTAAATTGGTATATACGTACAGATACATATATGTCTGTCTTTATTGTTAGCATAGTGCATGGCTTGCTGTTTTATACAGATTCATGTAACAAATTTGTATACATATGACATATATATAGGGGGGCATTAAGAAAAGAAAAAAAAGGAGAGGTGTATAATAATAGTGTTTGGGTACTAATTACCAAATCTTTAATGTATTGGAAATTGTAAAGCCTGAAATTGTGTATCAGAATGGGGAGCTTGTATCAGAAAGCATAGTTAAATTTAAATGATATTTGTAGTGCGTTAGTTACGTTAAGACCGTCACTAGCTACACACATATTTGCATGGTGTTGGGGTGCTGGCTTTACGGACGTGCTTAAAATCTATTATTTTTATTTAAAAAAAACAAAAATTATTTCGCCGCGATCACTAGTTTTTTCGACTGTGAAACAATATATAATCTGCATGAGTATTGTTTCACAATTGTTCGACAACAACGACTATTCATCGGTATTCATTTATAAATATTATTTCAGTTTTATTTTTGCTAAATTGTATATATTCATTATCAACTGAATTTTTTTGGTTTTACAAATTGTGTTAACATAAAAACTTAACAATTATTTCAGTTTTCATTACAAAGAGAGTTTTACACACACAAACAAACAAACAAAAAAAACAAAGAGAGTTGACTATTCTCAATAAACAAATCCAATTTAAAAATTCCAGTCGAGGATAACTTTTTCATACGTTAACGAACGTATTGACCAACGACGGCGCTTTCACGCACCTAAATGCAATATAATTCCTTTTGTAGTGGGTGAAATACAAACGGTGTGGAAGACAATGACGGTAAAAATGAATATTGAACAATTCAAAGTATACTTCCTTAAACAAAAATTCAAAGTTTATTTCGTTACACAAAGTATATATGTATTAACGATGGTAAAAATGAATATTGAATCATTCAAAGTATATCTCGTTACACAAAGTATGTATCAAAAGAATCAAAATTCACAAGCAAGAACCAAAAAATTGTGAAAAAAAGGAAAACCAAGATGACATGTACTAAAGTGACCATGAATCTTCACCCAAAAAAACTTGCTCAAACTCATGGCCTCCTCTCTCTATAATCATCCCATGTAAATCTAAAAATAATAATCAAAACTCATATCTATGAACACTGAGAGAACATCGAACCTTTCTTCTGCAACAACTCCGGACATGTCAGAGGAAAAACATCGCTGGCGTAACCAGAAACATCCTTGCACTTCCATTTCTCACTCTGCGGTAACCCAAGAAGCGTAACATTCCTCAAACATATATCTTGAAACGAAGCGCCTTCAACGCCAAGCAACATCGGAGCCTTTCTCGACTCCAGACTCACCACATTGCTAATATAAATACCTTTCACTCTCGGCACAGCTTTCGGATCCCATTTATCATCCGGATGATCGTTAGAGCCTCTGCTAAACCTAATAGGAACTTTCACTCTCTCCAACAACACATTATCAATGGTGACATTCGAAATGTAACCGCCTCTTCCTTTATCTGTTTTTATACGGAGACCAGCTGCAGAGTCCCAGACGTGAATGTCTTGGATGGTTATGTTGAAGATCCCACCAGACATCTCACTGCCTATTCCAACACCTGAACAAGTGCGCGTAGTACCAGAGATCCGTCTGATGATGATGTTAGAACTCGGACGTGCCATAGCCATTCCGTACTGATCCCACCCGCTCTTCACAGCTACAAGGTCATCCCCACTTTCGATGTAACAGTCCTCAATGCACACATTGGTGCTTGAATCTGCAATGTTAATACAGAGAAGTATATAAGGTAAGGTACTTAATTAGAAACAGAGAAGAAGACTCTCAAGATAGAGGCACTCTCAGTACCTGGATCTATACCATCAGTGTTAGGGGCATTCATAGGAGCAAGGATTGTCATGTTTCTAATAACAACATTGCTGCAAAATGATATAAAAGTTTCCAAGAGGTTATTCAAACGGTGTACACAGCATAAACTGGAAGCAAGAAACAGTTGGAAGTGTAACTAAGAACCTGGAGTAAACAGGATGGATTGTCCAGAAAGGAGAGTTGAGCAAAGTGAGGTTAGAGATTAGGATGTTGTGAGAGTTCTTGATTTCAATCAAATGGCCTCTCGTATGCACCAGTGTTCTGTTCCACCATAACTCCCACCACATTTTCCCCTGTCCATCGATTGTACCATTTTCTCCTGTAAAAAACAAAATTAATCTAGATGTGATTATTTTAGAATTAGAAACGGATTTTGCTTGCTTCATCACAGAGAGTCAATGAACAGCAAAGTACCTGTAATGACAACATTAGTGAGGTTGTTTCCGTGGATGAGGCTAATGTGTCTACCACCAGGTCTCTCTCTCCCTCTTCCATAAGAAGGCAATGGCTCTATAATCGGCCATTCGTCTAGGTCCTGTCAAAACCATGATCCCAGACAAAGATATCGATATTGTAAACAAAAAAGTAATAAAAATGTAGCTGACTTTTGAGTTTACATGACACATGAGAATGTGCTAAAAACACTAGCAGACAAAACTTAAACTCAAAATTAACAAAGAAAAAAAGAACACATGGTATCATCATGGCACATGACAGCAAAACTAACTCTAGAATAATTTAATATAAAATCAGGACAAAACAGAAAGTAATCTGATAGATCTAATTCGTACATCAACATGATTCAGACAAAAACTTGTCTAGTCATCTAACTCTTCCTGGAACCTTATTATTTTTAATAATTGTTCCTTTCACTTCTTTTTTTCCAGCTACGATTGACATCAAAAGCATAGATGACAAATAACTCTGCAATTGATAAGAGATTAGTGTTCAATCATGCAAAACAATGATTCTTATTTTATTTAGTTGCTGCAAATCAAGACTTCTTCCACTGAAAAAAAACAACTTTTCTTGTTTCAAACATTGGTGGGTCCATGAAAGTCTTTTTCCAACCAAAGACTATGATTACCGTAATCTACAGTATTTACCAACTGAACTTTAAGGAACCACACAAATCTAAAAGCAAAACACAAACCCAATTTTGTTTGACTCTCACAGAGTCAAATTCCCAACAAACATAACCAGTTGAAACTGTTCATAACCAAACAAAGAAAAATATGTTTTTTTATTTGACAATTCAAGTGTCGTAGAATTGGAATTAGATATTGTTTGTTTACCTGGGATCCCAAAATCACAGCGCCGCGTTCGAGGAAGAGAGTGAAATTGCTGGTGAGGTTGAAGCTCCCGGAGAGCCACGTGCCCTTGGGAACATTCAACTGGGCCCCACCCTCGGCCGCAGCAAAAACTCGAAGGTGGCTCACGGCGCGGCGGAAAGCCGCCGTGTTCGACGTCTTCCCGTCTCCGACTCCGCCGAAATCTGTTATCGACATGACGATCCGTTTCGGGGACGGGTCGTGGAGGAAAAACCCGGAGCAGGTAATCGGGTCATGCTGACGGGTCGTCGGGATCCAGAGAGGGAGAAGGGAATTGGAAGAGATTTGGTGAGAGAGAATCGCTAAGACGGTGAAAGCAAGGAGAAGGAATGCCCACGACGGTCTCGCCATGGAACTCAAAACTGTGGGCCTCTCCGATTCCATCGTCGTTGTTGTTTATCGAGAAATCGATACAGAAAACTCAAAAGCCCATGAAGAATTTTACGAAGCAGAGAGAGAGAAGAAGAAGCTCAGATAATTACGAGCAGAAGACTACTAAAATGGAACTTTTTGATTGTTGGAGAGAAAGAAGAAGACGAAGAGAAAATTGCATGTGTGCGTAATGATTACAGACCAAGGTGGAAGAGAGAAAGATACCTTACCACCAATTCGACACTCTTTTTACCTTTTCTCTTCTTTTCTCTGGAAATAGAAAAGATTGTGTAATTATATAAAAAGAGAATAATAAAATAAATTTGATTTGTATACAGTCAGACAAAAATATGAAATATATATGTCGTGAAAAGGGCACTAAAGGATGGTGGCATGTGAAGTGCCAAAAAGCCAAAGGTGGAAGAAGAAGAAAGTACTCTGAAATAAGATCACGGATTCACGGGTACGATTCGGCGTTACAGCGCTTATCTATGATGGTCCTTTAAATAGTTCACTGTAGTTTTGTGACTGGTTTTGTTGTTTTTTAGTGACAGTTTAGGTATATGGACCGTATTGAATTCTTATCAATTTATTTTTATTTTCTTCTTCTACTTTTATATCTTTTGAAATAAATTTATCGTTTTTAAAGATTTTGTCAAGAATGTTATTTATTATTGACCAAACATATCTCTGCAAATCATAATTTGTAGTTTTATTAACATGGTTTTACAGTCTTTTGGATGAATGAGATCGGTTATCTAGACTAACAACATTGTGAGAGGGCTAATAATAATATAGGAAGTTATGAGAAGGCGTCAAAAACATTTCCTTATAATATGAAAATGAATCAACGAAATCTAAGTGAAATCATAGTTATCTTGCAATTACTATGATCATAAGGTTTTTGTTTCATTTCGACGATTTCGTACATGCAAATCCAAATTAATTGGACTCGTCTTTCATCTAGCCCACAAATCAAGAAGATCATAGATAAAACTGAGCTGGGCCTATTTGGACTCAGCCCATTTGAAACAGAAGTTGATTAATCCCCGGATTACGATGGTTAATGAATGATGATGATGGTTATCACCTCACCATCATGACATTAAGTACATGACCATCATATGATCCGGACATAACCAACATAGTTCCGACTTGTAGTCGTGCGCGTTTGACTTTGACCAGCTAAAAAGCTCGAATTCCTCCACGTCATCGTCTCTTTGTCGTTTTCTCAATCTAATTTTGCATTAATGTCATTTTTAGTTTCACTGTACCAACTCAAGCTGTAATAAGAAGAAAATTGTTTTTTTTCTTTTCTCCTTTATTTACTTGAATCATCTTTTTCCATTACTTTCGTCTTCCTCCGATAAACTCATTTCTCCTGTGTTTCCACCTTTTCTTTTTAGGTATTATTTCGAGGACATATCATAATCTTCCTCTTTCGTCTCCCTCAATCTTTTAATTCCTCTGGTTTCTCTCGGAGAAGAGTAGTCAACGGTCAGCGATCTCGGCGTTTCAATCGGACACAAGTAGTTCAGATTTCGGTTTTTGATTTCCTCGATTTGGGGTTTCTCTTTAAATTTAAGTCAACGGTTGAATACGCGTCGAGGGGGTTTTAATTTCTTTAGCTTGGACTTTTTGGTTTGGTGGTTTCCTTGTGTGGTAGCAGCTTAATCGAGATCCTTGTTGGATCTTTCCTCTGTGATGGTGATTTATCGATGAAGGAGAGTTGTAGGGCTCGTTTCTAATCTGGGAAGTTGGAGAAATGGAACGACGATTGATCCCTGGCTTCTTCTGGCTGATTCTGGTTTTCGGTTTGGTTCTCAGAACAGCTGGCAACGCAGAAGGTCTGCTTCTTGTCTTCTTGTCCTCATTCTCTTTCAGTTTCATTTCTGCCAAGAATTTGGTAATAGTTTTGTGTCTTCTTTGGATAACTTTCAGGTGATGCGCTGAGTGCACTGAAGAACAGTTTAGCAGACCCAAACAAAGTGCTTCAGAGTTGGGATGCGACTCTTGTTACTCCCTGTACATGGTTTCATGTCACTTGCAATAGTGACAACAGTGTTACACGTGTGTAAGTTTCTCTCCCTCTCCTCTCTGGCCTCTACTTGATTCGGCTTGCTTTTTGTTTTGGCATGTACTAAGAATGTTCATGTTTTTGTTCAGTGATCTTGGGAATGCGAATCTATCTGGTCAGCTTGTAATGCAACTTGGCCAGCTTCCAAACTTGCAGTACTTGTAAGTCATCTCTTCTTAAATACAAGAGTTTTTATCTGCCGATAAAATTAGTGCTAAAGAAAAGTGTAATGATGATGACAGGGAGCTTTATAGCAATAACATAACTGGGACAATCCCAGAGCAGCTTGGAAATTTGACGGAATTGGTGAGCTTGGATCTTTACTTGAACAATTTAAGTGGTCCCATCCCATCCACTCTCGGCCGACTAAAGAAACTTCGTTTCTTGTAAGTTTGATTCTGTATTTCTCTCTATATAAACTCATTACTGGTTTATGTGTGTCTACTAATTCATGACGTGGTCTTTTGCTATTGGTGTTTAGGCGTCTAAATAACAATACCTTATCAGGAGAAATCCCAAGGTCTTTGACTGCTGTCTCGACGCTACAAGTTCTGTGAGTCTCTCTCCCAAATTCCTTTATGGCTTGGCTAAAACATTGGCATTAAGTCAGAAACTGATATATCATCTTGAAATGCAGGGATCTTTCAAACAATCCTCTTACTGGAGATATTCCGGTTAATGGCTCCTTTTCACTTTTCACACCTATCAGGTTTTGCTTCTTGCTCCTAATTTTTAAAAATCTTGGTGGACAGGTTTAGAATGATTGATTTAATTATTTGAATGTTATCTCCAGTTTTGCCGGTACCAAATTGACTCCCCTTCCTGCTTCTCCACCGCCTCCTATCTCTCCTACACCGCCTTCAGCTGCAGGTACTTCCTTTTGTATATGTCATTGTATCTTATAGGTGCTTTTATATGAAAACATTCAAAGCCGATCTGTTGTTGTGTATTAAGAAAGAAGTTGTTTTATATTATACTTGCAGGGAATAATAGAATCACTGGAGCAATTGCGGGAGGAGTAGCTGCAGGTGCTGCACTTCTATTTGCTGTTCCGGCCATTGCTCTTGCATGGTGGCGAAGGAAAAAGCCACAAGACCACTTCTTTGATGTTCCAGGTTAGTAAAACTTGCTTTGTTTTTTTTTCTCCTCTCATTGACACTTCTCTTCTCTGGCTGATTTTTTTTTTCTTTTTCTAATCATTGTCTTGTGCAGCTGAAGAGGATCCAGAGGTTCATCTAGGACAACTCAAGAGGTTTTCGTTGCGTGAACTACAAGTTGCTTCGGATAACTTTAGCAACAAGAACATATTGGGCAGAGGTGGTTTTGGCAAAGTTTATAAAGGAAGGTTAGCCGATGGTACTCTAGTGGCGGTTAAAAGGCTGAAAGAGGAGCGGACACAAGGCGGCGAACTTCAGTTCCAGACCGAGGTTGAGATGATCAGTATGGCTGTTCACAGGAACTTGCTTCGTCTTCGTGGCTTTTGCATGACTCCAACAGAGAGATTGCTTGTTTATCCCTACATGGCTAATGGAAGTGTTGCCTCCTGTTTAAGAGGTATGTGTCTCTCATCTTGTGGTTTCTTCTTTGGCGTCCCAATAAGTGTTGATATGTAAGTAATCTTATATTTTATCTTTCACCTTAGAACGTCCGGAGTCTCAGCCACCACTTGATTGGCCAAAGAGACAGCGTATAGCGTTGGGATCGGCAAGGGGGCTTGCGTATCTGCATGACCATTGCGATCCGAAGATCATTCATCGAGATGTGAAAGCTGCAAATATATTGCTGGACGAGGAGTTTGAAGCCGTGGTTGGGGATTTTGGACTCGCAAAGCTCATGGACTACAAGGACACACATGTGACAACCGCAGTGCGTGGAACCATTGGTCATATAGCCCCTGAGTACTTATCTACAGGGAAATCATCAGAGAAAACCGATGTCTTTGGTTATGGAGTCATGCTTCTTGAGCTCATTACTGGACAAAGGGCCTTTGATCTTGCTCGCCTCGCGAATGACGATGATGTCATGTTGCTAGACTGGGTATGTATATATGTGTTTCCCACTTGTATAGTTTATGTTCTGTTTTGCTTTTGTTTGTGTTAATGTTTGGTATCACTCGACAGGTGAAAGGGTTGTTGAAAGAGAAGAAGTTGGAAGCATTAGTAGATGTGGATCTTCAAGGTAATTACATAGACGAAGAAGTGGAGCAGCTAATCCAAGTGGCTCTGCTCTGCACTCAGGGCTCACCAATGGAAAGACCCAAAATGTCTGAAGTTGTAAGAATGCTTGAAGGAGATGGTTTAGCTGAGAGATGGGAAGAGTGGCAAAAGGAGGAAATCTTCAGACAGGATTTCAACTACCAAAACTATAACCAACCAAACACTAGCTGGCTCATCGGCGATTCCACTTCCCACATTGAAAACGAATATCCCTCTGGTCCAAGATAAGATCCGTAACACGAATGCTTTCTCTGTCTTTTTTTCTTAATTATTTGTTTCTGTATTTATTGAGGGTTTTAGTTTCTGCTGCTCCGTATTATTGGTTCTTAAGTGAATACATGAGGATCAGATTAGGTTTGTAAGTTTTAAATGAAAAAGGATTTGAATGTTGTTGAAATCTTAAACCCAAATATGACTTGAAGTTTACTTGTTGAGGATTGTTGTGACGTGATTCTCATTTGTATCTCATCAACTATTCTTTGCCAGTTCCCTGAGGCAGGCTCCTATTCTTCGGTTTATTCGGTTACACTATGTTAACATGTTACACGTTTAAAATATTTTAGACATTTTCAGTAAATACAAGACCATCGGGCATTACATATAGAAAATACATAGACAAAGGTCATATGTTTTGATGAATATATGAAACCCACAAACCATATACATAGACAAAGGTCATATGTTTTGATGAATATATGAAACCCACAAACCATAAGTATATATAAAACTACATATTACGATAGGTACACAACCTTTTAACATGGTAGCATAAGAGATTCATATTGATTCATATGATAGAATTAAAGGTGTGAGAGCATTAATACAATAATCATAATTGGATTTAGGCTAAGACTAGTTAATACTCCGACAGCTTTGACGGATTTCACCTTGGGAGCCAAGTTTGACATCAAGAACGCTCATTTTGCGCATGGCCTGTTGGAAATCAAAGAAGAACCTAGCTTGGTTAAGGGCATAGCCATTAACAATATTCCTGGTCCTTGGAGTGTTGAATAAGGATTGGTCTGAAAAGAGGACTCCTGATTTCATCTGAAGCGCGTTGAAGTAAGCATTGTCGAAATCGTTGCGCGTCGCATCAAAGGGTTGTTCTGCGTTGTCACCGGCACTGCAAGTCTTGGAGAGAGTGTTTACAAAAGTAGAGTCCATTGAAGAATCTGGCGTTGTAAGTCTAGCCTTGAAGGATGAGCATCGTGCAACTCCAAGGGTATGTGCTCCTATACATCATCAATATTCCACAAATTAAGTTAAAACCAACACAGATTGCGTGTGGAGCAATAATTGAATGTCTTGACATATATAGGAGATTCCAAATTCCAAGTGATGCAAAAAGGGGTCATATAATCTTAATATAAATAGTTTTATTTTTAAAAACAACTAACCGGAGAGAGCAACAACATCTTGTGGTGTGAAGCCACGTTGGCCAAAAGTTTGAATGAGTTGAGAGGCATTGAGAAAAGGTGATGGAAGATTTCTTGTGTCTTCTATCTTCGATCTCTTACCATCAAATCTTCCTTTTGGTATGTCATAATATGGACCACCAGCCTAATTAAATTACAAGAGAATTAGTGAATCTTCCTTTAATTAATATCAATCACAGTTAATTACAATCTTGATCAGCTTACCCAAAAGACAGCATCTCTAGCAGCCATGGCGACAATATCTGCACAAGATACAACTCCTGGACATCTATTCTCGATTTTCTCCTTTGCATCATCTATGATCTCGTAGCCTCGGAGACTCAGATTCGCAGGAGAATCCTTTTCCGCAGTGTTGTCTTTTGTTGAATCTAGTAGAATCGATGCATCACATCCCTTAATAACACAAAAGCTACATCTTAGTTTTTCAAGACTAGTTTAAGGTTCTTATACGTACGTAACACAATTATAAGAATGGAAATGAATTAAGGAAAAACGTTACCTCAATGAAACAGTCGTGGAAGAGCATACGGATAAGACCTGCGGCTAAAGTGGGATCGGCTTGAAGAGCATTGTTAACACTGTTCTTCACAATCTGCTCAGCGAAAGGACAGCTCATCATGTAGTAACCCATGCTTAATCCCCTCACACTTAAAGGGAGCCCAACAATGGCATGCATCAACATGATCACGCAAAATAAATTTGCCCTAACCATCTTATTAGTTTTTCTTGTAAGTGATCTTGCCACCATGATATATATTCAGTTTCTAAGCTTTATTTTTTTATATGATATTTAGTTTATAAGCTTCACTTTGTGTATCGCATTTCGCTTATATATAGCATGAAGTCGCATTTATAGACACGTTTCATATTGGAGTGGTTGGAACCTAATTGGAATATAAAACCCAAAATTTTATAATTGTGTAGTGATTGGTCCCATAATGAGTTGGAAGAAGAATAAAATATTGGGATAGTGGTCATTGTGCCTTCCCGGTTACTCTTATCATAGTGAAATTATTCAACTTAACTTAATTTATTCTTAATGGCTGACCTAATTTGCATGTTATTGCATGAAAAGTAGCACGTAGTGTTGACACATAAGACCATTTCTTCGCTTTACCAAAAATCGATTTCGCTTTGTCCACAAAAACGTTATTAGTTTAGTTAATTGTTTAACACTATATACATCACGCTTACTAGCTAGCGTACCAGGTCTTTTTTACATAAAACCGAAAACTTACGTAAATTATTGTCTTGAACAGCCAATTTTAACTGTGGGGGATGAATTTTCGTTCTGACTAGATGAAACATATCTTTGTTATGTCGCGATCTTGTAGAAATGTGGACGGTGATCTCGCCAGATCTAAAATAGATTTTAGTGGCAATCGCATGTTATAGCTATTGAGAAGGATACAATCTAGAACTTTTGAGTTGTAGAAAATTTGACTACCGGTGCTGAATAAGATGATGGCGATTTAACATATGCAAAACTTAGATGCATGTATAATTGAGGAGAGAACTCAAAGAAATGAAAGTCAAAGGAGAAAGCGGGACATGTAGCTGGATTCCATTATCTAGCAATATCCATATAAAAATGGACAAAGAGAGTTTGGTATTTTTAATGTAATCGCATGTCAATTTCACCTTAAAAAAGAACTGAGTGCTTTCGACGCGGAATTTGTAGTGCTACATTGTTCCACTTCCTTATCCGGTGAGGACCAGAAGACTTGTTCCAAGAAATGTTTTTATACTTTTTGTTAAATTCGGTAAAATGTTATTGGCGTAATGATACACTTCTATATAGAGCTGGTTCTTGCTTTGGAGATACTCAAAATGTATACTTTAGAAAAATTTCCTCATTATTTGTTTTTAGCTTTGGTCCAAATCCAATAGTGCATGTCCCCTCAGTTAGTATATGCAGGATGACTAGGACACTGAAGATACAAAGTTTGAAACGCACTTTTTTCTTTGCTTAGTTTTTACGTGATAGGACAATATAAAGAAAAGTTGGATTTCAATATTTATCCTGCAAGAACTTTCTTGAACATTATGGTTATATGTAAGATTGTAATATAATGCAATAAATGAGATATATTAATTTTACTGCTAAAAGACAACATCTCTCTTTGGTATCGTTCCTACTAAACGTCTTTGCGTTTTTGTTACAAGTTTCTGAGCTATATTGATTGATAGTGATAAACTCAGATCTCAATCTCATGAGATTTCTCAACGGGATTGGATACTGCAGATCCTTCCCAGAGCTCCGCGAGATCCTTTCTCCTCCATGACATGAAGATCACTGGTCCTAACGTCGATGGTACCTACTTATACGTAAAAATGACTTCTTTTACCACGAAAACATTGGACTGAAACTAGAAAACGTCTATCAACAAAATCAGGGTTAAAACACAAGTACCAGATAAAGTAGAGCTGGTTGTGGTGAGTGGGTCAAGACACCTGCAGCTAGAGCTGAGACCAAGCCAATGGCGTACCCAGGAAGTGCATACCATATGTATTTGTGTCCCTTTGAAGATTTCAGATCATAAAGACTCACCACTTCTCTACTTTTCCGATGGTCAAAGCAGAGCACCAAAGCCAAAAGCATTGCAGGAATAGCCTGGAACACACACAAAACAGTCAAAACCTGACACATGGGAAGAAACCAATCTTAACTCTTTAAGGGTTATTGATCTGTACCATGTCACCAAGACCAAGCATCATGAAATCTGAGGCACTCACACCAGGCACCACACCACCCAATAGGTTCCTGGGAAACACAATCTTCACCGGAAGTTCGAGTTTCTTTGTGATCAGTTGCAGTCCAGGAAGATTCAAACTGTCAGCTACTGTATGAACAGGGTTCGATGCTTGCTGTGTTGCCACCGTCACCATTACGTTAGCACCAAAGAACCTCTCAGAGAAGAAAACCCAGAATATGTCATATACAAAGAGACACACGAGAAGCATCGCGCATATTCTGATGTTAGGAAGACGAACATGGCTGACAAAGGCTATACAGATAGAGATCCCAAGCAAGTTGTTCAGCAGCCAATGTCCAGAGATTAGCCATGCCACGACTGTCGTGGCGCAAGCCACCAGAAGCAACGCTTGGATTCTTGTAAACGATTTCGAGCAGCAGCGAGAGACAAAGGGATCAGAGAGACCAAACTGCGACTTGACGTACATTGCATACGGTGATAACCAAAAGAAGAGTGACGAAACAGAGGCGATGGCTGTGAACGCGGTGAGGAGCTGAGAGACAGAAGAGAAGAGATAGAACATGAGGAGCAAACTGCAAGAGCTCACGACAGGGATCATCAAGGCCTGAGAGCTATCGAGTGTTATGGATGCTTCGGAGAAGTCACGGTTTCTCTCCATCTCTTTGCCGTAGTTAAGTGCACGGAAAGCTGATGCGAATGTCACCGAGACAGCTGTCACAATGAGAGTAGCTGGTGCTGGTTCTAGCAGATACAACAGATTCCATAGACTCTCCATTATCAGAAAAAGCCTTCCTTTTGATTATATATATACAGATCCCACAAGCCTCGTACACATACAAGTTAACAGACGTTAACCTGAAGAAGATAAGATCACACCAACAAAATCATGTTTAGCCAAAGAAAAAAGCTTTGATTTTTAGGAGCTTTGCAGAACAAAGGTGATAACTCACCAAATTATCTAATAAAGATACGACATTTAGGAAGCTCAGCAATCCAAAGTGTCTAATTTATATGAAATAAACCCAGAAAACAATAATTAAGTGTGTATCTCAATCAATCAATTTCCAGGAATTTGTTCACAAAACTTTGAAACCCAGTAATTCGATGTATCATTCTTCTCAGCAAAGATTTATGAGGAAATGAGGCAACATCTCAGTTCAATCGAAACGATCCAAAGAGTGAGGGAGTGAAAGAGAAGAAACGCAGATTGCAAAAACTAACGGACGGCAAAATTAGATCGAGAGGGGAAAGATGAGAAGGAGAAGCGGAGATTCTCACCTGCGAAAGGCGTTGGTTCCTTGCAAAGGCTTCAATGGAGAGAATTGGGATCTAGGTTTCAGACGCAGGGGAGAGAAATTGGATTCTCTGTCCCAAATCAGTAAAGGACCAAACTTTTATTTTTTGGGAGTAGTAATTATTAAATTTCATAGTAATTAATAATGTATTACTATTCACTTGTCAACAAAAATAAATGGCCTAGACTATGATTATTCAAAATAATTTATTTTACATGTGAAAGAAAATCTGAGATTAATAAATCCAATTTATGAATTTGAATGACCAACAAATCGTTGAAAATATATTAGTGTAACTAAATTTTGACTAAGTTACGGGCTGTAGCCGGTATTAGAGATAACACTCGACTCTGCTTACTGGCTGTACCCGGTTATCTCCAATCTGCCTAAAGGTGGGGACATATCAACAGATGCTTCTGAGAACCCTAATTTTCAAATTTCGAACTTGCGCTCTTCTCCTTCTTCTTCTTCTTCTTCTTCTACAGTTTCCCACCTTCATTTGAATCTCATTGCCGTTGCCAGGTTTTCTCTCTCTCTCTCTCATTTAGGGTTTTTAGAGATGGGGCAAACTCAGAGTCATGAAGATCTGGAGATCTGTGAATCAGATGAGGAAGAGTATGAAACCTATGAAGAAGGAAGAGAAGGAGAAGAAGAGGAAGACAAGTTCGAGGACTCGAGGGACGATACGCTAGGGGGTTCGTCTTCCGGTGGTGGTAAATCTCCTGCACCACTGGACGATTTAGATGCAAAGCTCAGAGCCATGAAGTTGAAATACGCACCGACCGAGAAAGCTCCGTCTACCCAGAACTCGACTCGGCTTTTCCGCTACATCAATGGAAACACTCCAAAAGCCAAATGGGTCACAGCTGAGAAGTTCACGGCGTATTGCTTCGTCAAGACCTCCCAGAGAAACGAGGATGAAGAAGATGACGACGCGAGTGGAGATTCGGATAAGGAATGGTGGGTTTTGAAGGTCGGAAGCAAGATCCGGGAAAAAGTTTCTGATGAAATGCAATTGAAGGCCTACAACGCTCAACGCCGAGTTGATTTCGTTGCTAAAGCTGTTTGGGCCTTGAAATTCGCCAGCAGCGAAGATTTCACGGCTTTTGTTAGCAGCTACAACAATTGCTTGTTCGAGAACAACCATGGCGTTGAGTTGAATGATGCCAGTAAGGCCAAAATCTTTGGGAAAGACTTCATTGGGTGGGCGAATCCTGAAGTCGCTGATGATTCAATGTGGGAAGACGCTGATGACATTTTGCTGAAAAGCCCTCAGTCTGCAACTCCGGCGAGAGAGACGCAGGACCTGACCGAGGCCTTTGAAGAAGCTACAAGTGAGGGCATACATAGCTTAGCTCTAGGTGCTTTAGATAACAGCTTCCTTGTGGGAGATTCTGGTATTCAGGTTTTCAAGAACATGAGGCAGGGGATTCAAGGGAAAGGTGTTTGTGTTAACTTTGAGGCTGGTTATGACCGGGCTCACTCAGCACCGAGGAAGGCTCTTCTCATGAGAGCTGAGACTAACATGTTGCTCATGAGTCCCATGAGCCAAACCCCTCACTCACGAGGGATCCATCAGCTTGACATTGAGACCGGCAAGGTTATCTCAGAGTGGAAGTTTGAGAAAGATGGAGTGGATATCTCTATGAGTGACATTACTAATGATGGCAAAGGTGCTCAATTGGACCCATCTGCGTCAACTTTTCTCGGCCTGGATAACAATAGGCTTTGCAGGTGGGATATGCGTGACCGATATGGGATGGTTCAGGATCTTGCTACTGCCAATGCCCCAGTGTTGAATTGGGCGCAGGGGCATCAGTTTTCTAGAGGGACTAACTTCCAGTGCTTTGCAACCACTGGTGATGGCTCGATCGTTGTTGGTTCTCTTGATGGCAAGATTAGGCTCTACTCAAGCAACACGATGAGGCAGGCGAAGACGGCGTTCCCTGGACTTGGTGCACCTGTGACTCATGTGGATGCTACTTTCGATGGGAAATGGATTGTTGGTACAACTGACACATATTTGATTGTTATCTGTACGCTTTTCACTGACAAGGCTGGCAAGACAAAGACTGGCTTCGAGGGTCGCATGGGAAATAAGATTGCTGCTCCAAGGTTGCTAAAGCTAAGACCTCTCGACGCCCATTTAGCTGGATCTAACAACAAGTTCCGCAATGCTCAGTTTTCTTGGGTAAGCAAAACTCTAGCTTCTGTTTATATTCTTGCTGCCAAAGTGACATTCTTTCTCTAGATAAACTGCATCAATCTTTTCATGTTTTGTTCAACGTATAGTGCATATAGTATTTCAAGTCTAAGATTTTCCTGGAAGGCGAACATATTGATGCATGAACCAACCAGTATTTTTCACTTGAAGAATAGGTCTCTCTTAGCTTCTCTTTGATGCTTTCTCATCTAGATTGACTGTTGAGGAGATTTATCTCTAAGATGAAGTATATTTCCCATAATTTGAACCTTTGCTTGTTGGAGAAAACACTATAAATGGTCTTGTCTTCTTTGATTTGTCCTATAGTGTTCTTTAGTGGCCTGGTGTTTCTTTTTCTTAATCCATCTAAAGATTTTTCGTTGTAAATTTCGAAATTTTTATAGGTGACGGAGAATGGGAAACAAGAGCGTCATGTGGTGGCAACGGTTGGCAAGTTTAGTGTGATATGGAACTTTCAGCAAGTGAAGAACGGAGCTCATGAATGCTACAATGATCATCAGGAAGGGCTGAAGAAATGCTACTGCTACAAGATTGTCCTTCGAAATGAATCTATCGTGGACAGTCGCTTCATGAATGACAACTTTGCAGTCTCCGGCTCACCTGAAGCGCCTTTGGTCATTGCAACGCCCATGAAAGTCAGCTCTTTCAGCTTATCCAGCAAGCGATGAAACAAGCAAGTGAAGGACATTAAGTTTTACATTGATTTGAATTCTAGTCTGTTTGTAACCATGTGAAATTCCAACGTTCTGTCTCCTAGTAATTCAGGGTAATGACATCTTAGTGATGCTGCTAAACTACTTTGGTGTGACTTTGACTTTTAAGATGGTCTTATTGTAGGCACTTTGGTTATTGGCTTTGGTTTATGTTTTCATTTGAAAGAAGCTTATGTTGGAAGATGTAGCATGAAGAAAGCTTTGTCCAATTCACTCGGCTTGTCATTTGTTTACAGGCAATTCTCAAAAATACCACAAGATAAGTTTTTTTTCTTCCAAAATTACCACATAATGTGGCATAACTTTTGACATCAAAGTTATTTTATCAAACAATTTCGAGTGTTACAAGTAGGTAGCAGAAAATGAGGAGGATTTAAATCTTCTTTTATACTACTATAGAGAGACTTACATTTATAGAATTTTACATAAAATGCTTCTTCACTTATGTGACTTCTTCCTCATCAAGAACATGAAAAATCTTGGAAAGAGTTTCTTCTTTTTCTTTGCAGGATTTGCCTGTGTGGTTGGGTTTGTTTCTGTTCCATCTAACTCATTAGATGCAGCTTCTTTCTCCTTCGACCCTTTAACGCTTCTCTCTTGGTTTTTCTCTGTGCTCACACCATTATCACCACTCTTTCTCTTATGTTCTTCCCTCCATTTTCTCAGCTCTTGTTCTACACCCAACTTCCCTTCTTTAGCCTTCTCAGCCTTCTCAACTGCTTCAGCAAGTGTTTCCTTTCTCGCAACCATCTCTCTGTTTACTTCTTCCAACTTCTCCAAGCTTCTCTTCTCCGTCTCTTTGGCTCCCTCTATCTCAGAAACCGCTGCTGCAACCTTTGCGTTGGCTGCTTCTTCAGCCTCATGAGCTCGCTTGCTAAGCTCATAGTACTCATCTATCGTCAGTGTCACGCTTCTGGGAGTATCAACACTGTTGTCCTTCAAAGCAGATTCGCTCTCTTGCAAGGCCTTGATGGCAGCTAATGCCAATCTCTCTGAAGCTTTAGCAGCTTCAATCTCTTTCTGAGCTGCAAATAATCTGCTCTCCATTGCATTTCCCACAGCCTTTGCTTGCTCTGCCTCTTCTTGAGACTTCCTCAGCTCTTCACGAGCAAGTTCAGCGAATGACTTCGCTTCATCAGCCTCTTGAGTTGCTTGCTGCAGCTGCTTTGGTAGCTCCACCATTTCCTCTCTGGCTTCTTTCTCCCTGGACTCAACAAGAGCTATCTCGAACCTCGTTATGTCTATCTCAGCTTCTAGAGAAGCAACCGCTATCGATGCTTTCCCTTCTAATTTTTTGATAGAGTCAAGTGCTGATTTCTCCTTCTCAAGCTCCAGCTTCAAGGAAGAGGAAGCTACCTTTAAGCACTTCACTTCAGAAGTTGCTTTCTCGATATTCACATTGACTTCTTCGAGCTCCTTCTTTGCAGAAGCAACAGCTGTTTGTATGTCTGTATGAGATTTGTCTTGTAATGAGATCAAGATCTCACTGTTTGCTTTAGAGTCGCCTGTTTCCTCCTTCACCTTGGATGATGATGATTCCATATGCTCTGCCAATTCTTTCTTCAAATCAAGAAGCAATGCTGAGGAAAAGTCAAGTTTCTGTTTAAGTTCCTTTGTAGAAACTATATGTTGCTTAAGCTTTTGGATCTCTTCCTCTGCTTGCTTTAGTTCCTTCTCCCACCGGTAAGTTTCCTGATCACGCAACATGGCTGCTCCAAACTTATGTTCTTCCGCTTCCAAATGAGAGGAATGAGCACATTCCCGTGACTCCTTTGTAGATATCAACTCTATAGTGAGCTCTTCAACTTTCTTCTCAACTTTTTTAGAAGCCAAGACTGCTTCCTCAGCTTCCTTCACAGCCAAGTCTTTATCTTTTACCAAATCATCATACTCCTTTTCCAGAGTTTTTAGCTCTTCCTTGACAGATTCCAATTCTGAAATGGCAGATGTATGTCTTGCTTGAGCCACTTCAAGCTGTGCTTTAGCTGCAACACTAGCTTCATCAGCAATCCCTTGTTCCATCTCCTCAACTCTCAGCTTTGCAAGCTCTGAGTCCTGTTTTGCCTGTTGTTCTTCTGTCTCTGCCTTTTCAAGATTAAGCTTCAACTCTTCTATGAGTCTCTTTGTGCTCTCTAACTCCTCAATCGCTAGCGATTTTGACAGCTCCACCATCTCATATTTTTTCTTGCATTCAGGCATATCATCCTCGATTCTTTCAAGCTCTTGTTCCACAAACTTGCGTCGCTGCAACCAAAATAAAATAAAAGTTAGCACAATTCTTGGTTAGCAAGCAACAAAGGCAAAGAAGTCTATATATAGTAGCATTACCTCTAATACTTTCATTCTATGAGCTTTCCAGTCAGTAATTCCACCAAATTTGGAGACAGCTTCTTTAACAGATTCAAAAGGTGATGCTGTATCAATTGAGTCCCTATAACAATGCAGAGATTTCGGTGTTCCATTGCTCAGTGGTGATAATGATCCTCCGAATCTTGGAGAGATGAGTGCTCTTGGAGATCCAATGCTTCTTGGGGAAGAAAGATATCTTGGAGACACTCCGTTTCTTGTTGTTGTTGTGCCCTCTGATCCATTTCCGATCTTTACGCGAGGCAGGACAATCTCAGAGACAGAAGTAGGAGTAGTAGGAGTAGAAGAAGCATCTTGTGTTTCTTCAACTTGAGAGTTTGATAAAGTGGAGGGCAAAAAAGTGTCATCCAGATAAATTTTCCCATTTTCAGCTGAATCTTCTTCACCTAGAGATTGTTGAATGATTGCTTCATTATTCTCTGGTTGCTGCAACTCAGGCGTTATTGTTATTCCAACATTGCCACTAACATTTGAGGTCACACTAGGGTCTTCTGGAGGAGGAGATACTGCTTCTGTTGATTTCAAATCCTCCATTGGAGGAAGCTAGAAAGCAAAACTTACAAGAGAAACGCTAAAACGATTTGAACGAAGCAAGGGGAAAGAAGAAACTTACAAGAGAAAGTAAATGATGAAAGTTGAAAAGAATTGATGATTTTCCGATTAAGAAGTTTTTAGACAAGTAAAGAGAGGTACACAATTCAAAAATCTAAAATTAGAAAAGAGATAATCGTGGAAACAAATGATTGATGAAACCACTCTTTTTCCCCTCGTAATTTTCGCTTTGCTCTACTTGTAATTACTACTTTTCATTGGTTATTCATTTTACAATTTTCATAAAATATAGACCATTACACCTTAACTAACATCCTTAATCAAATATGTTTGTTTAGATTGTGTTGCGTTCAAGCTTTATTCATCCTGAAATCAGCTCCGAGAAACCCATCATCATCTTATTCTTCATCTTTTCTCACTCTCCAGTTTCCCTTTATTTTTGCCGGTGTAGGTATATATTTGTTTAAATTTTGTTAGTGCACAACATGAACACAATTTTCAAATCTTTGTAGCAAGATGTAATAAGATTATAATAGATAATGAGGCAGCCATCTAAAAGAATCGAACAAGCTTGGACAAAAACATGAATCATGAAACCAAAATGGTTAAAGAAGCTATAGATGGAAATGAAAAAAGAAACTGAAAGGAAAAACAGAGTTTGTGAAAGGCTGCAATGTAGTTTGCCATGTCAGTTCTCACATCTAATGCGATGTTAGAGTTTAGGAATAAGATGGTGAGAAAGAAGATTCAAATAAAGAAAGAAAATGAGAAAGTCAAGCCAGAACCAGGTTATCTTGAGAATAGAGATAAACCATTTTGTTAAATAGTTTTAGTGACAAGAAATATTGCCTTGTGAATTGTTTGTTAAGAAATTTTGCCCAATATTCTTCTCTCTTCCAGAATTTAGGTGGCACACAGAATTTAGACTTTCTGTGTATTCATCATAACATGTCACATACATAGAATTGAAAATAGAGGCAAATCAAGCCAGTACAATGTTTTTCTCTCTTCACGTACAGAACTAAAGTAATACAGGACCAAGAAAGTTTAAGAGAGTAGATAGTGTTCAAGGGTTTAACCCAAGCATATGACAAAATTTTGAGTTTTGCTCAAGCCGTTACCACACCTGAAACCCATGGAACGATGGTAGGCGCTTTTGGGTGATTGTTTCTGTATGACTCTGAATATCTGTCTTTAAAATTCTGTTTTGGCTTCTCTGCCTGCAATTAACATTGACATAATTAATACGAAACAAGGCTTTGGACGAGTAAATCTCAAAGGAAACTGAAACGTATGTAAAGTAAGTAAGCGAACGAGGAAAGTACTTACGTATTTAAGCCAACATTCCTGATGTTTATGCTCATATATATCAGGAGAAAAGCAACCAAACTCAGATGGGCAATAAACCCAAATGTTGCATCTCGTTTCTCCAGGTTTCGCTCGCTTTGCCTGGTCTAAGCAAGCCTGACAACAATCAGCTGCACTCTCTTTATGGTGTGTAAGTCCCCACCTCACCGCAGCACCACCATAATCTGTGTGAAGCTCAGCGTTGCATACAGCTGGAACTGGTCTGCCTGCTAATATCTCCTCTATAAAACAACAGAAAGCATAATAACCTCATGAGTTTTGAATTCGACAAACTTCATTAAGTTTCTTGGTTATGATCCTATCTATCACACTTTTCCATCCAAACAACTGCAGAATCAGAAATCGGAAATGTAAAGAATTATGAGAATTTACCAGGCTCTTCCTCCCCTTCAGGTTTATCATCGTGTTCTTCATTCTTAACCTCAGCAGGTAACCAGAAACCAATCTCTTCAGACAGCACATCCCATTCCAACTCCAAAGCTCTTATTAGCATCCCTGGATAATAGTTACAGCACCAGATGATAGTTATTAGCATCCAAAGCTCTTATTAGCATCCAGTATCCGGAAGATTTCATATCAAGAGTCATTGATGGTAAGAAAATCAGCAATTGCTCTTAACGAGTAATACCTGCTTCCTCAAGTATGTTGGTGGAATTTGCCCCATTTTGTCCTTGAATTAGCTCTTTAGTTTCCTTCAGCTTCTCACTGCGCCACATTTCTACAGCTTCTGTTCGCCAAATGAAGATAAAAAAAAAGTTATTAGGGACAATACACTGAATCAAGGATGATCAACAAGGGAAAATATATTTTTAGAACTCAGATTCACATTTTCTTTACAGTATAATTCTATATTCCGTCAAAATATTAGTTTGCAAAAACTGTTTACAATAGTGAGTGTTTCATGAACAAAAATGATTTCTGCAGAATAAGAAAAGGAGTGACAACATTATATCATATCATGAGAAGAAAACAGAAATACCCTTTAAAACCTGACAACTTTACTAATATCCAACACTAGGAGTGAAAGCTGATGAGCTTTTACGTTAGAGGACATAGCAACAGTAGCAAAGATCCCTTTTGAATAGCACAAACCTCTAAGCTGTGTAACATTGGACTTCTCCTCTAAGCTTTTCAAACGCTGCAAGATCTCATCAACTAATTTGTGTTTCACATTAGGAGAAAGTTCAGTATTTGATTCCGCAGTATCCACATCATGTTTCAGCTTCTTCACCTATATGGTTTGTAGATCAAGACAAGCATCAAAGACAAACATTTATGAGGACCAATGCCATTATCGAAATCGAATTTATTACTGAGTGCCAATTAAAACCACTAACCAATTTAACAAGCTCAACAGATTCTTTCGATCTTCGAATCCGAATAGATTCCTCCATTTTCCTAATCTCATCTGCTGTGTACTTAACAACTGGATAAGAAAATGAACAAAAAAACAGAGCTTTAGATACAAACTATCATGAATCAAACCAAGGAACTTGAAATATGAACCAAATCAAGGGGAATTAGGAAGGCACCATTCTCGTTATTGGGATAGATGTGGAGAGAAGACGCATAGAGAAAGCGAAGAACAAAGAGAGCAATGAGAATGTTGAAAAAGCAAACGAGTAGAGTGATTCTTTTGTAGGAGAGAACTCCGCCTCCGGTGATCCCTCCGGTCCATTCTCCTCCTCCCCTCGCCATCTCCCTCCGCCGTCATCCCTCCATAACCTCCCCGCCTTCTCTCTGTTTCGAGATCTCCAGAAAGTCGCTTTTGCTTAAATCGGAAACTACAAGATTCGATTTTTTTGCCTTTTTTGCTTCTCACGCCGGAAAAAAGGAAATCGTGGCAGAAAGAGCAGTCGCGAGAGCAAAGCCGTGTGCTTAAAAATTAATTGTCTGATTATTTAATTCGATTGGATATACAAAATTAAATACTCCATACTGTTTTATAAATTTAATAATGTCACTAATCTAAAGTTCTTAATTTATGAGACTTAACTTCTAGTCGATAAAATTTCTCATAACCAAAACAACAACAAAAATTGGTTTGCGAAAACAAAATAGAAAATGAAAATATTAGTCACCGGCTCTACTGGTTACTTAGGCGCACGACTCTGCCACGCCCTCCTCCGTCGCGGCCACTCCGTGCGCGCCTTGGTCCGCCGCACCAGCGATCTCTCCAGCCTCCCTCCAGAAAGCGACGCATTCGAGCTCGCCTACGGAGACGTAACCGACTACCGCTCGCTAGCGGACGCTTGCTCCGGCTGCGATATCATTTTCCACGCCGCGGCTGTGGTTGAGCCTTGGCTCCCGGATCCATCTCCATTCGTCTCGGTAAGTACGTGCTTCTTCCCGTAGGTCATCAGAGAGATCAGTGGTAATTGTGATTTTGTAAGCTCAGGTCAACGTTGGTGGACTGAGAAACGTATTGGAAGCGGTTAAAGAGACGAAAACAATCCAGAAGATTATCTACACTTCTTCCTTCTTCGCGCTTGGGTCTACCGATGGATCTGTTGCTAATGAGAATCAAGTATGGTATAATTGTCAATTTCATGGTTGGTTTTGTTCGTTGTGGTGTGCCCATTTGATTTGATTCTGATTTGCTCTGTTTTTGACAAAAAAAGGTTCATAATGAGAAGTTTTTCTGCACTGAGTATGAGAGATCGAAAGCTGCTGCGGATAAGATTGCGCTGAATGCTGCGAGTGAAGGTGTGCCGTTGATTTTGATGTACCCTGGTGTTATCTATGGTCCTGGCAAGCTCACTTCAGGCAATATGGTTGCTAAATTGGTATGATTCTCTTTACATTGCTATATTAGAAGAATTCATAATGACTGTGTAATGTGAAAATGTTGTTCGTGTAGCTAATTGAGCGGTTTAGTGGGAGATTGCCTGGATATATTGGGTATGGGAATGATAGATGCTCTTTTAGCCATGTTGATGATGTTGTGGACGGTCACATTGCTGCATTGGAGAAAGGTAAGGTTGGTGAGAGATATTTGCTCACTGGTGAAAATGCTTCTTTCAAGCATGTGTTTGACATGGCTGCGCTCATTACTGGAACCAATAAACCGAGCTTTAGCATTCCGTTGTGGGTCATTGAAGTATACGGATGGTTATCTGTTCTGATCTCTCGGGTTACAGGGAAGCTTCCGGTTATCAGTCCTCCGGTGAGTTCTCAATTGCATTCGTTTAGTTATCTCATATGGCGGTGACAATCTCAAGTGGTGGTGTTTTTTTGTAAATGAGCAGTCAGTGAAGGTGCTGAGACATCAATGGGCATACTCTTGTGAGAAGGCTAAGCAGGAACTTGGTTATAACCCTCGAAGCCTAAGGGAGGGATTGGAGGAGATGCTTACTTGGTTGAAGAGTTTGGGTCTCATTCACTACTAAAACTAAAACTGACCCATCATCTTTTATGTTTTTTTTTCCAAGAACAATATTTCCTCTTGGATTCAGTGTTCTTTTATTTCACCTTCTCTACTTAAGTTGATGAATCATGTTCTTGGAAATATCAGAAACTTTATTTGCCAAGAGCTATATATATGACTACATGTATATAATCAGAAGATCAAATACTAAAACATCGGATACATTTGTTCATAATGATTCTGCTCTTTTCAGGATATCCACTTTATTATAGCTGCATGGCCGTTAGTTGTCATGTACTCCTCTTTTCAGTTTATGCTGTTCACAAGAGAAAACAAAAAAGCTCTCAGTTAGAGGATTATTTAGTCAGAAGCTTAACAACTTACATAACATTACATACGTGTTACAGTCGACACTCTTGGAGAAAGGGACACCCAAATTAACACCACATTTAGTAGGGAGTTGTTTGGCATTGTCATCACTGATTCCTGGGATTTGAGTAGCAACAGTCTTCAAGCATTGACAAGCTGCTTGTCTATCCGGTGTTCCTGGCGCCGCCGCTTTTAGACTGTTCAGTCCACCGCAACACTGTGGAGATGGGTTTCCTCCGCCTCTTAGGTAAGCCAAACATGGTGCTAAGTACATGTTTACCTGAGAACATTGTATCGCTTCTCCCTCTTGATACCCTATCACCATTATTAGTGTAATCACAAGCACTAACATGCTTCTCCTTTTAGTAGTCATCATGTTCCTCTCTTTGTTTTACTTAATGAAATTTTGAAAATTTTGTTTGATATATTGTTTACTCCATCTACCTATTATTATATAGTAGAGAAATTTGGTGGAAAAAAATGTCTTGATAATACATGTATTTTAAGTGACTAAGCTTTTTGTAAGTCATGTGTTTAGAGTGGTGTGGAAGAAGTTGAGAAAACAAAAGAGTTTACGTAGTTTTGCCTTTCAACTATAATTCTGTCCGAACATAAAATTAATATTTTCCAAAAATTAATTTTGCATATGTAACTAGTAATCAGCACACGACCGAACATTAAACTGGTGTCGAAAGAGACTTAGGGTCTGACTGGTTTAACCGCTGCGGTTGCGGTTGCGGGAGTTTGCGGAAGCGGGAGTTTGCGATTAAAAGCTGTTTGTACGACTGGTATAGCAATTCATAGCGGTTGCGTTTGCGGGATATTTTTGACTGGTTAGCCAGCGGGTGCAAGAGCGGTTTAACCAAAAGTTACTAAAATAAAAATAATATATAATTATTCAAAACATTTATAACCATATTAATAATTTTTTTTTTGAAATATATTTTTTGATGAATTTTTAATTTGAAAACTACCCTTTTTTTTGGTTTTGAAAAATACACTTTTTATATGTAAAATGATTATTCCTAATTTAATAAAAACGAAATTCAAATAAGAAATATAAAATATTAATATTTGATAATAATTTTGTATCATTTTAACATCCTAATTACCTGTTTAGTTTTTTTTTAAACAATTTAATAAAAATATAAGATTGTTTATATAAAGTTTAAATGGGGTGAGATTAAAGTTGTTTATGCAAAGTTTCAAAAATATTTAAATTTTTCAAAAGATAAACATTAAAAATGAAAGATATATTTCTCCACTTTTAAATTTTTAATAATTTATAAACTTTAAATATATGTAAAGTTTTAATTTATTTAAAGTTTCATTTGGTTTGAATGTGTATGAGGTTAAGTTGTTTATATAAAGATCCAAAATATTAAAATTTGTTTCAGTTTAACATATACTATATTTATTTGAAAAAAAACTTATTAGTTTATTATTTTTTTAAATTTTCGTTTATAATTTGTAATTATTTATTATTTTTTTGTTTAAATCACGTCAAAACATACTTTTTACATTTTAAAAGTGTATTTTTCAAAACAGAAAAAATTTAGGGTATTTTCGAAATTTTTAAACATAATTATGGTATTTTTCAAAAAAATATACCCTTATTCCAAATTTGGAGATATTATGTTTTTTTTTTTTTTTTTTCAAACCGCAACCGCCCGCAACCGCAAACGCTTGCGGAAAGGAGCTTTTGATTTTCAGCGATATAGAGCGGTACAGAGTGGTATAGAGCGGTTGAAAGCGGTTGTCGTGATTGTTATAAAACGCTAAGAACCGCTACGAACCGCAAACGCTGCGTTTGCGGGTGGTAGCGGGAGAACCAATCATCACCTTATTACAAAGAACCTTAAAACCTTAAAAGTATTGTCGAAAGGCCGAATAAAAAAGAAGTCAAGGACAAAAGCCCAAATAAACCCAGGAGATGAAAGATTGTCCGATTGACTCTGAGCCTTCTTCACTCACTCATAGCTACGGAAAGGTTTCTTCTTTCCTTCTTCAAAATCCCAAAAATGGAGTCATCGGTAAAACCCAATCCGTTCCTCTCTTTTTCCTCTTTCCTTCACCACCACTGTAATCGGTTCGGCTCCGAGCTCTCAGCTCGAATCGAAGACACCAAACGATTCGCCGAAACCCTAACATCTCGACGTTTCTCTCCTCCCTCGCCGTTCTTCGCCTCCGTCTCACAGTCCAAGCCTTCCACCGGTGGAGCCTCGACGGCTTTGAGTCCATCTCACGTCGCTAAAGCTCTTGCTGGCACGTCGGTGTTTACCGTCAGCAACACCAATAACGAATTCGTTCTTATCTCTGATCCTGCCGGTGACAAGTCTATTGGTTTGCTCTGTTTTCGCCAAGAGGATGCTGAAGCTTTTCTTGCTCAGGTCTTGCTCCATGTTGCTTTTTCTCTCTCCAAAAAAGGTTTTTTCTAAGTGGAAAGTTTATGAGCTCGTAATTCTCTTATATCCTTTCAGGCGCGTCTTCGGAGAAGAGAATTGAAAACCAATGCTAAGGTTGTTCCCATTAATCTGGACCAGGTAGTTCCCATTCCCTGTGATCACTTCGTTAAATCTTTGTAGAATCCATTAGTTTACGCAAATGCTCAGAGACACTGGAAACGAGTGAGAGATTGAATTCTTGGTGCACGCAGGAATGTAGAAATGAATAGCTGATTGTAACATTGCTCTGATTTGGCTTGGAACTTACAACTACTTTAGGAAGAATTTTGTGTCAAATGCGTGATCTTGTTAGCTAAATTTCATGTGTTAGAATTGAATCATGATGAGTGCATTTGCAGAAGTTTGAAGAGGATGTTGTTTGCAGGTGTATTTGTTGAAAGTTGAGGGGATTTCCTTTCGGTTCTTGCCAGATCCAATCCAAATAAAGAATGCATTGGAGGTTGGCTCATGCTACAAAGCTTTTACCATACAGTTATCTTGGAAATTGTTGTTTTGCTAGTTAGTTATTTGACGATTTTGGATCTTATTCTAAAGATGTATTTGCTTGTGTTCCAGCTTAAATCCTCCGGTAACAAGACTGGGTTTGATGGAGTTCCGGTTTTCCAGGTTAATTGCTTTACATATTTTTCCTGCTATATTACTTTAGGCGTATGTTTTGGCCATTTATCAATGCTCAGAAGCTAATGATTTAGATAACTAAGACTCTTCATGTTTTGATTTCTCTTTATAATTGTCATTTGCAGTCTGAGCTTCTTGTTGTGAGAAAAAAAAATAAACGTTACTGCCCTGTATATTTCAGCAAGGTTAGTTTGTTTCTTCTCACATATTAAAGAATAGTAATAAATCTCTCTGAGATAACTGTTACTTTACCGTTGTTGAAAGTCAGTTTCTTTGGTGACCAATTTCAGGAAGATATAGAGAGGGAACTTTCAAAGTATACAAGAGCGTCAAGAGGAGATCAACAAATTATGGTAAACGATATAAAAACACCTTAACTTAAAAACATGTGGTGTTACTATAGAGTGGGAGTAAGCTTAGTAGCTGCTTTAGCATCATTTGTAGATTTCTAGTATTCATTTTGTCGTTATCAAAAATTGCATATCATGCATCTATTAGGATTGGGCAACGTGGAACAATATTATAAAAGAAATCACTCAGCATTGAGCTTTGTATCATATGTTGAGAGTCCCCTTATCTTCACCGTGGAACTAATCTTGTCTTTTACAGGTTGGGAGCCTGGAAGATGTATTGAGGAAAATGGAGGTACTCTTCTTTTCTTTAATTATGAAAGGCCAAAACAAACACAGTATAATCTAATAAAACTCTGAATTTGAATAATTGTAGAGGAGCGAGAGGAATTCAGGTTGGGAAGATGTGATATTCATTCCACCGGGAAGAAGCTATGCACAACACATGCAGGAAGTGATCAAAGAGTAAGAAAAGATGGAGAGACACAATTATGTGTGTATTTTCATTTTGATAAAACAGCTACTCTTGAGATTTTGCAATAGTATTATCATTTCCCAAAGAGCTCAACACAGTTTCTGTTATCTTTTTTTGTTTACCACTTAACACACCATTCACTTCCATGGCTCAACACGTTTCATTTGTTTGTTTGTACGGATAAAATGTTAAATGGTATTGTTGGTTCAAGGTTCTCATCAATATGTAATCTATCTTTCAGTAACTTTAACTCGACTACTCAAATTTTGAAGGAGGCTAAGGCACATTGTATTCTTGATGAAGTTTAGTTGACAGAAGATAAAACTAGGATGTCTTACCATCCTACTTTTCAATTTTTAGCTTCCACCTCAAAATCGCTTTTGACATTGCAGCTTATGGTGATGATAATCTGATTGCGACAAACTAATTATTACTGTTCAATAATAAAAGGAAATTAAAAGTAAGAAAAAGAAAATGTGAGAAGGGATGAGATGAGATTGGTTGAAAAGCATTGATCCTTTCTGTGTGGTTGTAACCGATGTTGACAGTAGAACTAAAAAAAATGTTGCTTGACTTACTTCCTCGCAAACATTTCATTTTTACGATTTTGCCACTTTCTTACAATACTTGCGTACACATCACACACAGACGGTCGGATATTGTATGAAATCAGTTTGTTACAGATTGTAGAGTTTAAAATATTACAAAGATAAAAGTGTAGGTAGGCCTAGGAATGTTTGGAAAAAAAAACAGGAAAGTACTAATTCCTCCCTCTTGGAAATAAAAACAAGTTTATTTGGTGTATACATTAAGCATATTCCCTTGGGAAATTTCCCCACATGTGTCGTTTACTAGAATTGTTATTTGAACTAATTTTCCAAAAGAAATTAGTTGGTGGACTTGTGCATAAATAATTGTAACTGATTTCGTTTTTGCTGTTGAACACATATTTTTTCATTATCTACTCATCAAACCGTGGAAATCATAATTAATATCCTATCGATCAATGTTTTAATAAAAAAATGCTGTTTGTTTTCCATTGCATGCGTTGTAATTTTGGTCCCCACATGTGGAGGTGAAAACAAAATACGTAACTTCAGCGATACGTATTCCACAAACATTTCATTATTTGTAGACCAACCACCCAAAATCGTTGGCCACATCTTTCTTAATATTTTCGTAAATCCATCAGGCTTGTGTTTGAGTAAAGAAAATCCCTTGACACGTCCAATGAAACTCTTCTAGATGTTTTTTGTGTGTTTATATTATATTTACTCAAACAACTTAACCTCTACATAGTATTATTATCTCTTCCCTAACTACTTTCGCGCTCCGTATATATATAGAATCATCATCCAACGCACAATTCCCTTGAAACCTTTGAGTAGCATAAAAGATGAAAGAGAAATGTTTATCACTGAGAAACGGGAGGGCGGTGATGATGATAATGAAGATGGCTCCATCCAAATCCGCAATGATACGCTTCAATCTAATCTTGTTCGCTCTTTCTTTTCTTCTCTACACTGCCTTTTTTCTTCACCCTTCTTCATCAGTCTACTTTAGCAGCGCAGCTTCCTTTGTTGGATGCTCCTTTCGTGATTGCACTCCCAAGGTAAGGTGAGATTTTTTGTCTATTTTTATAACTAGGATCAATCTTGGACCGAAACTCAGACTAATAGGTATCTTTCTATTGCTATTTGATCAATCTTTGGGGCTATAGGGGGAGAGAGGAGTGAAGATGCAAGAACTCATTGTAGAGAACCAAATAAACAAGAGAGATTCGGAAACCGCTAGTAACCGGACCAAGCTTGAGGCACCAAGCTTCATGGAAGAGGTTTTAACAAGAGGGTTAGGGAAAACAAAGATAGGAATGGTGAACATGGAAGAATCTGATCTTTCTCAGTGGAAACGTTACGGTGAAATGGTTCATATACATTTTGACCGTGTCTCTAAGCTCTTCACATGGCATGACTTGTTCCCCGAATGGATAGACGAAGAGGAGGATACTGAGGTTCCCACATGCCCTGAGATACCGATGCCGGATTTTGAAAGCTTAGAGAAGTTGGATATGATAGTTGTGAAGCTGCCTTGTAACTACCCTGAAGAAGGGTGGAGAAGAGAGGTTTTGAGGTTGCAAGTGAACTTGGTCGCGGCTAACTTGGCGGCCAAGAAAGGGAAGAGGGATTGGAGATGGAAGAGCAAAGTGTTGTTTTGGAGCAAATGCCAACCGATGATTGAGATTTTCCGGTGTGATGATTTGGAGAAGAGAGAAGGAGATTGGTGGTTGTACCGGCCTGAGGTGGTTAGGTTACAGCAGAAGCTTAGTTTACCAATCGGATCATGCAATCTTGCTCTTCCTTTGTGGGCATCACAAGGTAAAATTATTTTCATAACAACTCCTTTATTTTTGCCAATAACTATAATTTAGCAAGGACCTAAACTTTACAAACCACACAAAACTAGCATCACTATTTTTATTTTTATTTTAAAACCTATCATTACCAAATTATCTTAACTTATATTTTTTTTTAAATTTGCTAATGATTTTTCCAAGTAAAAAAAAAACACTAAAAATATGGAACTGAACTTTAGACCAAATTAACTTTTGTGCGCAAGCGTAATAATATGTAAGATAGTGAAGTCTCATATGAAATGACTAAGACATTGTAACGTAATAAAATGACTTGGTTACGTGAAATTGATGTGAAAGATACCAACTTTGTTGTGTAAAATAAAACAAGTCGATATGTTCGGATACTTTTCTTTCTTTTCCTAAAGATTGTTGTTGCTTTGATATGATATGTTAGCGGTTGTGTTTTAGGTATGTCCTTTTGCTAACCACCAAATTGAAATTGATATATTCACAGAGAAAAGTCTAATTAGGAAAATTAAGTAACAATATTAATTGTTTTTTTCCTTCAAAATAATTAAGCATTCGTATTCGTTGTGGTAGATCAAGTTAGTTAGCTAGATGACTTATGGTTTAAGAAAATAATATCATAAAATTAATAAGGTTAATGCATGAATCATGAATACAAGTACTCTTAGTTGAACAAAAACAAGTACATAGGAGCTGGATATGTTTAAAATATAGATAACCACATGTACAGACTGTACAGTATATTATATATACGCTATCATGTCTTGATCAATACGAAATCTACAAATATGATGCTTATATTTCTGATCACAAAAAGTTACATATGTTTTTATTTTTCATGATGATTTGTCGTCTAACTTTTTGCATTAATAATAATAATTAAAAAAAAACAGGTATAGACAAAGTGTATGACCTAACGAAGATAGAAGCAGAGACAAAACGACCAAAACGTGAAGCCTACGCAACCGTCCTCCACTCATCCGAGTCTTATGTCTGCGGCGCCATAACGTTGGCTCAAAGCCTCCTTCGAACAAACACAAAACGCGATCTTATCCTTCTCCACGACGACTCCATCTCCATCACCAAACTTCGAGCTCTCGCAGCCGCTGGGTGGAAGCTTCATCGGATCCTACGAATCAGAAACCCACTTGCAGAAAAAGACTCATACAATGAATATAATTACAGCAAGTTTCGACTGTGGCAATTGACAGAATACGACAAAGTGGTCTTCATTGATGCTGACATCGTCGTCCTACGTAACCTTGACATTCTCTTCCATTTTCCTCAGATGTCAGCCACCGGAAATGATGTCTGGATATTTAACTCCGGCGTTATGGTCATCGAGCCTTCCAATTGCACTTTTAGTACGATTATGAGCCAGCGAAGCGACATCGTTTCATACAACGGCGGTGATCAAGGGTAAGCATTTAAACCGATTTAAACCGGGAAAAAACAGTTTAATTAATTTAAGTTTTATAATAATGCATGCATGTTATGTTACACATTTTCAGGTATCTAAACGAGATATTCGTGTGGTGGCATCGATTGCCTAGACGAGTAAACTTTTTGAAGAACTTCTGGTCGAACACAACCAACGAAAGAAACATCAAGAACAACCTCTTCGCCGCTGAGCCGCCTCAGCTCTACGCGGTCCATTATTTGGGATGGAAACCATGGCTTTGCTACAGAGACTACGATTGCAACTTCGACGTGGACGAGCAGTTGGTGTACGCTAGCGACGCGGCGCACGGTAGATGGTGGAGAGTGCACGACGCCATGGATGAGGATTTACAAAAGTTTTGCAGGCTGACGAAGCAGAGGAGGACGGAGATCAACTGGGAGAGGAGGAAAGCGAGGCTTAGAGGCTCCACTGATTTCCATTGGAGGATCAATGTTACTGATCCAAGACGACGTCGTTCATTTTTGATTGGTTGATTATTATTTTTTTTCTTTCTCTATTTTTTAGATATAATATATGTTGATACCCATTATTGCTCTCATATTTTTTGTTGTTGTTTCTTCTTATGATTATTTTGAAATAAGTTTTTAATCTTTGTTTCACAAACTCGTGTGTGGTCTATGTGAAAACATCCCTAATTAACACATTTTGTTGTTCAAACTAACCTTGTAGATTAAAAAAGCTAATGAATGATTTTGCAAATATGTAATTTGGGGAGACTTGATCAACACCAAAAGTCTATGGAGGTCGGAAAGGGATGTGGCAAAATATCAACGCGTATCGGCTTTTTTTAAGTAAAGAAATTCATATTTCCACAAGTTATGTTCACATCTCAAACACATCGAGGATGGCAGAGACAATAGAACAAACTTAGGGATAGTGATGAGAAGCATCAAGTGGTGTAGATAAAGTATGTGTTTATTTTTTGTTTTATGAAGACTTTTTGCGGTCAAGTCTATAGAAAACAATAAAATATGGAGAGGCAATAGTTGTCTTCTTTGTATTTGGCGTTTATACATATATTTTTTTTGTTCAGAAAAATTATTTCAACTAGCTTCAATTTTGTTTGTTTTGTTTAAAGAGTTTTCAAATAAAATGTTCTAAATTAACAACTATATTTTGTGCGATTTATTACTAACAATTTTAAATCTTTTTTCTTAAACTTCTGACTTTGCTTATTGCTTGCTTGTTGCCTTGTTTCTCTCAGTTATTTAACAATATGTGAATGATGACGTCAGGACTCATGATGTCAGTGTCACTGCGAATTGCTAAGAAATTTCCAGTGGGGTCCTCCACTTCTTTGTTCTATCCTTATTTACTCTTCGCTCTCTCTCTTTGTCACTTTGATTTTGATATCATTTACAAATGGCCGTCACCGATTTTTTCGCCGGCGAAATTGCGACGGAGCTCCTGAAACAGCTATTTTTGATATCTGCCAGAGCATGGAGATACAAAAGCACCGCGGAACAGCTCATCACCTTGATAGAGAACATCCAACCGACGATCAAAGAGATCCAGTACAGCGGCGTGGAGCTTCCTCCTCACCGTCAGGCTCAAATCGGCATGCTCTTCGAAACACTAGAGAAAGGCAAGAAGCTCACCGAGAAAGTCCTGAAATCCCACCGCTGGAACATGGTTCGTCAGCTATACCTCGTGAGGAAGATGGAGAGGCTCGAGAGGACCATCTCCAACTTCCTAAAAGCTCCGATTTTGACCCACATCCTCGCCGACGTTCATCTTCTCCGGGCCAATTCCGATGTGCGTTTCGATCGGGTTGACCGGAACCTGGAGATGATGAGTGAGCAATTGGGTTCCATGAAAATCGGCGGAGGAGGGATGATTAGGGAGGCGATGAAGATAGCCGAGGCTACCATGGAGATCGAGACGAGCAACGATTCGGAGAAGTTTGGGGTTGGATTGGAGATGGGGAAGAGGAAGGTGAAGAAGATGATGTTCAACAGTGAGGGAGGGGTAATTGGGATTAGTGGTATGGGCGGTGTCGGCAAAACCACTCTCGCCAGAGAGCTTGAACGAGACGGTGAAGTTCAATGTAAGCATCCGTCATCTTCTCCTTCTCTGATTCATAGACTCTGTGTGTTCTGAGATGGTAAAGTTACTGCCTTTTTTGTTAGGTTATTTCGAGAACCGGATTTTGTTTCTGACTGTATCACAATCTCCGATTCTTGAGGAGCTGAGAGCACATATATGGGGGTTTTTGACTGGTTACGAAGGTGAGAATCCTGCTCCAAACTGGACTTTGCAGTATCAAGGCGGGTTTAAAACGCAGAAGCTGGTGATTCTTGATGATGTTTGGACTAGAGAAGCGTTGGACCGCTTGACGTTTAACATTCCTGGCTGCACAACTCTTGTGGTGTCACGGTCCAAGCTTGCAAAGCCTGAATCCACTTATGATGTTGAAGTACTAAGGGAAGATGAAGCTCTCTCTCTCTTCTGTCTCTGTGCTTTTGGTCAAAAAACTGTCCCTCGTGGTTACAGCGAAAGCCTTGTTAAGCAGGTAATGCTATTGGCTTTCACATGAATAGTATTTGTATCCGATGCTCAGATTTTTCTCTGGTTTTGACTCTCTCAGGTTGCTGATGAGTGTAAAGGTCTGCCTTTGGCTCTCAAAGTTACGGGCGCTTCACTGAAAGACCAGTCTGATAAATATTGGGAGGGCGCGTTGCAGAGGTTATCGAGAGGTGAGCCTGCTGATGAAACTCACGAGACTAGATTGCTTCATCAGATGGAAGCTAGTCTAGAGAATCTCGACCCTACGACCAGAGAGTGTTTCTTGGACCTTGGCGCGTTCCCTGAAGACAGGAAGATTCCTGTCGATGTTCTCATCAACATGTGGATTGAGATACATGATCTAGAGGAGGCAGCTGCTTTTGCCACTCTTGTTGATTTGTCACACAAGAATCTCCTTACTCTTGGGAAAGATCCACGGTAAGGGGATCAGATTTACTTGTATAACTCTTTCACTTTCTTACTGTTCAACAAAATCTTATATGGTTTTACTAATTTGCAGGCTTGGCTCTTCGTATGCAAGCTACTATGATGTGTTTGTGACACAGCATGATGTTCTGCGAGACTTGGCGCTTCATCTATGCAATCGAGGGAAAGTAAACAGAAGACAGCGATTGCTGATGCCGAAAAGAGAGTTAGTGCTTCCAAGAGAATGGGGACGGAACAGTGATGAGCCATACAATGCTCAGATTGTCTCTATACATACTGGTAAGAGAGTTTTTTTCTTACTGCAATCTCTTTTGCAATAATCACCAGGATCATAATGTTGGTTTGGATTTCTGTTTTCGATTGCAGGTGAGATGGATGAGATGGACTGGACTGAGTTTGACATGGAGTTCCCCAAGGCAGAGATTCTGATACTGAATTTCTCTTCAGACAAGTATGTGTTACCTCCTTTCATCACCAAGATGAGCCGGCTTAGGGTCCTAGTGATCATCAACAACGGCATGTCCCCTGCGGTTCTCCACGACTTTTCGATTTTCGCCAATCTGTCGAAGCTAAGGAGTCTCTGGCTGGAGAGAGTTCACGTCCCTGAGCTCACCAACGCAACAGTTCCCTTGAGAAATCTCCACAAGATGTCTCTGATTCTGTGCAAGATTAACAACAGCTTCGATCAGACCGGAGTCGACCTCTCCAATATCTTCCCAAAGTTAGGCGATCTGACGATAGATCATTGTGATGATCTCGTGGCACTACCTTCAAGCATTTGCCGAATGACCTCTCTAAAGTCCTTGAGCATAACAAACTGTCCACGCCTCGGTGAATTGCCTAAGAATCTCAGTAAGCTAGAAGCTCTTGAAATTCTGAGGCTGTATGCTTGTCCTGAGCTAAAGGCATTGCCTGTAGAAATCTGTGAGCTTCTTCGGCTTAAGTACCTGGACATCTCCCAATGTGTGAGCCTGTGTTGCCTTCCAGAGGAAATAGGGAATCTAACAACGCTTGAGAAGATCGACATGAGAGAATGCTGTTTCTTGAGCAGACCTAGCTCTGCTGTTTCGTTGGAGTCTCTACGACATGTAATCTGCGATAAGGATGTTGCATCTATGTGGGACGAAGTTGAGCAAGCCGTTCCAGGATTAAAGATTGAAGCTGCTGAGAAATGTTTCAGCTTAGATTGGCTCAACGAGTAGAGATTCTAAACCCCTGAAAGTTGTTGTATAAAGTGTAAAACCTCATTGAGAAACTGTAACTAGTATAGGGGATTAGTGTAAGCTTCTCTTCCTGTTATTTTAATATTATGCTTTGTGATAATGTCTCTCTGTACATTCTCCACCAACTCAAATACAAGCTTCTTTTTATCTATTAGAATAATCAAGTGTACTTAATATGGGGTACTGTGTACAACCAAACATTGCCAACAAATTATGGGGTACTGTGTTTCATGAAACACTTGTTATGATACGGAAACGACTCGTGTCATTAACACTTTAGCTTCAATCAAGAACCAAAGTGGCCATTCCACTAAACCCACTCTACTTCCATCCCAACATTGTCTCTGTAGAGAAGAAGAAGAAGAAAAAGAAAGAAGATGGAACAGAACTGCGAGGATTGCATGAGATGGGAAGAAGAACTCTACTGGACTCATTTCCAGACCCTGCATTTCGCTCAGCTGCTCCTTGCTGGTTTTCAAAATCGCCTCGTATGTTGAAACCGGTTTAGTTTCCAAATTTTGTCCTTTCTCTGAGTCTTTAAGAACTAACAGATATGACATTATTGTCCATTTGCAGGCGATTCCTCAAAAGTTTTCAACACATTGCAAAAGGAAGCTACCTGAGACTGTGACTCTCAAAAGTCCAAGTGGCGCTTCATACACTGTCAAAGTAGAGGAAGATGATGAGAAGACACTGTCTTTTTGTCTTGGCTGGGAGAAGTTTGTGAAAGACCATTCCCTAAAAGAGAATGATCTGTTGATCTTCAAGCTCCATGGAGTCTCTGAGTTTGAAGTGATGATTCTAGATGGATACACGTTATGCGAAAAGCCTTCATCATATTTCGTCAGGAAATGTGAGTGTGGACATGCAGAGAAGAGAAAAGGTACAGATTTTTCTGCAACCTCTACAGGATCGCCTCAGATCCACCAACAACCTTCATTACCATTACCAACATATGGCAATGAGGTTGATGACTTTTTTGACATTGATACATTGCTGAATCCGAATCTTGTAGTATCGGAGACTGGTTATGAGCAAGACGCTCATATTAACTCTGAAATTGATACAACAACATCTAGCCAGCTTCCTGTGATACCTTCCACTATTACCGGACAAAAAATCAGTGAAGGTGTGTATCCCCTTAACGTTTTCAAGAAGATGCGGAGAGAAACAAGTAACAACAACCTCGATACTAAAGCTGGTATATATGATGAGTCCATAGATTTATTTAGTTTCCATCTTATTTATGATGCATTGTAGAAACTAAAATTTACATTCTTGATTCAATGTCTTAAGATGTTGAGATGGTTTCAGCTGGTAGCAGTATAGATGAGACTTGCAGGAGGAAAGCTTTAGAACAAGCTGAAAAAGCCATGTCGCCGAATGGTTTCTTGGTGGTGATGAAACGCTCTCATGTGTTATCAAAGTGTTTCTTGGTAAAAGACTTTCTTCATCGCTTTTTTCGTATAGTTCTTGAAGTGAAAGGAAAGAAGAAGCTTATGTTCTGTTTTGATATTAAACAGACAATCCCAAGCAGATGGTACATGAAGAACATGTCACTTGGGCCTCAAGAAGTGGTGATGAAGGTGGACCAATCAAAATGGCACATGAAGTATAACATTTTCGGATCTCGTGGTAGTGGTGGGATTTCGACCGGGTGGAAGAAGTTTGTCAAAGACAACAGTTTGTGCATGGGTGATGTTTGTGTGTTTGAGCCAGATAACTCCGAGGCTAAACCGTTTCATCTCGATGTCTACATTTTCCGCGCTGCAGAAGCTGAAGTAGCAACAATGGTTGACTCAGAGGTTTACACCTTAAGTGAATAAGCAAGGCAAACGTAAGAATCTTTCTGTGTTGTGGTGTGTAATCTTTTTTGATAATGCTTCTAGTGAAGCCTTTTTGGTTGTATATAAGATGTAGCAATGTAACCCAAAGTATATAAGCCTCTGTTTATCATCAAATATCTTTTGGTTCAGTTTTGCTGAACAAATATTATTAACCGGTCCGGTTATTTATTCATCAGAACCGATTGGTTTTGGATTTGGTTTGTAAGATTTGGAATGGGCATTTACGGTAATGAATCGGAATTAACAACGGCTCTCTCGGAAATATAGCCGTTACAGAATTCCCGATTAGAGAAATTTGGTCAACCAAAACCCTAATTTGCCTCGCTCTGCTTTGTTATAAATTAACCCCAAAATTCACACTTTTTCTTCACCAATTCAATCTGCTCCTCTCTCTCATCTCACATTCTCAGCGACGATCAACTCTTCGCTCTCGCTCTCGCTCGCTCTCTCTGCTCGAATTTTTCTAACGCTTCTCTGCAGGCTTATTTGATTCATCTTTTGTCGAATTTTGTTTGATTGTTCTGAGAATTTAGATCATCTAATCCGTTCCGTTTCGTATATCATCGCTATCGTATTCTCTGTTTGTTTGTGTTTTTTTTTTCTGTGTTTCGTAACAATGGATGCAGGCATGAACACATCTTCGCACCTGAAGGCGCAGGCTCGGTTTCCTCTTCAAGAACACTTTCTCCCCAGGAAGAATTCCAAGGAAAATGTGAGTTTTCTCCTTCAATTGTTTCCGAATCTATAAGAATTAGGGTTTCGATTTGCCTGGGCTCGTTAATTATACGATTCCTTTCTGCGGAATTGGGGTTTCGATTTGTGGGTTATTTTCTGGATCTCTAGAACAATTGTCGATTATGGATTTCAATTGGGTGTTTTCTTGCATCAATATGATTCTGAAAGATGTAAGCTTTGTATACATTTGGATGAATTGTGCTGATTTGCTTTCGTGTTCCATCAGCTTGACAGGTTTATACCGAACAGATCCGCCATGGATTTCGACTATGCGCACTACGCCCTGACCGAAGGAAGGAAAGGTAAGGATCAAACCGCAGCGGTAAGCTCACCATCCAGAGAGGCGTACCGGAAGCAATTGGCTGAGACGATGAACCTGAACCACACCCGGATCCTCGCCTTCAGGAACAAACCTCAAGCTCCAGTCGAATTGCTTCCCAGCGACCACTCTGCTTCTCTTCACCAGCAACCCAAATCCGTTAAGCCTCGCCGTTACATTCCTCAGGTATGTTCATCTTCTGTATTTGTTATTGTGTTTGAAAGATGAAGATCCACATCTACTTGGTATTGATCTGATGTTTTAAACAACTTTGTGTTATAGACTTCTGAGAGGACATTGGATGCACCTGATATTGTGGATGACTTCTACCTCAACTTGCTTGACTGGGGCAGTGCCAATGTCTTAGCCATAGCGTTGGGCCACACTGTCTATCTGTGGGATGCTTCCACTGGTTCCACGTCTGAGCTTGTGACCATTGACGAAGAGAAAGGACCTGTCACAAGTATCAACTGGGCACCTGATGGTCGTCATGTCGCAGTTGGCCTCAACAACTCTGAAGTGCAACTCTGGGATTCTGCATCCAACCGTCAAGTAATCACACAAAGCTTCCTTTTTTTCTTAATATATATGATCCTGTTTGTCATTTCTTGTGCTGATGTTTTGGACTTTCTCTGCAGCTGAGAACATTGAAAGGTGGCCACCAATCAAGAGTCGGATCATTGGCATGGAACAACCACATCCTCACCACTGGAGGGATGGACGGACAGATCATCAACAACGATGTGAGGATCAGATCACACGTTGTGGAAACCTACAGGGGCCACACTCAAGAGGTCTGTGGTCTCAAGTGGTCAGGCTCTGGACAGCAGCTTGCAAGTGGTGGCAACGACAATGTGGTTCACATTTGGGATCGTTCTGTGGCCTCCTCAAACTCGTCCACTCAGTGGCTCCACAGGCTTGAAGAGCACACATCTGCAGTTAAAGCCCTTGCCTGGTGCCCTTTCCAAGCCAATTTGCTTGCAACTGGTGGCGGTGGAGGAGATAGGACGATCAAGTTCTGGAACACTCACACCGGAGCTTGCTTGAATTCGGTGGACACTGGCTCCCAAGTCTGTTCTTTGTTATGGAACAAGAATGAAAGAGAGTTGCTTAGCTCACATGGGTTTACGCAGAACCAGCTCACACTTTGGAAGTACCCTTCCATGGTGAAAATGGCTGAGCTCACTGGTCATACTTCAAGAGTTCTATATATGGCCCAGGTAAAATTACAAGTTCAAATGTTCGTTTGCTTCTATCTGTAGTTTTGGGGTTTTGAGGTCTTCTAGTTCTAAAACTTGTGCTATTTTGTTGTGTTTTTCTGCAGAGCCCAGATGGTTGTACCGTAGCTTCAGCAGCAGGAGACGAGACTCTGAGGTTCTGGAATGTTTTCGGAGTACCAGAGACCGCCAAGAAACCTGCTCCAAAAGCAGCCCATGAGCCATTCTCTCACGTGAATCGTATCCGTTGAAACTGTGAAGAGTTTACAGATGATGGCCTGATGGGAACTATTTTGTTCTTTTTTACCTTCTGGGGTTTCATTCTTCATGAACTGTATTGACGATTGACATGTAAATTCCACTTTATATCATGAGCCAAACTTAATTGCTTATATAGATATATACGAAATTTCCATTTTAAATCTAATGATTTTAATTTTACACTCGGATATTGTTTTTCTTTATAATCCTCCAAAAGCAGTCCATGAGCCAAACTTAATTGCTTATATAGATATATACGAAATTTCCATTTTAAATCTAATGATTTAAATTTTACACTCGGATATTGTTTTTCTTTATAATCCTCCAAAAGCAGTCCATAGGCCATTCTCTCATGTGAATCGTATCCGTTGAAACTGGGAAGACCTAGGAAATCCATCGATACAAGCCAATTCATATGTTTCATGATCTGACAATTCAGATCTGTATAGAAGCTTCTATATTTGTATTTTGTTGAGCCAAACTTAATTCGTTTAGTGTCTAGAAAGATTCTAATAACATATCTCAGATGATGCAAGAAACTCTAGAAGCAGAACAAGTATTGCTTGTAACTGTAAGATTTTGAGTATAACTTCGTCAATATAGACATTGATTTTAACTGTTGTTCAAAAAAAAAAAAGACATTGATTTTAACTTTATCATGCACTATTTTAACTTTTATGTTGTTAGGCGTTTTAGATAAGAGTTTTTGATCATTCTCTCATTATAATTTTATAAAATTATTTTTATTTTCACTGTAAGCAAAATCAACTCTTCATATTTAAATATTGTTGTTGTTGAAATGTAAAAGTTACATGGGTCACATTTAAGAGATTTTTGGTCTCAAGTGATTAGGTTCTGGAGACAGCTACTAGCAAGTGGTGGTGACGACAATGTGGTACACACGTATGGGATCGTAAATTTATGAATGTACAATAATTTTCCATGCTTATGTATAACTTCTTTACCATGTAAGATTAATCAACAGTTTCTGCTTTGATATATTTTCATTTTCAATCTCAGGCTCTGAGCCCTACCATTGGCAAGTGCTTCATGATTACTATTTGACCACGATTAGATATTCAAATTCATTACACACATTCATTCATCATGAACTGACAATTCAGATCTGTATTGAAGTTTTTATATCTGTATATTGTTGAGCCGAACTTAATATGCTTACTGTATAGAAAGATTTTTCTTTAACATCTCAGATTATGCAAGAAACTCTAGATGTATAAGAAATATTGATTATAACTTCATCAATAGAGTAATGATTATAACTCTAATTTCATCACAGCACTATGTTAACTTTATGTTGTTATGAGTTAGATAAGAGTTTTTTTTTTTATCATTCTCTCACTATAATATAATAAAATAAAGTTTCTTCAACTCTTCATATTTTTTTTTATTATTGTTATTGTTACTTACATGGGTCACATTTAAGAGTTGGTCTCAAGTGATTAGGTTCTGGACAGCTTCTAGCAAGTGGTGGTAACGACAATGTGGTACACAAACACACACATGGGACAGTAAATTTTTAAATGTACAAAAAAATTCCATTCTTTTGTACAACTTCTTTATCATGTAAGATTAATCAACAGTTTCTATTTTGATGTATTATAATTATCAATCTCAGGCTCTCAGCCCTACCGTTGGCAAGTGCATCATAATTACTATTTGACCACGATTAAATATTCAAGTTCATTACACATTAAAATGTTCAGTCAATATAATTATGTAAACTAAATTTTACTGGTAAGAATTGAAAGTTGAAAACTCTTAGTATTAATTGAAGTTAAAAAACGTGTATGTCATATATATTAGCTCTTAAATCATTTAGGAATTCGGAGTTGCCTAATGTTTTCTTTTTCTTTTTGTCATTCTTAATTACAAGTGGTTTTTTTTTTTTGACAAAATATCACTCTTACAGGTTTTATTAGTTTCTTTCAGTTTTACAAATTGAAACAACTCGTGATCAAGTAACGTAGCAAGTTTGGAAAGGTGGGACACATTGTATCTTAAATTTCACAATGTACAACTTTCCATTTTTTTGTTTAACACCTTTAACATGCAAAATTTTTCACCAGGTACTATATTTATGTAGAATCATTTTCAAAGGAGCCAGCAATAATGGGGATGTGGTTGCTCTCTACAACCCTAAATCTCTCTACAGCAATACAAAATTACCAATCAAGCTCTCATTCCATCTTTTTCCATTTTTGAAACACAGAGCAATTTTTTTTATTTATGGAAATTCCGTGACTTTTGAAAGCAATTTTTCTAGAGCACCAAATTAAGTGCTCTTAGAATTTTTTCTCTTCTCTTTCCTTATTAATTTTTCAACATTTATTTTTTAATCTATTATTTCTATATCTTATTTTTTTTGTTTTAATGCTATATTTAATGACACAATCTATAATAAAAATTCTTACATCACTAAAATCTAGAATCACAGCCAAAATTTCTACAACACTAATTTTACAGCAAAAAAATTAAAGCTACAGCCACAACCAATCAGACCCAATGACTTTTTCGTCTCTAGAGACATTAATGTTTGGACAATAATTATTATTATTTTTTTAAATAATAGTATATAACACGACGTAATTGGGTCTCTATCACTTTTTTCTCGTAACCAAAAACTCCAAATACCAAAGTTACAATGTTTTCGAAGCAACACGAAAGATAAAACTAGAAATGGGCAAAACTAACTTCGAAGTGTACCCAAGAAACTACACGAGTCAAGGGCACAACTGAACGATGATGAGTCTCATTGAGCGATCAAAGTCTCCTTCCTCTTCTTCCACCCTTCCTGTGTGTACTGTCGGTGGGAATTGGAGTCACGTCCTCTATACGACCAATCTTCATGCCTGAACGGGCAAGATCTCTGAGAGCTGACTGAGCACCAGGTCCTGGAATCTTGGTTTTGTTTTCTCCAGTGGCACGGAGCTTTACATGCATAGCTGTGATGCTTAACTCCTTGCATCTTTGAGCTACATCTTGAGCAGCATAAGGAGAAGACTCATCACGATCAGCCTTTATCTTCATCCCACCGGTGATACGGACGAGAGTTTCTCTTTCAGACAGATCAGTCACATGAATGAAAGTGTCATTGAAAGATGCAAAGATGTGAACGACGACACCGAAAACTTGCTCTCCGTCCTTCACGGCAGGTCCAAGAGTCACATTTTCCTCCTTGGGCTCTCTGGTCTTTCTCCTCGACATGTTCACAAGTGGATGAAAAGAGACGAAACGTTAAGAGTAGTCGGAGGATGCTCTTCTCTGGAAAAGCCGGCAGTGGAAACTCACAAATAACGAAAAGAAACAAAAAGAGAGAAAGAAAAATGGCCATAAATCCTCCACCTCGTCCTCCATAGCAGTTAATTACGGTAGGCACGAACATCGGATATACAACTACAACGACCCTTCACCGGTCAACTTACGTGCCAGTTCCACCGTTGAAAGGTCGTTGTATTTGTAGATCCGGTATTCGTGCCTACCGTAATTGACTGCTATGGAGGACGAGGTGGGGGATTTATGGCCATTTCTCTTTCTCTCTTTTTGTTTCTTTTCGTTATTTCGTTTGAAGTTATAGAGTTATTACGATGGTAAAAAAATTTAATGTACCATCATTTTGTTGAATATATAATTCACTTACGTATGAAGTTCATTCATTTTCACGTGTGTTTTCAATTTCATGTCATTAAACTATAGTCTACTTCGTTTCTTTTTTTTTTTTTTTGTTAAAGGCTTAGTCTACTTCGTTTCTGTGCACATTCCCAAGAAAATAAGTCGGAGACTTACGTTATAATTTTATTTCTATAAAAAATTGAGTCACAATGCAACACTTACTATACAACAAAGGCTTCACTAGAAGCATTATGAGAGAGGTTACACACCACAACATAGAAAAATTCTTACGTTAAACAATTTTGTTTTTTTGTTAAAAGGCCTCTTACGTTAATTATTTATATACAAGTTTTCATAAATAAATAATGTTGCTAAACTCTAGCATATTTCCGTTAGAATAGACAACTTCCTCCAAATTTATACTAGCTATATGTAAATTCGCTAACCTGTTTTGGTATGGAAATGCCTCGTGTCAAAGACACTTTAACTTGAACCAATAACCTAAGTTTTCCACTAAAAGTACCTATATAAAAAAAAACCATGTCAACATTAATGTCTCTGGAGAAAGAAAAAGTAACTATTGCTGCCTCCTTTGAAAATGAATCTACATAAAAATAGTACCTGGTGAAAAGTTTTACATGTTAAAGGTGTTAAACAAAAAATGGAAAGTTTTCTTGTACATTGTGAAATTCAAGATAAAATGTGTACCGCATTGCCAAACTTGCTACGTTATTTGATCAGGGGTTACGTTGTTTTAATTTGTAAAACTGAAGGAAACCAAGAAAACCTTTAAGAATGATAATTTGTCCCAAAAAAAACACTTGTAAAACTGACAAAAGAAAACATTTGGCAACATCGAATTCCTAAATGCTTTGATTTTGTTTTAATCTTTACCAATGAAATATAATACTATGACATAAAAAAATGCATATTAAACCAAATGTGCTAGTGAAACTAAATGTATTGTCCTCTCTATATATATGTTTTTGTCTTAAAGACGAATACGTGAATGCCACATCCTGATATTGAAAATGAATCTACATAACAAATAGAACCTGTTACTTGATAAAAGTGATAAACAACATTAAAACCAAAAAAAAAAGCGATAAACAAACGAAGGGAATGTTTTTGTAGACCATATGTGTACGTACCACATTGATTGCCTGATTGGCCACCACTTGCTAACCACTTGAGACCACAAACCTTTGTTTGTTTGCTTCAAGAGTCTCTTGCATCATCTGACATGTAAGATGCGAATTAAGTTTGGCTCACCAATTTACAGATATAAGCTCCAATACAGTTTTGAATTGTCAATTCATGAATCATGATGAATGAATCCCAAAAATATTACTTCCTCCGTTTTATAATAAATGTCATTTCGACAAAATGAATCTAGACTATTTATTGATGTATCGGGATGTGTTTTGAGTCTTTATACATTCATATATATCTAGATACATTGGGTATGTCAAGAGTTAAAACGACACTTATAATGAAAATAAGGGAGTAATGTTTTGGCTTTCTGTGTCGTTGGGTGAGTAAGGTGACTGTCGTTTTTTCTATTTTTTTTAGATAATATAGTAGTTGTAGAGAAATAATATTTGGCTTCCAATAAAATAATTTACAAAACATACCTTAGACGTTTATTAAATCATTCGAATTTGATCCTACAAACTTGTCAATTAATCCGTTTGCCCCAAAGAATAAAGCTTCGTCGTTTTAGCCTTAAACCCTAGATCCATCTCAGCCGCGACACATCCTCGTCCTCAGTAATCTATCGAGCACGAAGAGTCCTCATAAACGGAGAAAGAGAAAGAAGGAGTGATGGGAAAAGAGATCCAGTCCCCGCAGGAACAGAGTTCTTACACCGTTGAGCAGCTCGTCGCCGTCAATCCATTCAACCCAGAAATCCTGCCTGATCTCGAAAACTACGTCAACGAACAGGTTCAATTCCGATTTCCCAGATCAATTTTGCGGATTTCTTATCAATTGATATAAGCATTTCGCTGGATTCTGGTTTCCGAATAGCTCTAGAACCTTTCTCCTTCGTTTTATTAATGAAATTGTTTGAAGATTATGCATTGGATTGTAATTAGCTTCCCATTGTTGGTTTCATTATGATTTTCAGGTTACATCACAGACGTACAGTCTTGACGCGAATCTATGCTTACTTCGGCTCTATCAGGTACTCTATCTGTTCATAAGATCGAGTCGTTTCGTAATCTAAGATTTTTTAGCATCTCCTAATTTTTCACTCGTGTTTGTTTCTCCTATGCAGTTTGAGCCTGAGCGCATGAACACTCATATCGTGGCTCAAATCCTGATCAAGGTATGGCAAAACACTCGGATTAACCATGTTTGTTGGCTTATAAATACACTCGCTGATTTTGTTTTCTCTTTACTCGAAGGCTCTTATGGCTCTGCCAACTCCAGACTTCAGCCTTTGCCTCTTTTTGATTCCGGAAAGAGTGGTAATGTTCTTTCACTCTTACTCTCTTACGGTATTTATCAAATGATGATGACTGACAAGTGAAATAGATTGAGTAATTGAAATCCCTAGTAGCTGATTCGTGAGAGTTAATAGATGCACTTGTTTGAATTGTGTTTTCAGCAAATGGAGGAGCAGTTCAAGGCACTGATTGTTCTCTCACACTACCTTGAGGTATGCAAACATCAATGTTAGTTTGTATCCGAGAAAGTTGTATATTGAGTCTTGAAAACGCTTGTTGTGCCTTTGCAGACTGGGAGGTTCCAACAGTTCTGGGATGAAGCTGCCAAGAACCGTCACATTCTCGAGGCTGTTCCAGGTAACTAAGTTTCTGAATCATAAATAAGTCGTCTAGTAAATAATAACACAGTTCTGGATCTTGACTAGTTACTTAAGGATATAGAAATTGTCTAGAAATGCCGGCATAGAAGTCAATTCATTATATGATTATGTGTAGATGTCTTATATGCGAGAGATGAATGCAGGTTTTGAGCAAGCTATCCAAGCATATGCAAGTCACCTTCTTAGCTTAAGCTACCAAAAGGTTTCAAGATCTGTGCTTGCCGAGGTATGATGGCGTTCTTTTCACCATATGATAGCTCAAGTTATCATATTGTACAACTTTGGATGCCATTTTCTATTATGAAGTTTCCACATCAGAGCTTTTGGTGATCTGTTATCTTGACATTTGCTTGTACAGGCTGTTAACATGGATGGTGCGTCGCTAGACAAGTTCGTTGAGCACCAAGTGACGAACAGTGGATGGATTGTTGAGAAAGAAGACGGAAGCATCGTCTTGCCGCAAAATGAATTTAACCATCCGGAGCTTAAGAAGAATACAAGTGAGAGTGTTCCCTTGGAACACATCGCCCGCATCTTCCCCATCCTTGGTTGAAACCAATTTACGAGGAGACTGCAAATTTTTCCTTTCTCTTGTTTTCATCCTTGTAATGCACACTTTAAGACTGATGTAATGTGGTTTTGGTACTTGGGGAAGATTATCTTCAAAAACAAGTTGACAAAGACTTAGACTGCTCGTACGATTATTGGGATGCCATTGAACTCTATTTTTTGTTTTACCGTCTATGGATTCCAAAATGCTCCATTTTTATGAAAATATGGTGTTTTCAAACATTAGGATTATGACTCTTTGTGGTCGTAAGTTCATTAGTTGAAAAAGTTCACCAATTTTCCACTTTGTTTTGTCTTCTCTCAAAAGTCTGGATATTAGGTCTCTTGGAAAATGGGAACGGGCAAGGCAATGGATATTTGAGGTCGTGGAAATATAACCGTCAACTATCAACGATGTATTGTATAATTTGTAATTTTGTACTGTCCTCTCTACACACGGATCACATCCGAACATTGATAGCCATCCATTTGGAAGCTCACGTGTTTGACAACAAATCAACTCACGTGCTCCTTTTTCTACTTTATCATGCACATTTTTGACTCCCCCCATTTTTCACATCATTTTTCTATTGATCAAATCTAAACTATAATCAGTTAAGAGCATCAACCTCTTATCCAATACAGTAAGATAATACTAAAAAATGATTTCTTTTTTTTGAGAAAGAGGGACCATAAAACTTGGATTTTAATGTAAGTAATCTGTTTAGTTTGGTAAATATAATATTAGCCTTGATAACAAAGGACGAGCATGAGCCAGACATGCTGGTAATAAAAGTGTTAACAAAGTATTTACTTTTGGTCGACAACAAATGAGCCTATAGATATTAAATATTAAAATTTCTTGACAACAATGAACCAAAATTTGATTTTATATTGTCGACATAATGAACTTATATTAATATATGTGATATATACGTAATTGATTGAAGTGAAATATAATTCTTTATGTTTAGATACGTGTCGGATAAAATGAAATATACGTGAATAAAAAGTGGAATGGAGAGAAGGCAAACAAAAGATCAGACAAGTCGTGAACAGAAAAACGGGAGAAACCCAATTACGACAGGGAAATTGAAAGCCAAGGAGCTCACGAAACTGCTAATCTTCGTTTATGTAACCATTCCAATCCAATTCCTCCTCTTATAATTTTTTTTGTTCAATTTTGAAAATTTGTTTTGTTTTGTTGGTTTCCTTCTCCTCTTTGAATTTGGGTTTCCGAGAAAATCGAGGAATCTGTTTCCCCTTTTCCAATTTTCCCAGCTCGGCACTTTTTCTCTGAGATTATGGTTATGTTTCCTCCAATTGATTTAAAATCTTATCCATAAGGAATTTGCGCCTTGTGTATTTGGTTTTCGTTAACCGTTTTTCTGGGATTTCTATGTTTGTTTCTTCTTTTGTTTGGTTTCCTTCCGATTACAATCCGTTTATTGCTCGTGTAGTTTCAGCATTCTCTGGAGTTTCGTGGCACCGAGAGCTGCCTCGTTTCGGGGGTTTATCGATTTCACATTCCGAATTTGAGCTTCGGAATATTGCAATTGAGACCACACATAATTTTAGGGATCTGATGATCTAAAAAATTCTGGATTTCAAAGCTGAGAGTGACCCAGTGTGAGTTAGTCTGAATCTCGGAGGCATCTAATTCCAGGTAATCTCATTGGCCCTCTCTCTCTCTCTCATCTTCCATAGTCCTTTTCAGAGAAATCTCTGGGTGATTTCTCGTCGCTCAAAGGTGCAGACTTGATGCTCACAAGCAAATGGGTGTTTCGAGATGACTCTCCTTGTTGGAGATTCAATAAATGGACCCACCAGAAAACAAAGCTCCTGGATTTGTTGATTTAGTCAGATCTTGGATCCCTAGAAAGAGTGAGTCTTCATCACACATGTCGAGGGATTTCTGGATGCCTGACCAGAGCTGCCCTGTGTGCTATGAGTGTGATGCTCAGTTCACTGTATTCAACCGAAGGCACCATTGCAGGCTCTGTGGTCGAGTGTTCTGTGCCAAGTGCGCTGCAAATTCGATTCCATCTCCATCAGATGAAACGAAGGAGACTCATGAGGAGCCAGATAGGATCAGGGTTTGTAATTACTGCTACAAACAGTGGGAACAAGGGATAATTCCGCCTGATAACGGAGCTTGTATCATTAGCCTTCCTCTTAGCTCATCGCCTTCTGCTAGAAGCGTGGCAAGTACTGCTTCTACTTCTAATAGTAGCAACTGCACCGTTGATTCAACTGCTGGACCTTCCCCTAGACCGAAAATGAATCCTCGAGCTAGCAAGGATTTCGAGAAGTCTGAGCAGCAGAATGCATCGTCGCGTAGAAGCTCGGGTACTTTTGGGCGTGTGTTAGATTCTTCTCAGAATCCAGTTGAATTCTTCGTGAACGGGTAAATTTTTCTTTGTGCTGTGTGTATATACGTTTACCTTGGAGCTTCTGTTGTCCGTTTCCTTTGATAAATTGCTGAATTGCTCTTTTTTTTGTTAAATTGATAGTGGCAGGAGTGATGGTGAAGGTGATGATGATGAAGATTATCACTCTGACTATGCACAGTCTTACTCTCAAGGAAATGACTACTATGGAGCCATCAGTCTGGACGAAGTTGATCGTATCTATGGGTCACATGAACCTCATGATGTTGGAGAAGCCATAGAGTCAAACATCCAAAGTTGCTTGCCCCCTGATGAAGATCTCGACGCAGTGAATACAGAGACGATAGATAAAACAGAACAGCAAGAGAATGGATGGAATGATGTGAAGGAGGGAAGCCCTCCTTGTGAAGAGTCATTTGAGCCTGAGGTAGTGGATTTTGAGAGCGATGGGCTCTTATGGCTACCGCCAGAGCCAGAGAACGAAGAAGATGAAAGAGAAGCAGCGTTATCTGATGATGAGGGTGATGAAGGTGATAGAGGTGATTGGGGGTACCTTCGACCATCAAATAGCTTTAAAGACAAGGAGTTCCACTCTAGGGACAAATCCAGTGGTGCTATGAAAAATGTTGTTGAAGGGCACTTTAGGGCCTTAGTAGCACAACTTTTGGAGGTTGATAACTTACCTATGGTCAACGAAGGCGATGAAGAGGGCTGGCTTGATATAATTACATCGTTGTCCTGGGAGGCTGCAACACTTCTCAAGCCAGATACGAGCAGAAGTGGAGGAATGGATCCAGGAGGATATGTGAAGGTTAAATGCATCCCCTGTGGACGTCGTAGTGAGAGGTGAATTTTTCGGACTCCTTATCTGGGATTTACTGTGCTTAATTTCACTTCCTTAAAGTCCAGTTCAAAACTTGCTGTTCTGCATTATTTTTTTGTTACTTTCACAATTTTGCTGTGAATATTAGTTATAGACTTATATCTCTGTTGATTAAATGCTAATCTCTATAGTACTGATTAGACTGGAATGTCATTTTCTTAGTTTGGTTGTGAGAGGCGTTGTTTGTAAGAAAAATGTGGCTCATCGGCGAATGACTTCAAAAATCGAGAAGCCGCGCCTGCTAATCCTTGGAGGTGCTCTGGAGTATCAACGCATCTCTAATCAGTTGTCAAGTTTTGACACTTTGTTGCAACAGGTCTGTATCGGTTTTCTTGTTTTAGATTTTGCCCTATGACCATGTACACGAATCCTTGGACTAGAAAGAATGGAAAATCATTATTCAGTCACTTTAGAGGAGTAGGCGGTTAAAGATTTTCTGCATTATTAAAGGCTGTCTCTGGTGTTTCAGGAAATGGACCATTTGAAGATGGCTGTTGCAAAAATTGACTCTCACAATCCCGACGTTCTCTTGGTGGAGAAGTCTGTCTCGCGATTTGCGCAGGAGTATCTTCTTGCGAAGGACATATCTCTTGTTTTAAATATTAAAAGGCCCCTTCTAGAGCGCATATCCCGCTGCACTGGTGCGCAAATTGTCCCTTCGGTCGATCAGCTCACATCACCAAAGATGGGTTATTGTGACCTGTTCCACGTGGAAAAATTTGTGGAGAAACATGTTAGTGCTTCTCAAGGTGTGAGGAAACTGACAAAGACTTTAATGTATTTTGATGGTTGCCCCAAGCCTTTGGGCTGTACTGTAAGTTCCACAAAATTCTTAGGTGTTTCAGACATGAGATCGTGAGCTATTGAATTCTTAGGTGTTTTTTTTCTCTTCTTTCAGATATTGCTCAAGGGAGCACAGGAAGATGAACTGAAGAGGGTGAAACATGTAATTCAGTATGGAGTTTTTGCAGCATATCACTTGGCTCTTGAGACATCTTTCCTAGCAGATGAAGGTGCTTCCCTTCCAGAACTTCCTCTGCAGACCCCAATTACAGTGGCTTTACCTGATAAACCATCAACGATTAACAGATCAATATCCACAATACCTGGTTTTGCTGTTTCAAGTGCTGAAAAGTCTCCAACTACTGAATTATTGGGTGAGCCACATAAAGCCAATGGCGACCTTACCACCTTGGATACCGTTTACTCCGAAATTGTCTCCTCTAATGATGATGGGTTAGTTCCTACTCTAGAATCCAGGCAGCTATCGTTTCCCATGGAAGAAGCTTCTGTTCAAAAAGATCAGTGGTCTGTTTTACCCTGCGCCACAGAACAAGTAACTGATGGTGCTTACGCTAAGGAATCCACAGTAACAGGAGATCAAAATGATAGTAGACATGAACAGGTGGACTCTTCAAAAGGAGACTTTCTTCCGACAGCCTCTGACCATCAAAGCATTTTGGTTTCCTTATCGACAAGATGTGTGTGGAAGGGATCTGTGTGTGAGCGGGCTCATTTACTCCGTATTAAATACTATGGGAGCTTTGATAAGCCTTTAGGACGATTCTTAAGGGATAACCTCTTTGATCAGGTACCTTTCATTTTCTAGTGTGTTTTTCTTCTTCGCTTATTCCTTAACACACCAATTTTCATTTACCCTATGGTGAGGAAATTGAACTCTTGGTGAAACTAAATGGACCAGCTAATCAATTAATGTCATATAGTTACGAACTTGTCAGTTACCCTATCATTTTGAGATGGATAATTGTGGAACTAATTTAAAAAGTTTCTAGGTTCATAGAATCATAAAAGAAATCCATGAAATAGTAGGATGGTAAGTTTAGGAGAGAGAAAGACTGGAGGGAAAAGCGAGAAAATGAAGCCTATCATGTTGGTATAAGACCAGAAGTTATGAAGCCTATCATGTTGGTATAAACTTCTTGTTATAAATAGCTGAGGTTTGCATTATTCTCTTGTTTAGGATCGTTCTTGCCCGTCATGTGCGATGCCAGCAGAAGCACACATTCACAGCTATACTCACAGGCAAGGTAGTCTGACAATATCTGTTAAGAAACTGCCTGAATTGCTACCTGGACAACGCGAAGGAAAAATTTGGATGTGGCATCGGTGCCTGAAATGTCCTAGGATCAGTGGCTTTCCTCCAGCCACACGCAGAATTGTGATGTCAGATGCTGCGTGGGGCCTGTCTTTTGGCAAATTTTTGGAGCTGAGCTTCTCTAACCATGCAGCAGCTAGTCGTGTGGCCAACTGTGGTCATTCCCTTCACAGAGACTGTCTCCGTTTCTACGGGTATGAAGAGATCTGATTAAACCATTCTGCTGTTCTGCTTGCTTTTTGATTATTCACATTTTGTAATGCAATCGATATAGCAAGTGTCAATTTATGTTTGAGGGTTGTAAAGCAAAGCATAAATTCATAAGTACTGATTGTCTCATATGTTTTCCTTACTGCAGTTTTGGGAGAATGGTGGCTTGCTTCCGTTATGCTACAATCAATATATTTGCAGTTATTCTGCCACCAGCAAAGCTTGAGTTTAGCTATGAAAACCAGGAGTGGCTCCAAAAGGAATCAAAAGAGGTTACAAGTTTCCTACATCTTTGTAATTGAATATCCAACAAATCCAGAGTCTAATGTTTGTTATTTATCATGGTTTCTATACAATAGGTGGTTAAAAAAGCGGAAGTCCTTTTTGATGAGGTACAAGAGGCACTTAATCAGATTTCAGCGAAATCACTGGGTGCAAATTCCAAGGGCAGCGCTCCCAGCAAGATAAAGCTTTCTCTTGAAGAACTTGCAGGACTTCTTGAGCAACGTAGAAAGGAATATAAGGTACCCTTCATGCAACTTACATTCCGGTTAGAGTTAAAAGAAACAAAATTTCATGCGTATTGTGTTATATGCGTATTGATATTTAATTATAAACACGTACCTAAAGAAACAAATATGATATACATTTGAGGGAAAGATATCATATATTCTGCATTTGTATATATACACTTTTCATGTAGATTACATAGTGTGGTGCTTGGTTGTGCTAAGGGATTTGAAACTTATCTTCGGAACAATTGTAAAAGTTGTCACCTGATCAGCTAGCCTTTATAGGTTCAAGTCTTTTACTGACTAAGGCTGTTGCATGTTTTCAGGAATCATTGCAGCAAATGTTAAGCATGGTTAAGGATGGACAACCTACCATTGATATCCTTCTGATAAATAAACTTCGAAGGCTGATACTTTTCGATTCGTATGCTTGGGATGAATGCCTAACAGGGGCTGCAAGTATGGTAAGAATTAACAATGAAGCTCTGAGGAATTCGGCTCCAAAAGTTATGGGTCGTGACATTTCCTTAGAAAAGCTCGGTGATGAAAAATTAAGCTCGATATCAACCCATGACTCTCTTCCCCAGGATGATAAGTGTCTTAACCAGGGTAAGTCAGTTGCTGATATGAGCGGCAAAAGTGCTGTTCCTGAAGATGTAGGCTCAGACATACCCCCCGAATGTAGGATGGACCCTAGTGAAGGTGGTAAAGAGAATTTTATGGAGCCTTCACAGGTGGTTAAAACAGTACTATCTGAGAGCCAGTCTCAAGCAACAGACTTATCTGATACTCTTGATGCAGCATGGATAGGTGTACAAACTGCTTCAGAGACTGGTATTTCTCGTGCGCCTAGCAGAGCTGCGTTAGCAAATGGAACTCAGGCTTCTGATTTAAGGCTGCCAGGTTCTGAAAGTAGGCTGAATTTACAAGGGGGCCCAACCAGTGAGGAACATACAACACAAGTTCAGATGCCTTCTCCTAGTTTTTACTATTCACTCAACAAGAATTATTCGCTTAATTCTCGCAAGCATATTATGGCTGAAGACCGGCCTGTATATGTTTCTTCATACCGAGAGCTTGAATGGCGAAGTGGTGCTAGGCTGCTACTTCCTCTGGGAATCAATGACTTGGTACTGCCTGTATACGATGACGAACCTACTAGTATCATTGCTTATGCCCTTACATCATCAGAATATAGCGCCCAGATGTCTGGATCAGATAAGGCAAGAGAGCGCTTGGATAATGGAGGTTCTTTTTCACTTTTTGATTCTGTGAATCTTCTCTCATTGAACTCTTTGAGCGATTTGTCTGTTGACATGAGTAGAAGCCTTAGCTCTGCTGATGAACAAGTCTCGCAGCTCCTACATTCGTCCCTGTATTTGAAAGATCTCCATGCTCGAGTCTCGTTTACAGATGAAGGTCCTCCTGGGAAAGTCAAGTACTCTGTGACCTGTTATTATGCGAAAGAATTTGAAGCTCTGAGGAAGATTTGCTGTCCTTCAGAAACAGATTTCATTAGATCTCTTAGTCGTTGTAGAAAATGGGGAGCCCAAGGTGGAAAGAGCAACGTCTTCTTTGCAAAATCCTTGGATGACCGATTTATCATCAAGCAAGTTACAAAGACAGAGCTTGAGTCCTTCATCAAATTTGGGCCAGCTTACTTCAAATACCTGACCGAGTCGATTATTACTAAAAGCCCTACAAGCCTTGCAAAGATCTTGGGGATTTATCAGGTACAGAAAATAAAAAACAATAGTAACGATTCTTCTGCATCTGTGGCTTAGTTGATAAGTGAAAATGCTTTTGTTCGATAGAAACCGCTATTTGCCTTATAAGCTGTCTGTTGACATATGATTAGACTCATGCTCATTTCTTGAATCTTTAAAGGTCTCGTCAAAGCACCTTAAAGGAGGAAAAGAGTTCAAAATGGATGTCTTGGTGATGGAGAATCTTCTGTTCAAGCGGAACTTCTCTAGGCTTTATGACCTAAAGGGCTCCACTCGTGCCCGTTACAATCCCGATACAAGTGGTAGCAATACAGTTTTGCTGGACCAGAATCTGGTTGAAGCAATGCCGACATCTCCGATTTTTGTTGGGAGCAAAGCAAAACGGCTTCTTGAACGAGCTGTCTGGAACGATACATCCTTTCTTGCTGTAAGTTTCTGGTTGCTTACCCTTCTGTAATACCGAATTTTTGCTTGGGGTTTACATGCTACTGATGCAAAATGTCTTGCTTTGTTTCTTTGGCTGAAGTCGATTCACGTAATGGATTACTCCTTGCTAGTCGGAGTGGATGAGGAACGAAACGAACTAGTTCTAGGAACTATCGATTTCATGAGGCAGTACACTTGGGACAAGCATCTGGAGACTTGGGTCAAGACTTCAGGGCTACTTGGAGGACCCAAGAACGCATCTCCCACAGTGATATCGCCTCAGCAATACAAGAAACGATTCAGGAAGGCAATGACAGCTTATTTTCTGATGGTTCCTGACCAATGGTCGCCTGCCACGGTTGTGGCAAACAACAGCTCTTCAGCAGATGTGAAGGAGGAAGAAGACAAAGACGATATCCAAGGTGTTGGTAACAACTCATGAATCATTTTCTGCAAGACATACACAACATTCAGTTAGCAAAATATATATTCTAGCAATGGCTTCTTCTAGGCTCTAGTTTATTTGTTGTTTTTTGGTTTTTTTGAATGGTCTTTGGGGTAATGTCTGTTTATGTTTTACCCTTAGCCTTATAGCCTTTTGCATCATAAGTAATAAATGCTAGATGCAATTGTACATACAATGCTTCTATATCACGTTGTTCTTCAGAAGTGATGTCTGCTTATGCATTACTTTTGTGTATTAACATTTTGCACATATGGTATGACCTCTAATAATATATTCTTTTATTTTCTTAGATATATTCTTGTGAAATTGTGCAAAATACAATCCGTTTCACTAAGTGCTAAAAAAAACTATAGTTCAACCAACCCCAGAAACAATGTCTTAAAATTATCAACATACAGAACATGTAAATCTTGCAAACTGCTCTGGTAACTGAAAATCCGTATGCTAAAATAACATACGAATGACATGTTCTGTAAAAGAAAAACAAAAAAAGAAATGGCATATCTTCAAAGAAAAGAGAGACAACCACATTACGTAAAAGAACATACGCTAGAATCTAGCAGCCATTCTTAATTTCTCTCAGTTAATAGTTATTTTAAAACCCAAATAAGTTTTTATCCTTCTGTTGTGAGTTTTTATCCTTTGATAAAATCCTCTACTCCATCAGACATACCATCAGACATATCAATACGTTTTCTTTTGTTTGGGAAGAACTTTATCCTATTTTCATCTGAAAAGTACAGTTGACGTTTGTTTCTAGCAATTTTGAGACCATGTCACTTATAACATCGGTTTCTTAAATCTTTACACGATATTTTCACAACGAATTAAGACGTGAGTGTTGTGCTGTGGTACATTTTAAATAGGTGTACACGTAGCTTCCTGCTGTTTCGTGCCATTTAAACAAAAACGGTAGTTACTATCTGTCTATTAATTTTACATTTGATAGGGAAAAAACGTAGGTGGCTGTCTTCAAGGGTAACAGAATGGTAAGAACCATGACTGCTCCGTAGCCAACACATGCAACGAGAAACTGGCGAAGATCTAGTTCAAGGTTGTCGTCTCCAGGATCGAGTAGGTTGTTAATGGTCACGGCCTATCAAAAAGAAAAGAAGAATATGAAGAAGAATAAGATACACTTAATAACCAATCTAATGAAAGGGAATAACGACACAATTACTTATCCAAAGTCTAATTCTCATTGAACTGAAAGACATAGTTACGATCCAAAAGTATCCTAGGGGCCAGGAAATGATGGTAGCAAGGAAACTTGCACATGAGCTCAACAACCCGAGATGTGCTTCTTCCAAAACCATATAGTAGGCAAAACTCCAACCCAAGCCACGCCCCTGTTTTGATAGCGAAACATATCAAAACATATCGATTTGCCCTTTCTTTGTACAAGAGTGATCGTTTTGCAAATTTTTAGTAGTTCTTCCGCTTCCAAAATAAATTATTTTGTTCGTGTCTCATAAAACGAACATGTAGGTTGATGGATCTCTGGGTAATGTTTGTTAATGTTTTACCCTTAGCCTTAGCCTTAAAGTGGCCTATGGCTCTTCCATAGCCTTTGCATCATAAATAATCTATTAGTTATTCATTACTTTGGGTGTATTACATTTTGCACATATCAAATGCTCTATAATATACATATTATTTTATTTTTCTTGGATATATTCTTGTATAAAATTGCAAAATTACAATCGAAGTAATTAATTTTTTTTAACGAATAACCGGACTAGACAATAAATATTTTGGACTTACTCATAACTTTAAAGTCTACGCATTACATATATTGTTTCATATAGGAAGCTAAAATTAGAAGGCGTGAAACTGGCTCATGAGACGAACAATAGGCATCAAATCCATAAAACTCTCCTGTCCAGACCAGTTTTTGTGAATTTCAAGAACTAATATCAAAGAAGAGCAAAAAAAAAACTAAAAAAATGTGAAACCAAGGAAACAAAAATAAACATAGAAAACAAAAAACCATAGAAAAATTGATCTTCCATTTTAAGCTCCCTGCCTTAGCTTGCTTCTAAGGCAGAGGAAATTTAATTTTTTCCTCCCAAGTAAAAAAACAGAAAAAGCAAAAATGGCTTTTCAAGACTTTGACGAGATTCGAGAACGCGTAAACGCAGAGAGAAAACGCAAGTTCAGGAAGAGAATCATCATAGGAGTCGTCTCTACACTTGTTGTTGTTGCTGCCATTATTGGAGCTGTTTTTGCTTACGTTACATATGAAAACAAAACTCAAGAACAAGGAAAACACACAAACAACCACTCTAAAGCTAAAAGCTCCGACAAAAGCGAGACTCCAAGCCAGAAACCGCCACCATCATCTGCAGCACAATCTGTGAAACCTGGCCAGGTCGATAAGATCATCCAAACACTTTGCAATTCCACCCTTTACAAACCAAGCTGCGAGAAAACTCTTAAAAACGGGACAAAGACAGATACTCCTGTTTCTGATCCTAGGAGCCTCTTAAAGTCTTCCATCGAAGCAGTCAATGAAGATCTAGGGAAAGTTTTCGAAAAGGTTTTGAAACTAAAAGCAGAGAACAAAGATGACAAAGACGCAATGGCGCAGTGCAAGTTGCTTGTGGATCAAGCTAAGGAAGAACTTGACACATCTGTGAAAAGAATCAATGACACAGAGGTTAATAACTATGCGAAAACAGTTCCCGATTTAGACAGTTGGCTAAGCGCAGTCATGTCTCATCAAGAGTCATGTCTCGACGGATTTGAAGAAGGGAAACTCAAAACGGAGATACGTCAGAGTTTCAATTCTTCTCAAGTTCTGACGAGCAATTCACTAGCGATGATCAAATCTTTAGACGGTTATCTTTCCTCGGCTCCAAAGATTAAAACAAGACATCTTCTTGAATCAAGATCTTCTCCGTCTTGGTTAAGCAACAAGGAGAGACGAATGTTAAAAGCTGTTGATGTGAAAGCTTTGAAACCTAATGCTACAGTTGCCAAAGATGGCAGTGGAAATTTCACAACCATTAATGATGCACTTAAAGCAATGCCTGTCACGTACCAAGGAAGGTATTAACCGTCTCATAATGCTTCTAGTAGTGGTGGTCGATCCTTAACCTTGATGAACAGAGACATGACCATTGGACTATCTTTACTTGGTTTCATAATTCATTTACCAAATTATCTGCTTAGTAAAATTTCCTTTTTTTTGGTAGGTACATCATTTATATCAAACAAGGAGTTTATGATGAATCAGTTGTTGTTGACAAGAAGAAGGCTAATGTTACAATGGTCGGTGATGGATCACAGAAGACGATCGTCACCGGGAACAAAAGCCACCCAAAGAAAGTCCGCACATTCCTCACTGCAACATTTGGTATATCCTGATTTCTTAAAACATTAGTCTCTCAACTGTTTCAAATATATATAATATATGAAAAAACCATTTTTTCAAGAAATAACGTTAAAATTTTTGAGATACAAAACTTTTTTAGTTTGGGTTGATTTATGTTAGTACAAGTATGAAGTGCAATAACCATCTATGTTCTATGTGCTTGATTTGCTTACAGTGGCACAAGGAGAAGGGTTCATGGCACAGTCCATGGGGTTCCGGAACACGGCTGGGCCAGAGGGACACCAAGCGGTAGCAATACGTGTCCAATCCGACCGTTCAGTTTTCCTAAACTGTCGATTCGAAAGCCACCAAGACACGTTACACGCCTACACGCACCGCCAATACTACAGGAGTTGTGTCATTGTCGGAACAATCGACTTCATATTCGGTGATGCGGCCGCAATATTCCAGAACTGCGACATCTTTCTCAGAAAAGGTGTAGCGGGGCAGAAGAACACGGTGACGGCTCAAGGACGAGTGGACAAGTTTCAGACGACAGGCTTTGTGATTCACAATTGTACGATCGCTCCAAACGAAGATCTTAAACCCGTAAAGGCCGAGTTCAAAAGCTACCTCGGACGGCCGTCGAAAAACCATTCTCGAACAGTTGTGATGGAGTCAACGATCGAGGATGTGATCGATCCTGTCGGTTGGTTGAGATGGCAAGAGACGGATTTCGCGATCGATACATTGTATTACGCGGAATACAAGAACGACGGTCCAAGTGGAGCAACCGCTTCTAGGGTTAAATGGCCTGGATTTAGGGTTATAAACAAAGAAGAGGCCATGAAATATACGGTGGGACCGTTCTTACGAGCTGAATGGATTCAGGAGCTAGGGTCTCCGGTTAAGTTAGGTCTATATGACGCTTGATGCTTGATAAACACGCTATGTTGTGCCCTTTTTGTTTTTTGTTTTTTTTTTTAATTTTAGACCCGTGTGAACATTCCATGATTCCAAAAGATGATAGAAGAAAAGATAAACGTTTGTTGTTGTCTCCTCTCGGAAGTAGATAAGCCTCTAAAGAGCCGGAGACATCTAAACCGTAGAGTACTCAAAGATCAAGGAGCTCATGGATGGCAAAGCCCTCAGCCATAGCAGCACACATGGCGTGCGAGCATGGTATGCCCAGCAAATTATACGCCCGGCAAGTGCATTTCTTTTGCCGTAGATGAACATAGAAGGAACGCTTAGAATCGCCCTTCACTTCATACTCAAACGCATCGATACGCCGAGCCGTGAACCCCTCGGAGGTCTCTAAGCTTTGGTGAATCAGTTCACGTACCTTTGGAGGGAAGCATGATGGCTCAGCCTTTGTAGCCTCTAGCCTCATTGCAAACCATGTCGTCATTGTCCTCTGGATGGAACCCAACAGCGATACAATTGGCAGTTCTCTAGCTTCCTTAAACGCAGCATTAACACACTCGGCAACATTACTCGTCATGATATTGAAACGGTTCCCCATAAAATGTGATCTTGTCCAGTGGTTAAACCCTATTTCCTCTAGATAGCTTGCACACTCTGGCTCTATTCTGCCAATCTCAGCAAAGGCAGCATGGAAATCATCTACACGAAATGCACGCGCAGCTTTAACGACAAGGTCAGCGAGATGGCGACTGTTGAAAACAGAGCAAACATGGCGATGCAAGTGAACCACACATACCCCATGCGATGCTTTAGGGTACACCTACAACAAAACAAAGGACTCATGGTTAGTTCCGAGGGTTATACTCACTAGGCTAAACCCTTAAGTATCTTAACAAGTCAATCTATAGATAACTTATTACTTACGTCTCTACATAATAAGTAGATGCAAAGTTGAGTGTTATGCATTCGTTATGATAACTTACCTGGCGTATGCTTGTGTAGATTGACGACTGCCATTTTGAGACAAATACCAAATCAGCACTATCTGGTATGACCGTGTTGAGCTTGCGTAGAAACCAGTCCCAAGAATCGTCGTCTTCTTCGTTAGCAACAGCAAACGCCAAGGGATAGTTCTCGAAATTAGGATCTTGGCAGCTTGCGGTTAAAAGGCAACCAGGAAACCTCCCACGTAGATGAGCTCCATCAAGAACGATGACACGACGCATGCAGCGAAACCCTTTCAAAGAGGCTGCGAATGCAAAGAAGAGGCTTTTGAACCTAGAGAGTCCACAAGCATCAGCTTCAGTCTTAAGGTCCATCACGGATCCTGGATTTGCCTGACGCAACAGCCAAAGGTAAGAAGGCAGTGAAGCAAAACTGTCGTCAGATGATGATCCCATAGCTCCCTGATCATTTGCTACTTCTTGTGAACTCCACGCTTTCCAGTAACACACTTTTCTCTTGTGGTCGTCTAGAAGTAGCTTCTGTAGACCACCAGCGTTCCCTGATTGTATGATCCTCCTCATGAACTTTTCCTTGGCCTGTTTGTTGAATCGACGGCGATCTTTAACAGAGCATGTGTGTCTTAGATTGCCACTTGTGATCTGGTAACTCTCAGAACCTTCCAGCTTGACGATATACACTCTCCATGTGCAAGAGTTGAACATGCAAGTCAGAGCCGTCAGTTTCTTGATCGAACGGTCTTGACTAAAGGCGTATACAGAAAGTTTAACTTGACAGTCACGTTTGGTTTTGAAGACGCGACCAACAAATAGCTCATCGCCTTCACACTCCGCATGATCAATCTGCATCCCTGCAAGTACCTCATGAGCATCTTCTTGAACAAAATGTTGCCAGTCATCTTCTTCCATCACATTCTTCCCTTTTGCCTCAAGGATTTCAATCGCCTTTGCATCAACTGAATCATCCACAGACAGTTGAGAGATGTACAATAGTGGCAACTCTTTCTTCTCTGCGACCATGGCAAAGTATATGTCCATGGCCTCGTCGTTTGTAATCGTCACCGGGCATGTTTTTTTCCAAGCCGCGCTGTCAACATCCATCCACTCTGGCCATTGGAATGTCAAACACACGTCTCCATCACCTGAAGACAGACCAAACCCATCAACGACGATCTGCTTATTGCGGCTGTACCCGTTCCCTTCACGGATTCTTAGTTTTTTTGCAGCATTTCTTTCATTTGCTATGAAAAGCCAGCCACAGTCAGAGGTTCTTGCCCATCTCCCGTTCACCACTCGAACAAGTCGATCTTCTGTTGTGAAAACCATACCTGTCCACAAAAGTCGAAGCCAAAACTTGTTGTTATACTAAACTACTTGGCTAATTCGATTATACATAGCATAATGGAGGAAAGAAGAAGAAATTGGGTCTAGTGTTAGGTCAAAGGCACTGATACTATATGATGCGTATGAAAATTAGATGATTTCTACTGATGACATATGAGGTACATTTATACAGAGAAAGGCAAGTATATATTGTTTACAATGAATGGGAAATATATGATTTGAGTGAATTAAGGATTCTAATCACTCGTAATCTCTTCTTTCCTCTAATATAAGATACATAGTAAATACACTTACTTAGTTTCCACCACGATTGTGTAACTGTTGTAAGATATTACGGCACTCTCTATCTCCTCCAACCTCGACCTCTCTCTCTCGCTCTGTTGTAAATGGAGTATATTTTGTTCTGGTTATGAACCTTTTTTTATTGTGAAAGACAATCGCTTCGTTGGAATATCAATCCTCTTTTAGTTTCTCATTGGGTTGAGCACTCCGCTAGGCCCATAGGGAAGCGGCGTATTTTAAATGCGTGATCTTGGGCTATCTTCGTTGGGACCCACTTCTTCTTTTTTATGTGCCTAATTAAAACATCGCATTGCTGAAGTACTATCATTTCACTACGCCACCGCGTAATAACTTGGTTTTGCTTCGATTAACTCGTCCAAAACATCACTACACTTAACACTTTAAATCCACACCACAAACACAACAGCCTACAAGTCTACAAGACTACAACCATGACGCCTATCCTACTTACCTAAAAACATGAAGGGTTTTGCATTTTCCCGCCTAAAGTCACAAGGCAATAATTACAATGTGGTCAAGTATCGTCATTTCCATTTCCAACCCTATTTAGTTAATTGTGCCTTACGATCACATTAACGTTATAAGCCTATTTAGGTTAGAGACCCACATTTTTTGTATTCATGAATCATGATGGTTTCGTTCATAATTTTATTTTTGCGATGTTAACAAGGAAGATGTTAGGGTAATAGAAAACTGAAAGAATGTTGATTGAATTACAAGTTTGGTTATTGACTTATTGTGATCTCTTCCAAGTTCCTAAACTCGTTTTCTTTTTCAGACTTTCAGTCATGCCTCAATAATACCGATGTAACTTAAGATATCTAAAATTGAATTTGATAACCCATATGGGCAGTAAGTATGCTCGGTTCAACTTCAACCGATGACTAATGACCGATAAATTTACCTGTTGTAACAAAATATTGCCAGAACGTGAAAATCACAATACGCCAACTTTAAAAACGATATAACACACCAAAACAAATTAATACTGAAAAGGAAAACATTCACAAATTCAAAACACTCAGGGCACTGAGATACCCAAGCCATCAGTAAACGTTACCCCCGTAGAAGGCAGCCAAAGATTTCCTTTGATGAACTCAGACACTGTGAAATTATAAGCCTCACCCGAGTTGTTAAGCACGTGGTAACCAGGCCATTTGACTCGGCTGCCGAGTCCTGAACCGGGCCCGTAATTCAAGAACTCTCCGTAGAAGAGTGTGTCCAATGCAAATCCCTCGGCGTTCCACTCCAGCCATCCCTCTGGTCTCACAACGTCACTCATGTTGTTCCTTATGAATATTGTCCTTGAAAACTGCTTCCATGGCCTTCCTAGATACGTGTTTGTTGTGTTTAGGTATGGGACCAAGTCTGCGTCCGCCGAGATATTGCTGAATTGAATTGAGAATCCTGAATATGAGCAAGGGTCCAAAGTTAGAACTATTTGTGTTTATAGTGTCTTGGGTGACAAGAAACTATCACATCTTGTTAAACGGTTAAAGTAACCCTAAAATCCAAAACTGCGTTTTTGTCTTGGATTATCCAATTCTCGGTTTTTCATTTTTACTAGTTTTTACTCTTTTTAGAACTACCAAGATTGGGATGATGGAATAGCTATGAAAGATTGAGAACTACGAAAAAGATAAGATAAGTTTGAAGAAGATTGGCTAATAGTAACGTACCTGAGGGTTGGTTAGCATCTTTCCGGCCTTGAGCAGTAATAGTATTCTTTTGGTTAGGGAGGCCTTTTCTAGCTAAAATGTGACAGTTTTGAAACACAACGGTCCCATCACCAAATATAAAATCTACCGTTCCCGTTATGGTACAGTCACGATAGAACTGACGCATTGTGTGCGTGTAGAGTGTATCTTGATAGCCTCTCATTGCACATCTGTAGAACACTGAGAGGTCAGAGTCTGACCTCAGGGCTACTGCTTGATGCTTCTCTGGCCCTGCTGTGTTCTCGAACGTTATATCTCGCGCCAGAAATCCTCTTCCGCTTACAGCTGAAATATTTGTGTCACAAATGTTTCAAATCCATCAGAATTAAAAAAAAAAAAAAACAAAAAAATAGAAAAAATTGTTGTATGTAACCAATTCTTATGAACACGTGAATGGATAACTTAAATTCAAAAAAAAAATACGATAAAAACAATTACCGAATGTAGCGGAACGGAAAGTGGTCCAACCGTCGACAAAGCTGCGATTACCGGAAATAACGGTCAAGTCCATGCCATCACCTAACATTACGATGTTCCATTTCTTCTTCTTTATCTCAACATTCTCCAAATATAAACCCTTTTTAATGTATATGACGAAACGTTTCGAGCTGTAGTCAGGAGCTTCCTTAATAGCGTCCATTATCGTTGTGAAGTTCCCTGTCCCATCCAGTGCGACACTAACGTCGTAATTTACACCGTTTGTTTCTAACAGTTTCCGATCGTCTGATCTGATCCACTCTGGGAACCGACGGCTTTCGTCTTCGTCGGTGGTTCTGAGTGTACGGCCAGGTGGGGCCCTTGGTCCTTTAACAGCCGGACTAGGTTTAGAAATGGGCTTGGGTTTCTGATCGGTTTGAACAAGTGGTAATAGTTCTCTAAGCATAGAATATAGTTGCTCCATACTGCCTGAAACCAAACCAACTAAAATTAGAAACCAAACCAACTAAAACTTATCAAAGCGTTTGGATTAAGTTTTACTCTTACGTCTCTAGTGACCTACACATACAATAATAGTATGAGAAGAAATTGATTGATTACCAGCGACAAGGGATTTGACGAGACCAGAAGTACCATCGAAGCCTTCCATGCAAGTGTCTTGGTTGGAGAGAGCAGCACTTAACCATGTCTTTGTGTCTGATCCCACGTTCCCTGTTCCGTTGCCCTTCCCTGCAGCTGGTCCCACACAACATATTGTCACACGTCTTCATACTCGTGATTAAAATTATATTCTTGTTTTTTCAACACTATCATTTTCATCAATTTACATTTATTATGCCATATCTAAGATTTTGAATCCACGTTCTCCGTCCCTACTATGCACATGCCATTTACTAATGATTATAAAATTTGCTTTCATTTCATTGACGAAAATGCACAACTTTGATGTAACATCATCATCGTCACTTGACATATGTTTACATTTTTAAATTTCAATCTACTCTAGACTTATGAAGTAGAGTATAACTTATTAGGTGGTGGTCAAAGAATCACCTAATAACCGTGTCGCAATTATTCTTCAGATTTAATGCAGAAATTGCAAGAATTGACAGCATAGACTTTCTAGTCAAGGTTCTTTTTTGGTAAAATACGTCATATACATTAAACGTCTTACTATATTATTACCGTTTTAAACCATGGATGATTATTGAATTAATTATTGCTGTTCTCATTAATTTTAACCGAATGTACATGAGACTTATCAAGCATACTAAGACTAATCTAAACCACTAAAAAATAAAAATGATCACTTATAAGCATTCTGATGGATCACCTTGTCATATCATTTATTGGAGTCGTGGAGAATCTGACTAGGTAAAAAAGTCCAAACCAGTTGAGTTGTACAGGTGTATTGTTTTACTAAGAAAGAACGAGAAAAAAAGAATGTACTTGTTGGTATTATACGTCACGTTTTTACCTATTTTGTATGTTTCATGTGTAATGTACTAACGTTGAAACGATGGTTCAGTGCCAATTTACCTATCTTTTGTGGGTGTTGGACCGTTTCGACTTCTGTTAATGTTATAAAATTTCAATGTTTTCTGGTTTCAATATTTATAAGGAAACAAATAAACCGAGCATCTGGACTGGTTAACCCGCCACGTAAGCTCGTTTACACCAAAAAATATGATTGTGGTTTTACCAATTTGATCAAATTCAATGCGGTTGAAGCATGTTGACTGTCTAAACAACCGATCTTAGAAATCTTTCTATTCTAGTCGGTTAAATTGGAAAAGGCAACAAGTTCTGCCAAGTAAACGGACTATTTCTGTAGTATAAGTTATAACCAGCTATCGTAAACGTCAGCTTGACCGATCTTTCCCAAACCGGCAAAAACCATACCCCAATTTATCGATGTATATGTTTGTTTATCTATAAAAAAAGATTATCGATTACTCCAATTTTTTTAAGACATCTGTTCAAATTTCATTATCAAACAAATCAATTTTTATTTTTTATATCAACGATATCTAACTCTTTTTGTTGCTATATAAACAATTTTGATATAGTACTGATCAGAATTTATATTCTACAAATGAAGTTAACAATTTCTGCATTCAAAGTTTCTAACACTACAATTAGGGATGTGAGAGATTATGTTGTTAAAGAGGGTTTAATGTACGTACCGTTTGGATTCTCAGAAGCAGAAGCAGACCAACTCAGCTCCTCTGAAGAAAAATCGAGCAGATCCTGGCAATCGGAAACCGCAATTTGCAGCCGACGGTCTCCACTGAAATCCGCAAACTGAGAAAGAATTGAACTCACTTGTCTGATTACTTCCACTATCAAGTCTATAGAGCTCACAAACTCACTCGCCGGAACTTTCAAGTACTCGTATTGCATGCTGTCTTCCGATGACACACACAGACTCATCAACATCAAGAAAATCAAGAAACACTTCCACCATGACATTTTTCTTTATTTTTTTTCTCAATCTTAATTCCTAACCACAATAAATAAATG